AAATTAAGACGCAAAAAAGTAGCAATAATTATTCACCTTTTTTGTCCATTTTTTGTCTTTTTTCTGTAAAATATTTACCAAAGATGTCAGACTAGATTGCCACCATCTCAACGGAAGAGCTGACCATTACCACTGACGCTAAGGGCGCCAAACATTCTGTGAAGCATTTTACCACCAGAAAAGGAGGTATTATGTTTATTCGAGGTATGAGAGCACCGACAGTTGAAACCTTGATGATGCCGTTGCTTTTCTAGACCACTCAATTCCATTCTTTCGTCGACAAAGTGACCAGAGCAGACGCAAACAATGAAGGTTCTGAGTGCGCTAAACAACAATAAGAGAGCTATGCTTCCCTCACATCTTTCTTTGCTTTCATCTTCCATTCACCTGAACCATCAACTCTGTCTGCTCACAGTACCTTACGGACGATTTGGGCGCTGTATTCTCCTTCTGGAATGCAGTCAGTGCCAACTGACTTCTACCTAAACATTAACTTGGGTACTTGATTATGAAACAAGGCTAATTTTGGATGAGAAGTTAAATGACAAGTCTCTATTAGAAGAGATCAAGTGTTTACGCGACAGCAAACGAAGTGAGTGGTTTGTGCTCAAGCCTCCACCCCTCGGCGGCATTTTAGTACATTGGTTAAACAATCAACCTGTCAAGTGAAAGACCGCGGATACAGGAGTGGAGAAATCAGCTAGCAAAGGGAAAGAGAGGAGTGAAAAGGAGCACCTATAGTTGCAGGTAGTAGATGTCGTTGCCGGCGACAGCAACACATGATGTCAGAGGTGGAGGTGCGGTTTAAGTGAAGCAGTCGGCGCCCTAATCAAACGCCTTACAAGAAAGGAGCGTTTGGTGGTAAAATGATTATTAGAGTGGTAAAGTTCACCTACACCGGCTTTGCTGTCACCCGTAAGTGGGTCTTCATGCTGATGGCATGATCATGTCACTAGTTGTTACACAGGTGGGTAACAGGTTGGCTTTGCCGTATTACCTCCGCTATGGGGTAGCTTGGGCGCTGCTGTAGTAAATTGGGTTTTAAGGCTTGTAGAAACTAATGATGAAAAATACACTTGTCCCTGAAAGACGATGATATTAACTCACTTAGCAGTCTTCAAGTGCCGGTTCTTATCTGAATAGCCTGGGTGTCCAGCATGCTGTGATAGGGCATGCCACTGTTGAAGTTCCACTGGGAATCCCGAGCCCACATTCACTTCATTCACACTGCTTTACGTAATTTTGTGCCAGCTGCCAGAAGCACAAACACATTAAGTACAAGAGTTGCCGATCTGCTTCAACTCTGGTTCAGAAAGGATTACGGAGAATGGCAAATTACTTGTCAAGTCAAAAATGGAGCTGCACAAAGGACTCCTCATCGTAGGGCATGATTTACGTGTTACGATCGGGTGGTTGTTGTTTATCCTTGCATTTTGGAAAAACTTTGTCAACGGCTAAAGGCAGAAGGAATGCGTTTTGTGTCTCCACAGATGTTACTTCACCTTGATCCATGGTCTCCGAGGCATGCCACTGGCCTTAACTCTTCCTCCATACTACCGTGACTTTGTAAAAATTCAGAGAATATTTGAGTAGCTCTATTTGTGACAAAGAAAAGCAAAATCCATCGTAGAGGATGGCTACCCTAATTTTTCTTCCTGGCTATTAAACCCAGAGGAAGAGCACCTGCCACTGAGGAGAGAATCTGTGAAGACTCCTACGGCTGGGTTGGAAATGACGTCTTTCGCAGTCTACTGTTCTGCAGAAATAGTATTAACAAATGGGGCGACACTAGTCGTCTGGCAAAATTCGCTACAGAGCTGTCTACGGTACCTGTATTCAGGTGTCGCTTAGGTAAATCAGTGATATCTCCTCCACCCATTTACTAGCTGGATAGATCCCAGGTAGATATGTCTGGACAGGACTGAAGTAAACACACAGTGACAAGAGGGAAAAAGAAGCAAAATACTCTCTCCGCAATAACTGTTTTGAACTTCATCCTTAGGTCAATGGCTCCACTTCTAGGCCACTGTTCCTAAGACTGGTGATGGGAATTCCAGATGGCCTGCACATTCCCCTTCCGCCAATATTGTTCCCGAACTGGATGAAAACCCTAGATTCTGTGGAGTCGCTGAGAGGGGTCAGTGACACTGCGGTTAATTTTTAACTCAGCTGCATAGAAATTCGAGGACTGGCCCGGATGGCTCGTGGGTGTTTTTCCTTTCGGCACCGACCACATTGTGATGGCCGACGAGGTCGGATGACCATGGGCAGTGCCGAGAATGTCTCCCAAAAAAAGAGAGCAGTTATGTAATGCTCTGATAGATTGTTTAACTCTTCGTCTCACTATTCGTACACTTAAGTCTCCAGTGATTGTACTTCCGCTAGGTGGCATGACTTTTGAGATGTTTCTTTATTCCCTGACTTGATGTTTCAGACCTGCGATCACATCCATGGCCTCCCTGTCCCTCTGCGCGTAAATACGAAGTCCTCTCCCATACCGAAGGGATATCCTACGACTTCAGGAAAATTCAGGACACTACGGTGTTTCTTTAATGTGACAATATTACTTGGAATATTATCTTATCACGCAATGATTGCTTCAGTGATTGACAGTCGATGAAGCCCTGTATGCCAATGTGTGCCTCTACTACGAAGGCAGGTACAAAGGATGTGGTTGAGCACTCAGAATGATAAATAAGTGTTCAGGAATGTACACTTCATCCTGTACAACTGCATCGCCGGACAGGCGCGCCCAACCAAGGTGGCGCATCCACTATTTCCTCCGATCTTCCATTTAATTAATCAAGGAAAACACGCCAATTTATCCGCAGGCGCCTTTTTTTCTTTTACATTAGATTTAATTCACCTTTGAAATCAAGAATCAACAGTAAATTCCAAGTAAATTACCGTCTTTTTTCCCAAGAAACTTTGCCTCTTCTCCGTCACCAGGCCCCAGTCCTGTGGGCTTTTAGCTGATTAGGGCAATAATACCGACTGCCCGGCCTAGATCATCGATACCCCCTTGACACCGCCACTGATACGGGTCACGGCTTCAGCGCCACAAGTTCTCCTTTTTACTTGCTGTGAAGAGGACTCTCACCTTTTCTTCTAAGTCGACAATTGAGTGGCTAGTCTTGCAGTACCTATTTTTACTTTTAAAAAGCCACTTCCAGCATTTTTATTTTTGGTATCGTGTCACCTTGACATGGTCTGACAGTCGCGATGATGTGGAGGTGCACCAATAGGAGGCCAATTGACCTTCAGTAGATCATATTATAGTTCCAACAGATCTTTGATAAATAAAACACCATTTTTATGGTGGATTTATAGGAGGCCACTATATTTTTAAGTAATTTTCTCTCCCTTCTTGAACTGACTATTTGCTCCACGCCATGACAACCTGTCAATTTATATCGACCTTTGTTTCTAAAGTAAAAAGTTCATGGCAGGTAAGTCCGTTTTTAATAAGCCAATTTTTCTTCTTTTTTTTTAACTGAATGGGAATGAATTGCCTTAGCCTGTGCTAATTGCCAGAGTCCTACGTATGCAAATCCCTCCTTGCGACTCCGCACATTAACGTTGAGGGAAGAAAATCACATCTAAAGGGGTTTAAAAACTTATAAGGACACATTTTAAAATGTCCAAGGGATCTTTTGAAGGCTATCTTGTCGACTGTTTTACCTGCGATCTGAACACAGTGGCCTCTCAGTCGCCAGGTTTGGTGATTTCAACCCGACAAGACTACCGAAAGGTCATGCCTATGATCCCCAGCCTTAGGAACGCATCTTCTTTACCTGCAGGCGTGCCTTTATTACAGGTTCAGAGAGGCCAGTGGGCTACTCAATTTAAGTTACAGACTTAACTGCTCGAGAAGTTTAATCTCCGCAGTCCCCATTTCCATTTTGGCAGGATACCGGTTCCAATCATGTCAGTCATGTTGATAGCAACCCAACCTTTTTATGCACCTTTAACAGGAATTTTGACTGGAGCCACAAATCCCTCCACGTCATCAAGAAGAAGTCAGGCTCCACAACAGTGAAATACAACCAAGTCTTCAAAAATATCCGGTCACTTTTCCCAAAGATGAGAAAGATGCCATAAAAATCAAATTTGCATAAGAGCATGCAAGTGTGTTACAAAATTCGATTGAATAAATGGCTCTATTTTCATGGATAAATAATGATTGACATACTACACTTAACCGCGGGTGGGTAGACGACGACAAAATGACTCCTTTAGTGCAAATCCAACACAACACTTGTCATTGCTGCAGTATTTCACTCTTCGCGCTTTCTGCCCTTAAAAAAGAAGAGCAAAATTTGCTGAAAAACCCCAAAATTAACATGAGGCGAACTGTTTGAATATAATCAAAGTGAGCAAATTGAACCTAAAATTTTCCCACTAGTTTAAAAATAAGAAATTACAAAGTCTTGCTTTTATTTCTGCCTCCTAGCGCCTCGTGAACTTCCAAAATATCTAGCCTTTGTAATAGCAAGACTCACAAATTTCGTCAGGCCTTTGAATGAGAGGTTCCTGTCGGGTCTCTTCCTAACCCCTTCCATTGGTGTAGGCGCTACTGAGGACATTTCAGTAGCATCCACACTGCTCTGGTGGTCAAAGCTTGGTTTTGCTGACAGTGGTGGCGGTGGTGGTGCATGAATAGCCTTAAAACAGTCCACAGGGGGGTGGAGGGAAGAATGAGACAATTTTTTGGAATGTTATATAAACTTTAGCCCTACTGATAATGAGAGGACTTTCCTTGTGTCTATCAGTTGCACCTCTAAGTACATACACTACCAAACTTCATTCATCAAAATTCTCTACATGCTTAAAGGGTATTGCTCTTACCTCAGGATGCAAAATCTTGCAATTAGCAGGAAAGAATGGGTGCATTTATACGATAAGACTACTAATACAACAATACTTAGCCATTCGGAAGAAGTGAGAGAGGTAAGAAGTCCGGATAAAAGAAGAATTCGACAGAACTTAGCCCAAGCGACTGGGAGAAATTGCTTTCTGGGAGGCCCTAGACACCCAATAAACTAACAACGGACTGATGGAGATGGATAGGGGTGAATGGAAAGGTAAAAGGAAAGATGGATACAGGATGGATGGATGGATGGACGGAGGAATGGGTTGGATGATGGATATAGGATGGATGGATGAATGGATGCAGAATTGATAAATAGATGGACAGATGGATGGATGAATACAAGAATGGTAAATTAATGGGTGGATGAACTTGTATTGATCAGATACAACCCACCTCTGGTATGGCTAATTCATAATTACTAAGAATAAATTTAACTATGTCTAGATTTATGGGCAGTTTGAGTGGTAATTACCGCAATAATCAAGTGAGCTGGCGTCTGGCCTCTCAAAATCAGTCTTTGTGTCGTGAGAGGGTCACTGGTCCAGCGACTCCTGAGCACTGCAAATCTACATCCCAAACTAAATAATCTCGATAATTAAATGATTGGTAATAGGAATAAACCACCGACCAGCGCGAACCTATATCCAGACACATACAGCACAGGGCGTCACATAAACTGGAAGAAGTTGTACCAGACGTCATTTGAAGCAACCGTACAAAACTGGGTATCACGCAACCCACAGAGGAGGCCCTTCCCTTAGTTTCGTGCTAAAACTTCACCATGAAGGAAATTTCGAGCATTATTAGCAGTCCCACTCACCGAGACTAAATTTTCCAGTAGGTTTTGCATCTGCTCAGTGCGTTTATTTTTCACCTCCTCACTTTGCTTTAACTTCCGCACTATTGAATGCAGACGTTCGGTGACATTTTTGATGCAGTTTTCCAGTCGAATGAGACGCATGTACGCCCGATCCATGTCCTCCTTGCTCGCCACCCGGGTGGTCAACAGCTTGGAGAATTGATCGTACGAATGCCCAATTTCGGCCTCTTGGAAGTTGAACATCTCCTGCATCAGACTCATCTAAAATGACGACCAGAAAGGGAAGGAGGAAAGAAATAGGTGCAAACGTACCTTTCGGCTATATGGTGGGCTGTTTTGGTTTTGGAATTCAGTATCCCTTTTCTCACCAGAGTAACACGTTACCTAGTACATCATCTTCAACATTTCGGCGATTTGGTAAGTTTTAAAAGATGTCCCTACTATTAGTGATGAGATGGAAACTGGTTCATATTAATTTGCCGATCAATCCTGTAGCTTTCAATTAATCAACGCGTTGTGCTTCAAGATGTTGATACTACTTAATTCCCTTCGGCGTACGAAATGCTCAATATATTATTTCTTTCGTAAAACTTGCTTATATTAACCTTCCTATAAATTTTAATGACATTTCCTTCCCTAGCATTACATAAAATACAGACTTCTGTGCTCTTCTTGAAATTATCTAATGTCTGGCTGATTTACCTTTTTATTCTCCAGGGTTTCACGCAGTGCCCTGCGCTCATTTGTATCCAACTTCATGTCATTGTTTGTGTCCACTTTTCGTAAAATCTCATCCAATGCAGCTCCACTAGCTTCTCCGCTAAAGAAAGATTAATCTAATTTATGTTTTACAAGGAACTTCTTGCTTAAAATATTTATCATTAGTATACAGGAGGGTGATTTTTTGGTACAAATATCTATGCTACTTTTTCTACTGACTACTTATGTATTGATTTTATACCATTTAATTTGTTTGATTAGGAGGAGAAATATGGTCACAACATACTTCATTTCAGCTTTCAGATCATCAATAGACATATCGTTCTCCTCGGTAGCTACAGCGTCGATTGCGTCTTGGATCTCTTGAAGTTGACTCTTCTTTTGTTTCATCTTGTTACGCATATCCTTAAGGCGCTGTAATACAAACTCATGGTGTAGCACAAATGTAATTCTCAATTTATTCTATTCCTCAGACAAGATAGCAGATTATATGTCACTATCCATCTATCCTGTATCCATTCATCCATCCATCCATCCTGCACCCATCCATTCTATATCCATCCATCCATTCATCCAGGGTGCATCCATCCCGGATCCAATTATCTCTTTTTAATTAATCCACTTATCCAAGATCTGGGAACCACTCACCTTAGATGCAACCTTTTTTTATAATCTTTTCATTCATTCACCCACACCTCGTTTGCCTATTTTGGTTTCCTTCACCTCTAACAGCAGAGTTTTGACCTCGAATTCGGTAAACCTACTTGTTTAAAAAATGACTTCATTTGGAACTCGCTGGGCTGGTTCAACAAATTCGATTTCACCTCCAGATAGGTGTCATTAATGATGGCAATGAACATGTTGATGAGGACGAAGAAGACAAAGAAGATGTAAACGAGGAAGTAGAGTGGACCGAAGAAGCTTTGCGCGTCGTGTAGAGCCTGGAAATCGAAGTCGCCCAAAATGATGCGGAAGAGAGTCATGCTAAAACAGACATGGTTGGAAGGAATTGCGTCAAGTTATTGCGTCTTTATGGAATGCTCACTTATTCCACCAGTCATGCGACTTATAATCATGATTTTATAATTCTTATTCTTCATTTTCAGTTAACCGGTAACAAATTTACAGGGAGGTTGCGAATGTGCTGAAGTCGGAGACCTGTGTCCCGAAAGCCAGGTAGCCTAGTTGGGCGAACGCGAAGAAGACAATGAAGAACATCACCCCGAAACCGGCAATATCCTTTGCGCAGTTTGCCAGGGTCAAGTTCAGCTGGTTCATAGTCTTGTTGAAGCTGACGTACTTGAAAATCTGTGAAAGGAGTCAGAGTGTTTATTAACTAGCTGAACATTTGCCTTAGGTGTGTGTCATTGAATGGAGTCTAATTCCTTTGCTTTTTTATACTGCTCGGCATTTCTTTGGATCGTGGATTTCTTTCAGGAAGAACGTACAACTCCTTGTGGTCATTATAATGACACTTTGAAGGCACATGGCAAACGTTGATATGCGCGCAATGTCAGCGTGCTTTGTAGAAAGAGAGAGAGGGAGAAAGGGGATAAGGTACCTTAATCCACACCAGGAAGACGAGTATGCCAACGGCGTAATTGAATTGCATCTCCCAGTAGCTCAGCCGCTCGAAATTGGAGTACTCGTTGGGGTTGGCCAGAAGACTACTTAACGTGGCTTTCACCCTCACCGTGCGGTAGATGTTGAATCCCGCGCAGATGCAGGACAGTACCACAACAAGAACATCCAGAATGTTCCAGAATTTTGTAAAGTACTTGTAGCCAAGGTTGAACACCTGTGGACAAGTATAACAGCTTTGTGTTGAGGAAGTATCTCACAAATTTTTTTGCTGTGGTTCCGACCACATGATCAGGGGAGTAGTAATTCGGACATTGACAGATGAAAGCTTTGGAAGGGGAAAGATGAGCTAAAAGAGGGTACCTTATACGTTATACAAGCTTCCAAAAGAAGTCGATTTTTGTAGAAGTGATGTTATTAAGTGAAAAAATGAAGCCTTGTAGGTATTCCAGATTTGCTAATTTATATAGTGACTAAAAATCTCCATACAGGTTTGCCATAAACCAATGGAAACGATTTTTTGTGATTTATATGGATTTGTGAAATGCGTGGGATTAATGAGTACACCGTAAAGCGGGCTCAGGGGGCATTTCTGTAAGTGTCGACTCCCGTCTCGGACCTACCTCAATAACCTCCTCAGCTACGTAGTAGACAACGAAGAGGAGGAAGAAGCACTCAAACATCAACACAACATAATCCTGCGTCCGAACGTAGCGCAACAGTTTTACTGTTCGAAATTCACTGCCAATTAGGATCCCCCCGGTCGGAGGCAGTTCTGCTACGAGTCTGAATAACAAAGAGGATTATTTTCCAGTTACCTGCTTCATCTAAACCTGCATAAAAAATCATCCTTGGAATTTTGGTAACTTGAAAGCATTATTCTATATTGCAAGTTTTCGTCAACCGAGCTGTACTATTCCTGTTATTGTTCCATTTTTTGATACCATGGTAACTGCCTCTTGCGATGAATTGAATGGAAAGTAGGCTTTGGCCTTAAGATAATTTAAAAAATTGGAAAATAGACTGCAATTAGCGACAATCGCGTTTCTTATTTTCAGGCTGTTTTGTGACTTAAATTTTTACTGTCTGCTTTAAAAGAGGTTGTGTTTTATGCAGGATGACGGCGCATAATATATGGTTGATTTCACCAGTTCTAAAATCCCTGCCACTTCTACTTTTGCATACTTGTTCATTTTAATTAGGTTTTAAACAATTATACATAGGGTTAATTTTTGCTACAAACAAGTCGAAAATTTTAGGGCTAGACTCAGAGAAGTTGATGGGTCTATAAATAAAGCGAGTTTGTAGGCAAATTTTAATCACCTTGCATTCTGGCAGTCCCATCTTAAACTGCGTAGAAAAGATGTCAGTACTCTTATCGTTTTGCCATAGGAAATTGTTATTAAAAAATTAAGTTGCCCCCTCTCTTCTCCCCTATTTTACTAGTAAGTTAGAGAACTGGAACACTCTATCATAACTTGAATTTGTGGGAAAATTTTCCATTTTATTCACATAAATATATAACTACAAAGCAGTTTGTAATCCTCGTCTCTTATGATTGTTCTTTTGACAGGAATTAGTATTCAACCCTAATGCGACCAAGTTTTAGTTTAAAGAATAATCTCACATTTCGCCACAGCGTTTCGATATAGCGTTACGCTTGGCATGTAATTGTATGGACCTATCTAGTTCCGCAGATCATATTTACTCCCGGTAGTATTACTCTTCACCACGCTCTTACTTTCTTAGTCCCTCTGTATGCTAATCACAATCTTCCTAACTGCAAAATGCCTTATTTGAACTTCTGGGAGGGTTCAAAGTGCTACATTTTCGAGCGTAATATTACAAGCAAAATAAGATTGGAGTTCGCGCAGTTGACAATGCATTGCAGCTAGTTTTTACCTCCCTAAATTTCTGATCTACACTTTCTCTTTATCTGCTCATGTAGCAAGCCTTTAACCTCAAATGGTGAAAAGTCAAAGCTACTAATAGATTTTCTTTAAAATTAGCCCAACACAATTATAATTATGGTCAACTCCAACGTGATTGCAATAAGTGATGATAATCAAACTCAACAGATCTTAAGGAGGGACGACTGGTTATCCAAGCATGGCTATAACTATAGCAGTTGAATTATAGCTTGATTCAAGCTGCTAAAACCGCTCCACCAAGGATCCTGTCAATGCTAGTGACAGTTCGTCTTTATCGTCAGTAAAACGTCCAAGTTGTGTTCGTAACTTACGAGACAACACAGAAGAGATTGGCGTTGGAGTTGTAGACAGTGAAGTGGAGGAAGATGGCGCTAGTGCCTCTGTCAACCCAGAGGTTTTGGAACAACTCCGTCACACTCTCCAAGGTCATGTTTTCATCCTGCGGCAGATCCAGGTAGTACCCACCGCCGCCGTACACCGCCACCGTGCCGAAATGAATGCCCATTTTTAACTCGTCCCCCGAGGTGTAGACCCATCTTAAAACAGATGATATTTTAGCTACTTTCGAGGCAGTAATGTTACTCGAGTCCCAAAGCTACCACTTTGTTGGTTTGTTTAACTCTATGTGTTAGTTACGCGACAACTTAAGGCTTCGCCTTTGTACTTCCTTTAGGTGGTGGAACTTTCAAGCCTTTCCACTAGCCCCCTAGCCCTTCTCTTCGTCATTAATACACTCTCCGCCATAGCACAGTCCCTTTTTACAACTTCAGAATAGGCTCGGATCGAGTTTACGGTACGGTCCAACTAGTCTAAGGTAGCTTCCCCAACGGCGTGACTTGAGCAGCCATTTAACTCACGCAGTCGAATTGCCCGGCCCGTAGGTTGATCTATCCTCAATGGCGTCAGAGTAGATGCCATAACAAGAGGTAATTTGTTGGGCAAAGTCCTCCGGAATGCTGCAGGAGTGGTTAGTCACACGCACCTGGCGAATTCGTATTAGTCCCAGTCTCACCGATTCGTAACCCAAGTAGTAGGTATCATTTCCACTGATCAGTTTGCTGTTGTACCACTGGTTGTCGTAAAGGGTGTGGATCAATGGACCCTTTAGTACCTATGCGGTAGGCGAAAGGATTGACACGTTTAAAGTGGGTGAGTGGAGCCACATCAAGCGAGTCTAGATTTAAAAGACCTAAAAATAAAGTTCTTAAACCTCCACTCTCTCATTGACTTCATAAGGCAAATATTTTTGTCAATGTGACAATACCACAAGCATAACGCACATCCCAGTAGTCGTCGATGGAGTTGACGGAGGCCAGGGTAAGGTCACTGTCCTCAACCGGGGTATTCATCAGCACATCTCTCACCGCCTCGGTCATGTAGAAGGCTTTTGAGTCAAGCATCCCAAAAGCGACTAAAGCCAAGATTGTTAAAAGAAAAGAGACAAAAGTTGGATTATTATGTCATGGAAATTCCCTATTCCTCTTCAGTACTGGGAGTGATTTTGAAACCAATCTACTGGGTGGTTTGGCTATTTAGGGCAGGTAGATGGTGACTTTTCTAAAGAATGCAGAGTATATTTAACGCAAAGAATGATGCTGTGCAGGTCTTCATCATCACCTTCATGTTCACATACCCGATTGATGCCATGGAAGTCCACCTGGATCATCTCGATTTCTAAATCTCGAGCCTTCCTGCAGATCTATCCAAAAGTTATACTTAGTTCTCTTTAGTGATTATATTTCCAAAGTCGTTACGAATCACACGCATCTATAAGTAGTTGTTTGTGTGTGTCTGGAGGAGCACATGTAACTTGACCATGGATTTAGAGCACCACCTTGATAGCTGGCCAGTTGGATGTTCAAAAGCCTTACGAATATAGTGGCACATATAAGAGAACAATACCACTGTTACTCACTTGTAACGAGTGTGATCACAAAAAAGATGTAGATGAGCAGTTCACGAAGTGTTGTTTTGATGAATAGCTCGCGGTCCGACCTCGTATCCTCTGTTATACGAGTGGCCCAGAATTCTATAGCATAAAACGATGCTAGTCATGATTATTCAGTAGCAAAGTAAATACCTCCCCCCCCCCCCCTCCAATCAGGTAAACTTGCTTCTCATGAAGCCGCAAAACCGGTGCCAACAGCCGTGAGTGTCAGCGTCTCCGTAGCCCAACTGCTTATCCTCGAAGTTGTAATGTGTGTTGTCGAGGAAGACGGCCTCTGCTTCCTGTTCATTGCCGAGATGATCGCTTTCGTAACCCGGGTTCGCAGTCATTCTGAATGCAAACGATCTTTTATGTCGCTTTGCACGCATGAACAAGAAAGTACAACCCCGTTATAGAAGTTTTTGTTAGTCCTGTTTGATATAAAAACGACTACAATTAACCTAACTAAATTTCGTACTGATCTTTAACAGTATTGCATTTTTCTTCAGTAAAATCTCTGGTTTAAATTTGCAGGTATTTCATTAAAAGAAATTATATTTAGATCTAAAGTAACAAATGTAAGGTGCTTAGCTTAGGCTTCAGCGTCTGTTCAAAATTGGCCTTGGTGACATTTTTGAAGAAAAGAAAGATGTATTCTTTGCTCAAATAGTCATGTAAAGGACCACTGTAGTCTCAAAGCAGAATGTCATCAAATGCACTGGTTGTATTTTTTTTGCTTTTACTTGATTAAACATCAACTACACTTAGAATGATTTCAATGTCACGGCTAAGAAATTTCCTGCTGCAATTTTTAACGCCGGTCTTTAATTGAGTACAGGTGGGTGGCCATGATAAATACCTTAGAGGAACTGGTGTCTCTTTACAGCTATAAAAAGGAAATGTTTGGTGCCAAAAGACGTCCTTGTGGTCGAGAAATGCCCTTCTAATAAAAGAAAATAATAAACTTGTAGAAGTAAGAGGCGGTCAGGCTTTTTGCTTAAGCTCAATTAAAAACACGTCAAAATATCATTTACTTTTCTTGATTCCTTAGATAGGTCTAAGTTTTTTAGGATTTTTCTGGTTGTTACAACTTGTGGTCGACTCAAGATGGACCATCACAATTAACGATGAAATAGTAACCCCTTCTATGAATGAACCAGCTTCGATAAAAGATCGTGCAGGACCTGCCTACTGAATTTTTAGATAATTTCCGTAGGATTTTAGCCTTCTACCATTAAGAATTTTGACCATTGTGAAAATAAAGGGAATTTTGGGGATATCCCAAAAATAAAGAAAAAGGGCAAAAAGGTGATAAACAGCAAACCTTAAACCTTTCACCTTCCGTAATTTCCTCGTTCGACGCGCCTACCAACTACGGAACGGTGATAACGGAGCTATTTCAGCAGCAATTTTAATGGGCTATGGCAGTCATGGTAACGTACATTCACACTTCATGTGCTCTTGCCCATACATGCGCGGGCGCTTTGTTTCCTTCTCCATCGTCGCTATGGTTGCCAGCAAAAGAGATCGGGGGAAGAAGGATTTACGTGCAACAGAAAATTCACCAATTTCGCGTCCAACAGTTGGGGTGCTTTCGTTTTCCCTAGTTTTTTTACACTCTGCATAGCAATGTTTGTGCAGCTTCCAAGCCAAAAAGTGGATTTTCTATCCTAGCTTCAACTGGAAGATATTGCCATTATTTGAAACACTACGTCTGTTGACAATTCACTGGTTTCAAAATTGTATGCGTAGGTTGACAATTCAGTTTGTACCAGGTCATGGTCAAAATGGGTTAAATAGCCAAAACCGTTTTATATACTTTATCTACAAGTCCCGCATCCACATTTATTCTTCTCAAAGAAGGCAAATTAAATTTACCCCTGTAAAAAAATTTATTCAGCAGTATCTTCTTTAAGCCCGCAATCTACGTTTCTTCGACTTGGGTTTTCTCGATTTCACTGCCTTTTCAACGTTGACCTTCTCTATCCGTTTAGGTTCGATCAGTGGGAAGAACATCCTGTTGTCTGAAAATCAAACGATCCTTTAGATTACTTAGTTGAAATTTTTGTTCTAGCAAAAGTCACATAAATAGCCAGTTGATCATTTGCCACTTCTAAAATTTCTTTTGGAATAACCACTTGAAAGAGCATTGGAGTCACAAAAAAACTTGCAAGCTTAACAGTGGACAGGTAAGGCTTCCTATGATCGTACAAGTTTTTTCTCTCAATAGACGATGTTTCGGTGTTGCCTTGGCGGGTGACGGCGTCGGCGGCTTCCTTATGGAGGACATCTTCGCACTAGTTCGGAATAACCTTTGTAACGGCGACATTCTCGGTGTGGTTCGCCTCCCCTTTGTTTTCGTTGTACGGTGCTTTGGCTTTTTTTGATGCTCTAACTCTAGGAGGTGGCTCAAAAAATAAACCAAGGAGGAATTACCTAATATCCGTAGCTCTTGCCAAACAGTTAAACTTCAGGTGGGTTTCAGTGGGATCAAGGGTTTAGAATATAAGGTAACACAGAGCATAAGATAAGCCTACCGATTGGTTCCTCAATGATGTCTTTGACTTAAAAAAAACAAAAAGGAAATAATTTAATTAAGAAGTGGCAATATGGAACAGGAATCCAAAACTCCAATTAGTTTTGTAACTGCCTTTTTGCTTTCGCGGTGGGTTACAGAGCCCCAAGGCCATGTCATTGGCTTCCTATACTCTTCTATATGTCGGCAGGACACTCCTCACCCAAGTATTATGTGGTCTTTCGATTTCAGAAAAGACTCGGGGCGCTACAGAACCGCACTGTTCCATAATTCTGCCGCCACTAGGATCTACCTCTGAGGAAAGTCGGAAAGTAGGCTAAAATTTACGTCACTCGATTTAAAAACACTTTTCCATTTAAAATTCATTTTAACCGGTCTAAATGGCAGTGGATGTAGAGTAGCTACATCTTTCATAAGCTTGGCAGGATTTGCATGTCACATATATGTGACGCCAGTTCCGAGTGTGTTTAATTATGTAACCCAAGGTAAGAAACAGACTGGTTAAATACGCAAAACAAACCATAAAACAAGACCAAAAGCTAACCTGGCTCATGGAAGGGAATTTCACTGATCTCTTCTATAAAGTAAGAGAAGAATATTTTTTTCTTTCGCAATTAAATTACCCGAAATTTACTTAAAAACAAGCCTAAACGTGTCAAAAAGAAATCTCTTTATAGATTTTGATTTATCAACTTTTCTTAATAAGTCGCGAAAAAAGGAACCGAAGGTAAAGAAGGAGGGGGGGGAGTAGGCGAGAAATCAACAGAACGACATGATCCTACTTGTACTTAAAGGCTCTTCAGCAGCAAGTGGAGAATTTACGCAATGTTAGTGATCATCAAAACCTGTCTTTTATTTTTAAATAGGAAGGTTTTTAATGAAAAGGAGCAACTTTGGGTACTTTAGGGCCTTACCTTCCAGGCTTTTGAAATGACCTACAATGCAGCAATTTGATTGGTTAGTTTCGATCCCATACCGCTCTTCAAACAAACAGTTTCGGTACCTTCAATGAATTGGGGGAAAGGAAAAAAATTGCAGGAACAGTAAGACGCCAGTGTATCACCCCCACATTACTTGTAAATGGCATTTTTAAGGTCAAAAAGGGGGATTTATACTGGGGCGATCACTTTACTCACGTGGGAAGAATTGGAGGATCTTGAAAGCCTTCCGCGATTTTCCTGTAGACAAAAAGCAGTTTAAGAGTGGGTAGGAAATAATTCTCCAGATGTGTAAAATGGTCTACTAATCATAGGAGGAGGTGCACTCCTAGTTAGGAGTACATTGTCACCATATCATATCATTCACATAGAGATGAACCATTTCGGAGCCTTGCTTTTATGTAAGCTCCCAACTTCGTGAGCAATACACCCAGAGCCTCACAGTACCCCTGAACAGTACGGACTTGATACGAAGGGTATACGTGCTCATCGACAGTTGGCTATTCTTCTCGCCATCATCACCGAAATACTCACCCGTGAAGAGATACTCGCCTGTGCGCATGTACGCCTTCTCGCCCCTGTAGCGTTGACTGTAGGGATACTTCATGGTGAGCACAATGTGGATAATCATGGCCGTGAATACACTCAGAATGGCCAGATCGAGAAGGAGGAGGAGGAACATCGTCAGTTTCTCAATGTCCACCGATCCCAGGAACATCCATTCCTCGGTCATGTCCGAGTAGATTTCGTGTTGGTGACCACACTCTCTACTCATCGCTGGTTGTTAGCGTCCAGCTTTGCTGACAGTGGGTGGTAGGAATAAAAAACAATTTTTTCCGTTATAAAGTGAAAAATGGCAAAGGTGTCTTGCCAGTCGGCCATCTTGACGAAATGAAAGCAACTCACACACACTACTTACTACTTCCATTCAGTGCAATCAAGGCAAAAATTTTGACATCTGCGTTATCTGTCTCTCAATCGTCCGTCTAATCTACCCACGTGGAAGGCAAAAAGACGCACAACGAAGTAGTGATTATTCAAAGAGATACAAAGAAGGTGATGGAAAGCGTTGACCGTCAATGTGGCCGTGAGGTATCCACGGTTGTCAAAAATTGCATTGAAATGCCCCAGTCCAGGTCTATTTAGGCGGAAGGCGCATCAAGGCATAATCTGCTGTACAGTTGCTACAATCTCGTAGATGTGAGAGATGCATAGCGAAGTACAAAATAGGTGGTGGAAGGCGTTGATTGTCACTACCTGCGGGGAGAAACCCACGATTGTCGGATCCCGCTTAAATACCCCTGCTCCAGGCATGTTCAGGTGGGAGGTACTTCAAAACACAGTCTGCTACGCAGGTGCCACCTTTCCGTAGACGTGGAGAGTAAGAGGACTCACGGCAAAGTGCTGACTATTCAACGAGGTACAGGGAGGGAGGGATCCGTGGTTGTTGGATCGCATTGAAATTGCCCCCAAGTCAGGTAATTTTAGGTAAAGGACAAGTCGAGGCACAGTCTGCTGCGCAGATGGGCCACTGCCTCGTAGATGTGCCTATCGATTTCCGTTATCAGACGCTTGGAATTCAAATTTGACCCCGCGAGGTTTAAATCACAGCTGCGACTATTTAAACGGTGAGTAAATGATAAGTCTTTCGTCAATCGCAGCATCTTTTTTACAAAAAAGACAAAAATAATTGAGGAAATTAAACTAGCATTTTTTAAAATAATGAATTAGCTCGTCTCTTACTGTGTGACAGTACCTGCAGGTGAATAAACATTCGCTAGTTGATGAAGCTAATGAGGTCATTGGGTGGGCCATCAAGGGGGTCATTTGGCATCCTAGTCCACAGAAAAGTGGCAACAAAGTAAATTTTCGCTTCCTATTTTGTGTATTTTATTGTAAATTACGGCAGAAAATAGCCAAAAAAGATGTGAGATGAAGAGTGTCAACACCATACCCAATTTTTTACCCCTGAATAACATAAATATTTTTTATGGTCTTTAAAAAGGCTATAAGCTGTTCAAAAGTTAATAGAATTGAACTTTTGTATGTTAGTCACGAGCACAAATTATGTTATCTCTCTTTCGACTGCTGCGTCCCGCTTTCATCTGAACGCGTTGCTCCATATGTTAGGGGCTACGTATAGCTAAGTCGGGATCATGTATATGGTGTCCGGAAATTTCTGCACGATTCTTGCTAAAGTTGGTCAAGTAAAGGTGTATGTAAGTCTATTGGGACCGTCTTCTTCGCTGTGCCTCCTTATTTCCTCTCTCCCCTTCTCTTCGGTCATTTCGAACTTACCTTATAGCGTAAGTGATTGGTTAAATTGAACGCCATCTCATAGTTTTAGATGCCCCACTCCAAGTCTGGAGAAGGTTTATTTGAAAAGGTGTGGCAGCAGAGTACATTTTACATACAAAAAGCATCCCATACAGTAGCTTCTCTTTCGACCATGGCGTCCCGTCTTCACTTGAACACGCCACTTCACATAGGACCCTACGCATAAGGAAATGAGCTCAAAGTCATAAATATAATTAAAGTTGAAACTTGTTAAGCTAATACCCTCTCACTGTTTTGTTTCAACCCTACCACCACCGTCACCGCCACCGTCATCGCCACCACCGTTCGGGTAGAGGATGAAATGATAATGATGGAGCCAGAGCCGGTTCAAGATGTGGAGTGTGGTGGGGTGACGTTGGACGTGAATAACGCCAATTCCGCGCCCCGTATGATTTCAAGTTGTACACCAATACAAAAAACTCTTGAGGCAGGGGCAACAACCACTAATCCAGCGTCCACTGAGGGTCTCATGACCTCGCCAGAGTTTGGCCGACACCTAGACGTTGGCCGACTGATGGAGTTCAACCGAGAGCTGACCACGAGGTATGCCAATCTGCAGGCGCAGTTCGCTGAACTTGTGAGTGAACACAATCGCCTACAATATAGGCACAATATGATGGAGCTCGCAACTTTGCAAAACTCGCAAGTAGGCCATTTGAAGACTCACAATGACTTTCATGCGAACCGTTTCCAAGTTCTTTTGCTTCCTCTCCCCCCCTCGACTAGGGCGATGGACCTCAGCGTGGCAAGTGTGGCGAGGACACGCTATTGGCGGCGCAGTACCGCGCTGATCTGCGCAAGATGACCTCTGAGAAGGAGACGGTGTGCCATCAAGCGACGCAGCTGCGCGAGGACCTTCGCCAGACGGCCGCCCGCCTCGGTTTCCTGCAGACCTACGTATCGCAACTGCAACAGCGCTTAGTGCAGCGTGATCGCGTCATTCAGAAGTTAATGCAGGAGCGCGCTCTCAACGTCATCCGTGATGTGCATACACGGATGCTGCACAACGAGCTGTTGGAGACGAGAGGTGGCATTCGAGTCGTTGTGCGGTGAGTGCTCTTCCCTGTATGAAGTGTTAAAGATTGCCCTCACCCCCTTTTTATCCATTATAGATACCTTCCAACAGCAGAGGAGTTCAGCAACATAGAGATTGTAAATTCGAACGTCATTTTAATTCGCAAGCCCCTCTTCAACTTTGCCCATCTAAAGGGCAAAGCACAGGCAGAGCATCTCAGCGTCTTCAACATTCACAGCAACGCCACCCGCAACGCTGTCATCTTTGGCGATGTTAGAGACTATATTGAGGCCTGCGTTGATGGGTGAGTTGCCTCAATCCTACCTTCCGCCTAGTCATGGTTCCTGGTCTTAACCGATGGTAGACGATGGACTGAAGCCACTTTGGGTGGGCGAGTTGGCCCTGACAGGTTCGATTAAGTGTGTTCAAGTCTAGAAGTAGATGCATTAAAATGCGTGAAATAGCTGGAAGGCCAGTAGCATAAGCAGCATGGAGTGACAACCTTATGGAGATTGGAGGCCTCCGTATGGTCGAGATGAGTGATCTGTTAAGTCTTGACTGTGATTATGAGTGGCCTAAGCTATCTCCTTATTTGTCGGTGCGTTTGACCTTAAGCAACACCGCCGCAATAATCGCGAATGGACCAAAAGGCACTGGGAAGACACACACGATGGTGGGACCTGCGGACGACGCTGGGATTATTCCGCGTGCTCTCAGTCTCATTTCCCAACTCTGCACTGATCGCTCGCCCCTGTGGGAGTTCAAGATCTCCCTCAGTGCTATTCAGGCGAGTCAAGATTCAAGGCATAATTTTAAAATCGATAGTCCAGAAAGTTCATGACCTTGAGTGCAAGGAGATGGTGGTAGTTCCAGGTCACCCTCCTTGAAGTCGAAACCTCCATGGAGATACTCGCAAATCTACGTACAAATATTTCGTTCTGAGCTAATAGCCTCGAATCGTTTCCACTCTCTAGATTGTCGACGAGGAAATCTACGATCTTCTCACCGATATGGACGACAAATATGAGCTGAGGAGAGGCTGGTTTGCTGCCGACACCTTGGAGCGTCCATCGAAGATTACCCTCCATGATAACGGCTCCAGCATCGTTCTGAAGAATGTAACTGAATTGGAGGCCAACACAGAGGACAGGCTGATCCAGATCTTTTGGTGAGTTGGACTGCAGCTCACATTTGCTTTATTCAGATTGATTGTAGAGGAAATTTGCTAGGGTCCAGTTATGCAATAAGTAGGGAAGAAGGCATACCTCCTTGAAAGACTTATCACTATCGCATGAGGAAGGTCTAGGAGACTAGTCGCTTCAAGTAAAGGCCTGTTTAATCAACTGTATCCAGCAGCTATCCTTCTGTAATTAGTGATGCCTGGCAGACGCATTCCAAGTCAAGTCACATCGACTCAGCGCACTTCATTGTGCTGGTGCGCATCAAGGCCTACGGGAAGGTACCGCTGTCCAAGCCGACCAAAATGGGAACAGTAGCAGGTACACAGGCATTGGAAACCCGGGTCCGATGCCATCAAATTGTCAGCCATGGCTTTCTCATCCTGTGTGATTTGGTCAGTTTTGATCGACCGCGAACAAAAAGGATTACAAATACCGCCGCCTGGGTAGGTAAAACGGAGCGGCAAAGCATAAATGTGTGCGTTCTCTCATCAAATAATCATTCTTTCGGTAAAAAAACATGCTCTTTTAATGAAAAAATAAATACATTTTGCAGAAATGATATAGCTGGGACTGTATTGGGGCGTGTTTTCGAAGCCCTGCGGCACAATGCGACGCATCCACAATCGCCAATCCCAGTGCCCTATCGGGACTCCAAACTGACTCACCTGCTCAAACCAGCTTTGCTCTCGGAGGCCAAGTGTGCGGTGATTTCTACCATATCGCTACGTACAAGCATGTTCAAGTCAACCTACCGTACGTTGCAGTTGTCTGCGAAGGCAGTTGCAGCTGGCTTGGCTTCATGAGGCGGCTGAATATCCAAAAACATTTGGCCAATTTTATATAAATAGGTGCATGTTTGTTTTAAGATAAGATAAATCTTGAATGCAGCAAGGAATTGCTTTGGCCCTGATAAATTTTGATGGAATTTGGCAAATTATCTGGTCGGGTTATAATTGATTGATTAGTGTTTTAAGGTAATGCAAAACGCTGAGACCATTGACCAATGTTATATTGCCATTGCTTAAAAAAATCTTGCTAAAAATGGTCATGTGCTAGAGATGCTATATTCCAGTAACTTATGCGGGTTTTTTTATACGAAATGTAATCAAGGTGTCCGTCCCATGTGGACCAATATTCAAGTGCGTACGGGTTGACTTTAAATTTTTTAAGAATTTGTCAAGGCTGAAATAAAATGTGCAAAATAGGTATTATCTCGAGCAGCTTGTAAATTTATTGTTAGCGCTAGATTTTAAAGTACGAGAATAGGTATTTCAATAGATCAAACTGTGTAGAAGGGAACCCGATTTTAATAAAGCAAATTGTTCTACAAATGCGTGTGCCTTGTGTTTTTTAGCCTTTTTCAAAAAGTGAGCATAATATTTGCCTAAAGTCTACCCCCAGTTTGCTTTTATAATTTGGGTTTTCCTCGTTTTACTTTATCGAATACTTATGCATATGTCGAAGCGCGTCTCTCGTCATTTTCATCTAGCCTTGTGGTCTATCGGTGGTTGTTTTTGTGCTTGTAGTTTAGGATGGGTGAGACAAGTTCGGTACCTGAGGTATTGCCAACATCAATTTTCGTTAGCTAAAACTCTTATGCGTGTCGTAGGACCTTTCCATGGTTTTTCGCAAGTGGGCACGAACGAACTTGACTGGCTCGATGAGGAAGTCGGGGACTCTGAGATCCACGGGAAAAGGTGTCGCAGAAGACGTGGAAGAAATTATTAAATGCATTAGAGTAGGTTCCACTTTAGTCGTTTGACGTTGTGATCCTACTCTGCATGTATTTTGTGCGATAGCTTTGTGCTACTATTGTGCTTGTTGTCAACCTTCTTTTGAGTGGACACTCTTTTCAGCAAAGCAAGTTGACCGATCCCTCTTCGACATGGAGTGAACGGAATAAAGAATGGTGGGATGCAGCTACTGCAGGGAATCTGCACAATATGAAACGTCTTCTGAACGACGACCCAAACATTTTGCATTGGAAAGTAAGCCGGGGGCGCGTCTTCCCTTAACCGTATATTTTCGTTTCAGAGATGCTTATGATGTTATAGTTTTATGCCACGAAAGTGTTGTCCAACAGTTTTGGGACTATCATTCTGTCTGGCTTCTCGTCTGTTATTTGTTATAAGTATCATGTCATTTGTGTTTGTTCAACTTGTCCTACGTTTGAAACTCCTTAGTTGAATCATTGTACATCTTTTACGTTATTGGTAAGGTGATTTTTACTTCACGTTCATCTTTTTTAGAACCCTCTGGATGGTGTAAGCTGTGAAACGTTTAAGTATTTTACTCAACGCTTTTACTCTGATTTCACCTTATTCGGATCTTGGCAAAAACTAATAAATCCCGTTTCTTTTCCACGGTCATCTACAATGGAATCGCACTCGCGTCTACTAGTGGGTAGGTCTCACCTCCTCAGATTTGGGTTGAGCGGATTTTGTCAGTATACTTTGACCTTCATTCGAGGCTCCCCTCATTCTTGTTTTATTCTTATTTCATTAAGACTGCACTGCATTACGTCGCAAAAAGTGGTAATCTCCGATGTCTTGACCTTTTGGCAAAGCAATATGGGGCTAGTGTGGACACCCAGTGCAAGGTGAGTTGGTTGAACTCATTTTCTACCACTTTAATGTCCGCTTTTATGAAATCTGCTTATTTGCAGTTGCACGAAGTTTAAATTTTCTTTTTTGGTACTATTGGCTAGGCCGGTTAAGCAAGTATACGTTGCTTGGACGAAGTCACTGACAGCATGGTTAACAAATGTCGGAATGTCTTGTTATTTCAGCACACCCTATTATTTCACTACGGCAGCAGCTGATTGTGTATGACAAGTTGTTAAAATAATTGTCTATCGCTTTGAGTACCATTTGCACCCGACAGGCTGGATATTTGAGCTCCTGGTCGGATCGCCATAGTTAATGTCCATCTTTAGGCAAGAAGTGCCCGATGTTAATGTTAACATCACCGTCTATTGGCGTTGAAGGGTACTTAAATAAAGAGCTACTTGTATTCAACAGACGATTTTAGAGTTGTCTTTTATCCTGCTAAACCGGTTGCAAAGCATCAAGCGTTTGATTTTGCCTTCCTTTGAGTGTAGACCCATTCGATCACTGATAACATGACTGTCATTTGTTAGTCGGGACTTCATGTCTTCTTGGTTGGCCCTGCATGCCAAGAGTGTCCGGTTTTCAAACGGTGCTGCGTTAGTGAGTAGAAAATGCCTGATTTCGGTACCAAGGTAGTTTGAGCAAAACGCCTTTTACCATCGACGGCTTGAAAGTAAAACATTGGCTTGCTTGTTGTGACCTAATCTGTTTTGAAGTCATCATCTACCGCCTTGGAAATTGGGTGAGCATCAATCTTCGCTGGTGGTTCTGAGACCTTTTCGTTGATTCTATCGTTGGGATTATTTAGTCTCTGCAATTTGTGCTAATTGTCTGAGTAAGGAATATTTCAATCCGATGTTAGCCACTGAAGTTGTCGCTACTCAATACCTTGAATATCCTAGAGCTAAGCCTGGCCTATCACTGACTATCTAGGCGGTCAAACTCTCTAAGTTTCTATTTTTGTAGCAATGATTTGGTCACTTATTTGCTGTTGTCTCCTCAAATGGAGTAATATTTTAATGGCACGGGTACCCGCGACCATCATTTACTGCTTTTAAAATTGGAATGTGCCCCTTATCCACTGATGTCTCGGGGTATCAAGTTCCTTCACTCGCGTTGCTGCGTCGTTATCGTCACCAGAATTCTCTCACTTGGGCGTAAATGTCAGGTTTTGGTGCAACGTAGGTCGGTTAAACTAGGAGCTATCTAGATCCCGGTAAAATCTTATCACTACTGCGTTTGCATCTCAGATCTTTTTGCTGACTTATTTCGTGGTGGTTTGTTTTAGAAAGTGCCCAACTTTAATCCCGGGTAAACTGTTTAAACCACGGTCTTTGGGATCGTTCGTTTGTTTGACCTTACTTGTCACGATGATTTAATTGTTGTAATTTTACACGGGGTCAATACCGTACTGATGTTCCAGGTCGACCCTTCTCTGGGTTTTTTTGTATTTATTGCGAGAATTTATTGCTATCTTCCAAAATACCACTTACAGAATTGTTTTTCGGTTTTAAATAGTCGTAGCAACTGGTACATATAGAGATCTGGGAACAAACGAATTGTTTATTTGGTGAGGATCGGTATACTAAGTGAGGAATCTCCTTCTGGCAGACGGTCTAAATCTTGACTATGAGGCATGTTCTGTGGGAGATTTGCGCTTGTACTAAGAAGGATCCTGAGTGTGATTGGAAAGCCAATTGTAATGGGTCGAGTAGCCGTTTTGCTAAGTACCTGAATTCCTTGTCGATCCCCTGTTGTGGCGTTTCGGTCATTATAGTTGTTCGTAGGTCAGTGTGCATGATGCGTCCATTTTCATTAAGCACTACTTGTTCCGTCACGGTGTCTTAATGAATAAAGAAATGCTGTCCCATCATAATTATTGCGTTAGGTGTAACTAAACTGGTTGTGAATGTGGAGTTTTTTTTTCAAATTCGAAATTGATCAACACATACTTAATGGCTTAGTAATCATCTCGGTTTTTTGTGTGAAGTAGTTACTTGATGCCACATTGTTATTTACATCCATGTGAGTCATACCACGGATCGTCAACATGCAAACTACCTGCGTGGGTGTTACATTTTACCCTTAAAAGCATCACCCATCTTTTTTGTCTTGTGCATTAATGCTCCTTGTGACCTTTTACAGGCACACTAACAACCACAAGTAATGTCGGATGAAGGTAGTCTGAAATTTATGCAAAGTTCTCCCTGTGGGTGTGTGTGAGGGGATCTTGTAACAGTGAATGTGCAATAAGTAATGAGGGGGAGGTGTACAAGCGGACTCTCAGTTGTTCTGACTCTAATCCCTTCGCTTTTCTTCTCACATTTCATGCCCTCCTTCGAAAGAATGTAAGTGTGCATTATTCTGTGTTTGCTGACTTTGCTCTGCCATGCATAATAGCACTGTTCACATGCGCACGTGTGTCTGTGTGTTTATTTGCATAAAATCTGCGCATTATATTTGTGTGCCTGTGTGCAGTAGCTTATTTGAAATGTTATTTCCTCTTTCTCGCTCTCTTTGAACCTATTTTGTATGAGGGGATTGCTCAAAAGTTGCCAGGCGATTTCTTTAGAACGGAGATTTTTGTATGCCTTTAATGTCTAGTCGCAAAAACTAAGAGGGAATGAGAGGCTTGTGGTGTCACACACGAAACCACATGCGCGTGCATTCTTTGACGCTCATGCACCCATGCCAGGTATGTAAATGTGAGACGCCAGCTCAAGTTTTGACGGGGAAGAAGGCAAGACGTAAAGATGGAGGAAATTGGAAAGAAATCCGAGTTGATTGCCAAATTAGAGACACGAGTAATATCTGCCCCACTGCCTCTGCACTGGTGAAGCTTGCTTGTAGGGAACGGCTTTGCAATGAGGCGAGCCTTTTTTTAGTGCCCTTTTGCCCCTTGGAGTTTGTAGGGCCCAACCGGTTGAAAGGTATTATGAGGTGAGCTTGGCGACTTTGATTTTTCACAATAAAGCACAGCTTAAGCGGTGCCAATGTGTTTAATATGAGTTAATCTACCTGATTAATACCTTTGTACAGCTAGATCTTTTTCGAACACGAAAAATGAATGTAGTATCATATTAAATGTAGTCCTTTAAAGTGCTTCACCTAGGCAACGCGACCCTAGTCAATCCATTTGTAGACTTCAAAACGGGAGAGAGTGGGTGAGAAGTGGCAGATAATAAAAGTATCTGATCAGTGGGCTTGTGACTGTCGTTGATGTTTTATAGGAACTTCTAGTTTGGCACAGTGGTGCGGTCAGAAATCTTTTAGCAAAACGAAAACTTCCCTCCCTTCATCGGGAACATCTACCCACTAAGATGGAGAAATTTTGACCCAGGAAAGAGGGAAGCATAATTTACAAGGCTACGAATCACTTTAGAACTCTTTTCCATTGTTTCAAACAGCGCCTTCAGGACTTTGATGTTCAATATGCAGATATTTATGAATAATATAAGATTTGGACCTTTGGAAACTTTGGTATCACTACTCCTCTCTCTGGAGAGCGAATGAGAAGGCGAAGAATTATCAAGCTCCTCGAACCACTACGTTGGGTACGTGAGTGCTGAAGAACTTAGAGCTTATACCTTGACAAAATTTGGAGTTAGTGTCACCTAGGGACCCTTCAATCCATCTTTCAATGCGGTCTGAAATCGAAGGGTCTGGTAAAGTTTTGGCACTATTGCAGTGTGCCTGAAACTATTATCAAGAATTGAAGGCCAATGTGTAAACTTTCCAGCAGATGAAACGCCAAAGTTTGTGTGGTTTTAGTTTTGGCGAATCTGGACTTCCTTGAGTGTTCCCTGCGAAAATTATGTCAAGCTTTGGCAACTACGTTTCGAGTTCGACCGGCTTGAAAAGGCATGATTCTGGCAGACGTGAGGTTTGGTGGTGCACAGTTCCATTTAGTTTTAATCGAAATGTGCCTGTGAGAGTGGGGTTTTAAAAAAGCCTCATCATTACAGCCATTGATACCATCTTGAATCTTCCCAGTGTATGATTTGAAGGTATTGAGGTGGAGCGTTAGTACTTCCTTTTAAAGATATTCTCACTAATCAAGACACATGAGCATCGAGTAACGTCATGGTTCCTCTACTAGTTAGGCATGGATGAAACACTTTCAACCCTTGTGCAATCCATGATAGGAAGGTGTTCAGGAAGTCCTGGCAAGCTATTTGAATTAGCCTTATATCGTTTGGCCGCTGAAAGTTCACTTAATAAAGGCGGAAAAGTTTCTGTCCGAACTCAAACTGTAGAGGAGTGTGGACTTTGGCCCTCCTTTCAAGCCGTAATAGGTCATACCAGTATGGATGAGGATTTATTATCAACGTACGGAATAGCTCTGAGGCTCGTACCACAACTAGGGGGTCTTGCTACTAACTAGGTGTGAAAGCCGAGGAAATTGAAGAAAACAGTTTTGAACCGTATAAAATTGTATTCTCTCGAAATTTTTTGATGGAGGCGTATCGAAGGCCTGTCTCATCAAGCTTGACTGCGTAACCGTCTCATGATCGTTTCTTTGTAGGGCTCTACACCTCTCCATATCGCTGTGATGTACTCACAACGTCTCCTTGCTCGGTCTCTGGTCCAAATTTATCGTAAGTCTTTTTGTTTATGCATTTTGATGATCATACATCGTACTATTTATTCTGTATCCCTTTTTGAGTGGTTAATGTAACTTTCCAGAAGCACGTTACCTCTCGATGAAATGCCAAGTTGGGGTAGATGACTTCTGGGCTCATCAAGACTTAACGGACGATGATCTAGACCTCTTCTGGCCCTTGCCGAGTTAGACCTCTATAGTTACTGGAACAGGAATCTCCTTTGCTGCCCCCAATCATGACTAATAAGAAAGGATATTTCGGTCTTTTTTTCAAGAACTATTCACCTCTACATTGTGTTACGACAGGAAGCTCAGTAGTATACATTTTAATGTCACCTACACACCCGTCAGACTAGACTCCGGTCGTGGTGATTCCATTCCCAGCCCACAGCCTCGACAGTAATGCTTGCGAACATGCATTCAGTACGTAGGAATGGAATGGCGTACACAGTCATGCAGGCGGAACAGAGCGGTTCACATTGGTAGGAATCCTCTTGTTAGATTCTCTGTTGCTGCTTTTTCACTATTTTGATGAGAAAAAGGTATTTAGCATAGCGATTCACCTCTGAGAGCGTTGTAATGCATCCATGTATGGGAGCGTGTTTAAGTGTTTTCAGGATTTTGGAATAATCAAATCTGCTTTTGGAAACTATGCATGATTTTGATTTCAACTGTGATAATACATCTTGCGGACCCGATTAAATTTCTTCTTTTGTGTTTTCCGTCCATCGGGCGTATTTTCGCATCTTAGTTGAAGCCACTTTTTCTCGACTGTCAGCTAGCCAAAGCACTGTGAATGACTTGCTACCTTGTTGTCGCCCGATCCTCTATTTGGGTTTGGTTCTAGGCTTGTTTGGCCACAAGGAGGTGGTAAGTTTCGTTGTTTACTTTTCTGAGCGTAACTTTGTGGTTATGTTCTTATTATTTAGAAACTGAGCCTCTGTTTGAAGTTGACTTTGATCAGCAGTTGTCGGACCATCTTTGCGCGGCAGTATTTGATTCCTCTGCGCCGCTATTCAATCTGAGTTGGCCAAATTATGAATGCGAAGTGCACGTTTCCTATTAATTCAAAGCGCTCCGAGTATTTTCTGAAGTCGAAAGTATCATGCTACTAGGGCGTAGTGTATTGTTCACGTACAGAAGGGGTTTGAGGGCGTCTACTAGCACGGTCTGGAAGCCATACCGCTTAGAGAGAGTAAAATGGCCGAGCCTTAAGTTACTTACATTCCTCTTTGCCACATTGTTCTTAATTTATTTGGGTTCCATTTGTCTAGTAGAGAGATGGAGGAGGAATCAGACGTTCACTTAATCGACATCTTCAAACAGGTACCATAGCTAGCTCTGTGATGAACTTTTCCAGATGGTTCACTGTCACGGCTAGTGTTGATCCAGTTGCTAATAGCATTTCTGCAGAACACGGGCCCGAGGTAGTTGCTGAAGGTGACATCATTTACAACCCTTCTATTAAGAGTCCTGGCAGATCTTCCTCTTGGCGTCAGATGTTCGTCGTCAAGGTTCAGCATCCAGGAGGGGAAATCAGGCTAGTCGGACTCGCTTTCCACTGCCACCAGTGTAGCACCGCGAGTCTTGCCTGAAGACGAAAGTAAGCATAATGCTGGGATGGAAAAGGTGGGGAGGTGCTCACATGACCCGGAGGTCATGCTCCCAGTGGAAGTACTAAGACGGAGGCTAAAGTACCCGCAAAACTGGGACGAAGAGCTAAACAATCTATCAAGGCATTACCGTAGTCCCCCTATCATCCTTAAAACCTCTCAATTCATTCAATTATCAATTCGTTTACCAGCTATTCTTATTCAATTTCTTTTAGTGTAGGAATTTGTAGCTTATCTTTGCATCACTTCTTTGCCTATTCGACCTAGTTTCGGTGTCAGTACTACACACTGTAGTGTTAATACCTTGTTTTTTATCTACCTCTCGCTTTTCCTTCCTTTCCACTCACTTCAAAAGTACATCCTAAGGATTAATCAAATGCATTAATAGCTCCGCTTTCACTTCAAAAGTGCACGGCACACATCTCCACACCGATGCTGCCGCTACAGTTGTAACTGTTTAGCATAATGCCTTTCCAAGGCGCCCTTTTTCTTTTTTATTTTCTCCTGCTCCAATCTCTTTAGACGCGCGCACCGACATCATGGACTACACGGGTCGCTTTCCACGTGATCTCATCTCGACCCCGGAGATAAAGGAGGATTTGGAGGGTAAGCATCGTGAGAGGTGCCACACCCACATCTCTCTGCCTCTTCTTCTCCTTCTTTGAGAAAAAAATCAATGCATTAATTTTATTTGATTCTTCTTTTCCTGCAGAATTGTTGACGTCCGGTAGATTGGCGATCATTAGAAAACAGCGTAAGTTTAATACTGACTTAATATTTTGCATTTTCTTTGTGGAGTTTTGGGCGCTACAAGCTTTGCTAATTTTCTGCTTGAGTAGTCTCAGAAGGAAGTCATTGTGGATTGCAGCATGAGTGGGCTTTTCTCTAACTGACACTCGTTGATATCGGTTTTCAGGTATTTTACATGGAACTACGACGTTAAGAATTAAATGACCGACTTTCTAGATGTGAATTGTCACTACCCACCCCCATATCTCCAGCTTGCCACGAGTGCTTTTGGCAACCGCCTTTGGTTGTCCTAACTTTAACAACTTGCACTACCTTAGATTTCACTATTCTCAGTCACGCAGTTTGTTTATTTGGTTTGGCACGAAATAGAATCGGTTTTGCCTTTAAATTACGCCGGTACCTGAGGTGTTTTGGAAGCACTTTGGCTCTCAAAAGTTGGTCAACAAATGAATGGAGGAATATTGGTAGGTTAGGCAGGTGATTTTAATCTTGAAAATGATCCAAGTGTCGTCCGGGGTGCTGAATCTATTGACTACTGTCGTGACTGAGGTAAAAACAGTTGTGGCGCTGCAAAGCGGAGACGCTGGTTCGCAGCTTCTAGAACTGAAATACCCGGCTAGTAGGGATGTAGCCAACGGACGAAAGGAAAGGTCCGTTCTGAACTGTCATATTGGCGACCTTACCTGGGGTCACGTCGGTAAATGGCACAGGCGATGAACTGACGGCTGTGATGAAAATGGCGATTTAGCAACACCATTTGATGCGGTTGTGATTCTGTCAATGCTGAACAATTGAGCAAGTAGTCAAAGGACGTGGTACCAACTAAATGGGTTCTTCTTTCGCATCAATTGAAGTGGCAAACCGTCTTTTCTTTTGTCCTTCGTCGACAATATCAAGTACGGCTTCATGGTGCCTTATCAATCGAATATGGGCGGTTAATTCATATGTGACCCAAAAAATAGCAACTCTTCCTCAAATTACAGGGGGAATGTGGATTTGTGATCTTCTGGCATGCTTATGGACACAAATTCCCATTCGTAGAATGTGCAAATCTTAGGTGACAGTCATTTTCTCCTTAACTTTCCTTTTCAGTTGAGATCCTCAAAAAGCCCCAAAAGACCTCCTTCACTTCGCGCAAGTCCCACCTTCATGTAGGGAGTGGTGAGGAGACCCTCAACAAGGTCTCCAAGTCTAGGCCTATCAAAATGGACTTCTATACACGCCTTCTCCTCTCCGCCCTCTCTCGCGACCGGGGGTATGTCAACACCCTTGTCCGCCGTCTGCGTCATGCCATCTTCATCTCGCCTTCTGACCTCTTTGACGATATAGCCGACAACGAACTTTCACGCCACCGTGGGCGTGACAACTCACAGAAGAGGGGCTCTGTCTTCGCTGGTGGAATTGGTGAGGGTGAACGAAGATTCACCGTCTTCAAGGTGCCACACTTGCCGCACCCCCCACGAAACTTAAGCGCGGGTACTTTGATGACGGGAGGGTTATGGAAACGCAACACCCTGGAGGCGGGGGAGAAGGGAAGACGGTGGTGGAGGGAGCAGAAGACGGCCCAGAAGGTAATAAGGAAGACTTCCACTTCAACGTTGTCCATGCTTCGTGGAGGGGTAAAGAGGGGTGGTGCGAGCGCATTTGAAAGACACTCGTTTGTGGGTATTGAACACTTGACGGCAAGATTGGACGCGGTGACGGTAGCGAAAGATGGCGGTGCAGTGGAGGAGGATGGACGCTTCTCGAGGCATCCGTCCGATGTCTCCGACTGTATCACGGTATGTGGAGGAAGTCTTCTTGAATTTAAGCTCCGTGGAGAATTTTGAGTTTCTCAGATGTAATTTATGCCGTTTTAGATGATCTTGTTAAGCCCTTAGCGGTCTGCGGCGTTTGTGAGGTGGATAGTCGTTAAGCCAGCGTGCAATTAGACAACGACGCTTAACATTCGGGCCAAAGGTCACTAATCCAGGATAGTTAGCTACTTAGCCAAGGTACAGATTCTACTTAAGCGGCCCCACACCTTTTCCCTCCATGAATGTAAGGGGGGGAAGGGGAAGGAGATGTTTGGGTCAACTCGGGTGTCTAGCTAACACCTGGGGAGCAAATTTGGCAGCAGAAGCTTTTTCTTCGGCCTGCTTGACTGTGTTTGCCACGCCCAGCATCAGGGACTCTACGCGTTAAATGCTTGTTTACAGGCCTTACTGTCGAGACGGTGCGTTGGACTTGGAACCACCACGGCCGAAGCCTAAACTGCCGCTTGTGTAGCTGCCTTTGAAATGTTTACTACTGAACTTTCTGTCACAGCACAGTCCTCTCTAGTATACAAGTATTTAAGGCTTTCCTGAGGTGAATTGTTAGAAAGCTTTTTCCCCGCCATACTGTTTAATTCATGCCTTACTGTCACTGCCATCTATCATCCTGATGAGGTAGCTCGGACTAGACTGGATCACGAAATGTTTCCCAGCTATCTGTACTTACTGTTCCACTGTAGTAGCATGGCTTTTATGCGCGGACAGGCAGGCGGGCGTTGATTAAGTCACTCCTTCTCTCCATGTTTTTTAGAAGTCCTCTTCGGACGATGACGATGTGGTATTCGACTCGGTCTCGTCGTCTCCCAGCCCTGATGGTGCCGGTAGTGGAGGCGTGCGTCGAACTTCCAATCTCTCCTCCCTGGTGGCGTGTACCGAGGACCTGTTTAGTCACTACTTTCCCTCATCCCCACATTAACTGCGCCTGGCCCAGCAGCTCCTCAATCTCTGTGGCCGTCTGTACATATCAATGCGTACCTTCTTTTTTTTTGATTTTTTCCTCCTCCTTTGTGTTCAGCCGCGGTTTCTTCGGCACAGGGGAGGGTGGGAGCTGATCATATAATCCCTTTTGGAAGATCGGCTACATGGTTCAGGAGTTTGTCATTGGCTGCAAGTGAAAAGTTATAGTGTCCTGGGATTTACTAGTGGTGGAAGGTTGATTGGACAAAGACTCGGACACCACGTGGTTGGAACTGCGTGAATTCGGCTTTTGTGTACTTTAACGGCACTCGGGATGCCTTTTTGGCTACGTCCAGGTAAATAAAAATACCTGCGGTCTGGGAGTGTCTTCCGTGGAGTTTTTGGCCGAAGAGTGGTCCCGGTTGGCTGATACGCTGTACTAGACCTTATAGTGTTGCCTGTTTCCCTGAGTGCGGTCTCCTATTTCGACCCAACAATTTTACGACACGCGGTTCTCCCTCACGACAGTAGTGGATCTTGTTAGGGTCCAGGCGCAGTTGTCATGAGATGCATGAATGTTGGGGAGACTTCACCGGGCGTTCTCCTTGGGAGTGCCGTCTCCCCATTCATTCTGAGGTAGTTCATTGTGTCTTGAGGTCCTTTAGTTGGTTAAATGAGGGCGTTTGTGATCACGGAGTCACTGACTGGGGGCTACACAATATTCCACCCAAGTGGGGGTTAATCAACGTGCCATGTGTCTTGCCGTGAAGACAGGCTTAGGCCTTCGAAAAGCCGTTTTGCTCCAGCTTCGGTGACGCAAAAGCGGTAACGGAAGGGAGTGAAACAGCAATGGGAGTAATTCTGTGACATCTGCACGACAAAATCACTAAAGTCCATCCAATTAACTGTACGGTGCTAAATGGTCCTCCCATGACTTGCTACTTTCTTCAAAATATAGAAAGATTTTGGGTAAAGTACTTTAGGCACCCTTACCTTGGTGTAGGGTGCATTAACTGGTACAGCACATATAGTCCACAAGCTTCATTTCACCTGATCGACCTTCAAAAAAGGCAACTTTAAAGATGCTTTTTCTAAATTGAAGTCAAAGATTTGCTGTATATAAAATGTAAAAGTTATTACATCTTCCTACTTCATATAATAAAACTATTACAGCCTTATTTGATGGGGTATATTACTCGCCTGTTATATTCTCTAAGAAAAAACCTTGTAAGGCACCCTGCCTGCCTTTGGATGACTTGCTACTGGAATTAAAATGAACTGATGAAGCTTCCGAACTATTTCCAGCTACCATTTTTGTCATACTTTTACAACAAAATTAATCTTCAACTCGACTCATTCACTAAGGCATTCTACTTATGACTAATAAGTAGAAAAGTTACTAGTGGATATCCACCGAGTTGGAATTTCTCACATATATTCTAAACCTTCCAATGCAACAACCCATCCTCTCCTTTTCAATTAAAGTCAATTTGAAACCTTCCCAGTGTATGCACGCTTCTGGATTTAAAATGCATAAACATATCAAATACCTACTAGATGTAGGAACCAATTTTGCTGTGGTGCGCCAAGTTAAAACTTCTTAAAAGCTATTTTTTGCAAACTCGTTTGTTTCAACCTCACTAAAACCTAGGATTTTTAATTTGGTTTATTACAAGCTCCGTTTTTACCATAGGAATTTAATAGTCAAAATCTTCATGAGATCCTAATTGTACTAAATATATTGTGAACTTTTGGCTCTCCTTTGGACGAAGCAATATTTAACCACTTTTTTCCAAACAGTTCGCGTATGTCAGTATTCCGATTCCTTGGGGTTGTTTTTCATTTCTAACGTGGAGATGCTGCCTGCTATGTAAAATCAGATTGAACATCCGAAAACGGTATGTTGCCTTTTTGGGTAATTCGGCGAATAATTGAAACAACTCCCTGTATATCATAAGGTAATGTAACCCCTTGAAGCTATTTGGCAAACAAAAGTCTTTAAGCTGCCGCCATGTGTCGGCCATCTGGTTCAAAGTCCACTGCCTTCAAAAGGACTAACCATCGTCCTTGGGAAGCACCAATCAGCTTGCCGAAAAGGGAGTGTACACACGCACCGCCTACTATGTGCACGCATTTGCTTTTCATCTTGTCGCGTCATTTTGATTTAAGCTACCGTAGACATGTCCGTGAGGTCACGACCGCATTCACCGGTGTCGCTACCCTCTCCTCATGAGGCGGAGTTTGAACCATTGCAGGCCTTCCTCCTCAAGAACACCACTGTCTACGCCTATCCACGTCAGAGAAGATGTCCACGCAATCGGACGGAGGACGTTGACTCTGTGAAAGCCATTTGTCAGCGCCTCCTTTACTTTCTGACCTTCTACACGGTCCTTGCCTTGTTCTTTGTGGGGTACCTCAACTGGTATATGTACTTTCAGGTATGTATGCTTGTCTACAGATTTGATATTTATCTTTCCACTTATTTATTTTCATTCTTCTTTCCTTCTATCCCTTTATCCATATGTCTGCTATCTTGCTTTCACTTATCAATCAGATATTTCGCTCGTTTATTTATCCATCCTTTCATCGACTTATGTGTCACGTATGTGTGACACTTTTGCTTTAGGCAAGAAAGCCACCGCGTCACAAATATGTGACGGACAATCTATCGACAAATTAGATTGCTCAAACTTTTTTGAAGCGACAGCAACTGTGGCTATCTTTAGCGAATTCGTGAAAGATCCCCCTTTTTTCCGTGTTTTAGTGTGACGTGCTTCTACTCCCTTGGCTAAAACGCCACATCTTAATTCACATTTTCATCAGCAGCCCTTCATGGCGTTATAAATTTGTGACATTAATCCTGCGCCATCCAGAAATAAAATTTGCCAAGTTAGCAGGTGTGAGTGATGCCTTCCAAGGTCTTCTCGTCTGTTTTGGGCGTTGCAACAGTGAGGACTGTTCTGTAGGCCGCACTCAACTCTTCAGACGGTGCCTCGTAGAGCCGTGTGTGGCTCTTCAAGCTCCATATTGGTGGGATGGGTCGGCTTGGTTTAATTTGATTTTGGTCCAAAATCCACCAATCAGGAAGTGGCTTGTGTGGAAAGCTGACAAGGTTAAAAGTTCTAGAAATGACTGGTCAAACAGATTGACAGGCTTCGTTGTCCAAATATCTTAGCAAGAAATTTGAACCCCTAGTAGTGTGGAGGTAGTTCCATAGTCGCTCTCCAGGAGATTTAAGCAACTAGTAGTATGGGCGGCCCGAACCAAGTTCTATGTCGTTGTCGTAGAGGCTGATTTACATACGACTAAAAAGCCCGTTCAAATGTGCTACTGGAAGAAGTAAATGCCTCTCCGTTTAAAAAGTCAAATAGTTTGCTATTTTAGGGGTAGATTCTGCCTTCACTACAAGTCCTTGAATTTTCTTTCTTTCACACGAGGCACGAGGCGCCAAATGGTCCTTCAGAGTGTAGAGTTTGAATCACACAATCGGTTAGTCTGGTGGGTCTTGCGCGCCCATAAATCAACCGAACACGTACATTCCCAATGTCTTCTCTAGCTCTTTGATAAATGGCGCTGCTGGTGCTGCCTGCGCTGCCGCAGCGCGGTTCAATGAAAGTGCTCGTGCACACGAGAAGACGCCTGCATCCCTAGACATCCGGAAGAGCGTGTGAAGTTTTGTATTTTTTTTTTCACCTTACCAGTTATACTTCACCAACGCATGGCCACACAATTTGACTGGCTTATGTAGCAGTCGTCAAGATGACTGACTTTGATTGACTAGCGCCCTCAATCAATCATCTTTACACCATATCGACCAATTTTTGTCCTTAGATTGAATTATGAATGCAAAAATGAGACCATTCTATCAAAGCTTCACTCTTTTCTTGACCTTCAGGTGCCCCGTGACCATCCAGCCCTCACCGGAATGCAGTCCGCCTTGCAAATGAATCCCGGCCTCAGCTACATTCCCAACCCCGACCTCTTCTCAACCCTCCTCTACTTCCGCACTCGTGAACCCCTGCCTTACTACAAGAAGTCGGATGAGATGGCGGCCTTTCTACACGCTTATCAAGACAACACTGGTTCCACGGAGTACGAAGACTGCGTTCAAGAGGGCGGCTACAAACAGAACCCCGAACGCCCCTGTACCTACGATATCAACGCTGGTGGGCCTTGTAACATCATGAATGGGTAGGCGGTCAAGCTATTCAAATTTGCCACCTTACTACATCCTGAAAGTTGTCTGCATTCCCTCCGATATGGTAACTACGACCATAGTCACTCTAGACTATTAATGGCAACGTGGCGGATCTATCCACCTTAAGAGAGAACAAAAAAACCAATGACAACTTTGTGCTCCACGAGGCTCTAGAATTTGGCGTGGTAAAACGTGTCTAAACGCGGGTGAGAAAGCTGCCTGATCCGATGCCACTGATGGCGACCACACGCACGCGCTTAGGAATTCGAGATGAAGGTGGAGAGAGAGAGACAGGTTTGCACATGTGGCTGAAACTGTCCAGTTTACAGGGCGGAGGAAGGAGGGTGGAATTGGAGGCCTCATTGTGTGGTCTAACGGTAGCGAGACACGCGAGAGTGCTCACTACACCCACATCGATGTCAGGGCCATCGGTCGTGGCAGTGACAGCGCGGTAGTCTAGTTTTCTAAGCTGTGCTTCCTCACTTTCTCTTGTGATGGCAGGAGATACAAAACCTTAGAACCAGGGTCTAGTTCAACTTGTCACATGTATCGGTCTTGGAGGTTTCTCAATGCTCTACTGCTCACCTCGTCGCACCTTGCACTACACCATTCAGACTGCGGTACTCGGAAGGAATCTAGGATAGCTTGGCGATTTGGAGAGAGACGATGGCGTAGTTGGATGAACCACTTCAGGACCCTGAAGTCGATGCGCCAGTAGGATGTCATTTACTTCAGTCCATTCCAATTCCTTAAGTGATCTAGAGGAAAGGTGGAACCAGTTTTGACTCATAGGGCTCTATTTGTCTCATGGGCAAAAAACTGGAAGGTGCGCAAAACCACTTACATGAACTCCTCCTTACTTCAAGATGAAATGAAGTAAGGTCTGACCCCAGCGACAAGTCGTTGCATAGTGAAATGGGGACAAGAGTAAAAAGACATTATATTAAAGAGCATTCCTTGAAATGTGCTTTGTTTTTTGTCTGTCACAAACTCAAAATTCCTAGGTTGTCTTGGATGTCCCTCACACATCTACCACCTTCCTATTTATCTCATTCTTCCACAGCTACGGTTTCGACACAGCCCAGGCCTGTTTCGTCCTCAAAATGGGTCGTATCTACGGCTGGCTGCCCGATCCCATCGACGAGTTTGCCACGGGGGTGTTAGTCAAGTGCTCCGGCGTAACCGAGGACGACACTTTCAATTTGGGCATCATTCGGTACTACGATATGGACTACAAGTTCTCAGCCATCGCACCAGGCAAAAACCCGGGGAAATTGGACAATGGAAGTTTTCACTCCATGTACTTCCCCTATACAGGACAACTGGCCTACCTGCAACCGCTGGTGTTTGTGCTGTTTGATGGCGTGAAGCGCAACACCTTCATTCGCGTGCGCTGCTGGCTCATTGCAAAAAACATTAAAGTGGATTTTGAAAAACGTGAAGGTAGTACAGAGTTTGAAATCATCTATGACTAGGAGAATTTAAACCGAAGAGGATCCTTTCTTGCTTCTTCTAATTTCATCGGCCGTCTTGGGACTATTGCTGAAAGAAGGGATTACCATCGCCTCCTCTAATTCAACCAATAGGAATCGTGGATTAGGTCATCGGAAGATTGCCTTCGCTAAGAGCTTCTTATGAGTATCTTGAGTACGTTGGATTGACAGTCCTTTAATGATTGGTAAAAGATTTTAATAAACACTAATGCGGAAAGTCAAGATGAAGATGGAAAGAGAAAGAGGGGTTAATATCATCTCCCTTAATTCAACCAATAGGAATCGCCCGTAAGTTCAAGCAGTTCATCTGAAGGCAGGCCTTACTAAAAGCTTATTTTTGGAACCTTAAGGAAATTAAATGTACACTCCTTTAGTAATTATTGACAGATTTGGATCGGCATAAGCGTTTCTGATTAGTTTATTTATCTTTGGTGGAATTCCGATAGTTTATAATCAACGGTTCTTGTACTTGAGATCTCGAAAAGGTTCGACGGAGGTTGAGTTTAGTGATTTATGAAGAAGTTTTATTAACTTTCGAATCTATTGTTGGGTTTGAAAAGACATTGTGCACATAATACCTAAGAGTACCTGATTCTTCAAGATAGTATCCGGAAGAAGTCAGGAAGTTGGATCGTCTTGCAGTCATGTCTGAAGGAACTTGGAACATCAAATAACCCTTCAACTTTATCGACATAGTGTTCAAGGAATCGTTTAATGTGTAGACTAATTGGAAAATTAAAAAAATGCAAACCTTTTACTTCTACTAAAGGGGGTGGATCAAATTTAACCCCTTCCAACCAATCAGCAATCAGTTGCAGCTGCGGCTTTACAAAATTGTGAAGGCTGTCAAGACAAGGCAGATTTTAGGATTTTAACAATTCTTGACTAGTTTGAGACGCTCAGAACTTAAATCCGGTAGAAAAACATTCTGCAAGGCTAAGACCGTTGACGAATGACCGCCTCTCCACAAATAAGTCAAGATGCGCTGAAATAGACGACTTCTTCGTATAAAGAGTAAAACGAAGACAAATCTACTATAATATTCCGGATCTACTCAATAGCTAAAGATCATCTAACTCCGATCTAGCATATAGAGGAATGTGAGTTTTACCTTCTGGTAAAGAATGGATGGGAGAGCAGTCAGTCAGCGTCGTCCCTCCTTCCCCTCCTTTAATCGGTAAACTCTCAGATTCCGGAGTTCTAATCGTTACTTAAAACCAGTATTTTGCGAAACCAACGGAAGTAATCCCAGCACTTAAACCACTCTTGAGATCTTGTGATACCTCCTTATGCAGGTCATCGGGCCACGCGCTCATCTACTGAAGGAGGAGGTGGGCTGTAGTTTTTTCATCCATTTTTACCGACAATTTGACTGGTTCGGAAGGCGCAGCAGACGCTGATTGAAAGCACAGTCAACACAAACAGGCATTCAGTTTCGCCATTTGCTTCCAAGACTCATCTCGACCAAATTAGCCAACCTGGATAGTGCCATGACGCATAAATTTTGACTATTCTTTTAAGTCACGCGTCCGAGGAAGTTGTTGGAGTCTCTGGAGACATTTCAAGACGATGCGTTCCAGACACTTCAAGATCCGAATCGTGACCTCCAATATTACTCCTTGACCAGTCAGCAGAGGCCATTTTATCTCCCATTTAAGCTATTTCATGTAGCTAGTCAAACTTGTCACACCTTCTCACAACACTGGATCATTTGCCTTTGCCGTCTTCCTCCCTAAAGTGGCTGAAAGATGGCCACTGAGGCCAAGCAGGCCTCTTAATCAGCCTGATAAGAGTGAAGAATGCACAAAATTGGTTCACAAGTCTACAAAAGTGCCTCGGTGTAATGTTTCACCCTGCACGCAGACACGCACGCCTCGGTGCTGATTTATGGTCGCCTAGCGTTGGTGTGTGTGCTGCCGACCCCCTTGCGTTTGCCACGCTTGTGAGGTTTCACGTCACACCGACCACAAACGAGACCGACAACCACCACTCCTACAACAAATGGCAGCATTTTCAACGACTTCACCGACAATGGCGTGATTTGCGCTGCGCTTAACCGTCCTCCACTCTCCCGCCCCCACCCCTTCCTCCGTGGGGTAGTGACTTTTTTACTAACTAATTAAGAGTACACGGGCAACTCCCCTCGGAAGTAGTAATGCAAAATTTATTATCTAAGTAATAAAAGCTTCTAATTTATCCCCGAAATTTGATCATAAAAGTGGAGGTATCCTCTAATCTTCAATCAAAGATTAACCAATAGGGAACAAGTATATTTGACAACGAATTGACAGCCTCATTTAAACGTGAGTGAAATCCTTATGTCTTTGTCTCCTTGGTCCCTTTTGTTAAAGAAGGCTACTTCTTGTCAGCATAAAAAATTTGATTCTTATCATTAACTTCTTCCTCCATCTCCCATTTAAGATTGACCAATAGGGATCGAGTATTTCTGATATCAAATTGACTGCCTAATTTATCTGGAAATTAAATGTGCATGTTATCGTCCACTGAATCGTAGTCGCTAGAAAGGAGGCACTTCTTACCAGTGACACGGAGGTGGTTCTTACCACCAACCTCTGCCCCCATTGAGTTTGCCTCTCCACATTTTCAGGGGAGGTAACATTGTCACCAGCCAAACCCTCGAAACCATTTTTGAAGGGTTATCTATCAAACTAAATACTAGATTAAAAAGTGTAGAGAGTGAAAATGAAGAAGGCTCAGATCATTTGTTGACCTATGCACAAAAAAAGTAGCGATCTCACCATTGCTCTGCACCAAGGGGGAATTCACCCCTTGACTCATCGAATTACAAATCTAGTCTGTTGAATTTAGACTAGAATTTCGCAGTCGTAACGCTTCGGGATTTGCTTGAAGACAAGGAAGGTTACACTGCTATTGCTGAGTATGTTTGCCGACGCAGAGAAGGACCTCGAGGGCTACCGGCGCGCCGCCCCGGAGGAAGTAGAAAGGCGGAGCCTTAGGTGTCCGTAAAACTAAAAAGAAGAGTTAAACAAGTAACCAAAGCACTACATCCATTGTTAAAGATTGCGGTTTTGTAGCCCTCTGGCAGGAGATATAAGTACATTATCTGATAGGATTGTAGAGGAAGACAAACCAATCAATGCCTTGGTGACCTCACATCTCCTTTGGCCTTCATTTGAACTCCTCCACCTTTCCCCGCTATTCCATATCATGACCAGAGGAGGACTGAATTCATCTAAGAAGCACTAGAAAAAGGAGCTTTGCCCTCATTAAGGGTTAATGAAGTCCAGGAGAAATGCACTCCCTGATTAGAACCGCTAGGGACGCCGTCGGTTTCATCCAATGAAAGGAATACACTTTTTCCCCGGCATCCAAAGTACCTCTTATCACAAAGAGCAAAGTTCCTTCTTCTCTCCTTCCCCTTAACATTTAAAACTCATTTCAGTAAATGTTTTACTGGTGGTCATCCAACCTACCCCAGAAAGTTCGACTGACCAATAGGATTTTGCCGCATCCCAGGCAGCTTGGCGGAATAGCAAGGCCCGAACAGTTTGTTACTTTCTTGACGAGCAAAGAAGAAGAAGCATTCTCTCCATTAACACATACCTTTATGCGCCTTGGCTTAAAGGAGTCATTTTATAACTAAAGCTCCGCTCTCTGGCGCAGCAGCAGAAAAGGGAAATGTAAATTTGCACACTTCGGTGGCTTGTGATTCACGAGGCTTTTAAGCGCGGCACAAAAACAAAAATCTTGAACACATGAAGGATAGTTGAGTGGATTGAGGGTCACTGTTCCTTCAAGATCCAGAGTCTTGCTGGAAAAACGACCACCAAAGCCCTGGTTTCAAACTACGATAACGAGGTTTCGATGTCTCAGGAAAACTTCTCCTATCGGTGATGGAGAAGTGTCTACGGTACTGTGAGTCGATCCTGAAGACGTCACAATGCAAAACGGTAGGGGAAATTAATTTCAAAAATGGAGAAGGACCTAGAGACTACAAGGATAGAATAATCGATGGATAGATGGATACGGGACGGATGGATGGTTGGATACAGGATGGATGGATGGATACATGATGGATGGATGCTGGCCCACCTGCAGAGAATAAATAACGTGCTCCTTCAACCTCAATCCACTCTCAGGGCTACTTAGTACCTCTGAACCAAAGGAATCCATCTACATTCCACCTCTACGTCAATTACCCTCACTGGCTCTCTCATAGTACTCGACCCGGTCTCCTAAGCGACAAGTGGCTCGTTTGTAGGATTATAGTCGCTTGCGGCCAGACGAAGCACCTCACCCAGATAATCGACCATCGTGGCATTTGTTTACGAGTAGACAGCATCATTGAGGCTCCATGTTGTCTGCACCTTTACAAGAGATATTATACAACTTTGAAACGCATCAGAACCTGCGGAAATTGAACACACCTTGGTCAGTGAAGTGGAAAGCACATCTTCCACTGGTGCAAAGCATATACAATTATAAATTCTTACAAATCCATATATTATCGACAATTCAGGAAGCATTTTTTGCATATTTCTACAGGTTGAAAACTAGTGCGGTTCTTGAAAGCCGAGATAAACTCGCTTATGAGCCTAGAAAAGGCCTCCTTTTGATGTGCGGGGCTTGAAAGATAATCCATCATTCGGCACACGTTGTACCCATTCACTTACCTTGTTGCTAATCCAAGGAGGGCATATCGCACTGTGAGATGTGTAATCTAGTTCCTTCAAGCATAATGATGATTGTTTTTGCATCCTTCAAACAACAGGAACCTTCCAACTTCCTTGGATGAAAAGTAACAGACGGTTTTCGGTCTGCCTGCCTAGTTTTGGAAATTCAGTCTCTTCTTCTAAGCTGTATGACGATGACGGGTTTGTTAGGAATCGCTTCGTCTGATTATTTGTTATTTGATCAAGAAAGGGTGCAAATGCCTGGTATTTACCTCCGCACACAGTCTTAGGCTCAAAGTTCAAGTTCTCGGCAAACGGGGCCCGAAGTAAATCGAAGAAAGTCAGACTGCTTTTAATAATCCGGAATTTTATCATTAATCCTGGTGACTTTCCGCTAAAAATACTTAGAGTAGGTGCTTGTAAGTAGGTTAAATTCCCTTTTTTGTTTGATAGCATTCCACCATGCAAATGTGCTCTACTGACGAATTGTAAGTAGCAACCGCACCGCATGATTGAGAAGTACCAAGACTAGAATATCAGGTTCAAAACATGCGGAAAATTCGTGCAGTTCGCTACATCGACTTGTTGTGTCCTATAGAGCCTCCCAAAAGGGAAGCGATTGCCCACACGCATGCGGTATAGAGCACCGATGTCCATTGCCCTATCAGCTCGAATGTGCTCTCCACAGCTTCCTGCCTACTCTAACCTCCAACGGCATGACGAATGGTCTTGATGTGATCCAAACGTCCCGACTTTAAGGAAATACAAGCCCAATTTCAAAAATGCAGCAATCTTGCCTAGAATTTATTATTTAGCTCAACTCACCGTCTCCCCATTGTTAAGGCAATTCGGATCTGATGGTGGAGCGCACCGGCGTGCATCGCCTTAGAGAAGCCCCTTCTTATACCCCAGCTGATGCCCTTTTTCTTGCCGCTAGACAATCAGACAGTACGTGACCAAATGGGCGATATAATGGCGGAAAAAGTGGTAGAGTTTTGGTTCCCAGAGGCAAAGGAATTCGTAGCAAGCTCGCGCCTCATTGAGAGTGGACCACTGAATTGTTGCGATGGATGGTTCATTGAATTAAATCTTTTAAACAGTTCCCCGTAGTTATCTTCCACTCCAAAAACCCAGTGAGCTGATCCGTTAACAATGAACATAGCTACAAAATAAACTATCCTCTCATCAGGTGCAAATGTGAAGGGGGGGGGGGTTTCCCACCACCTCCCGTCGTAATGGGGCAGTTATGAGAGTCAGAGAGTCACCTATTAATGCCAGGAGCTCTACGGTTCTAATGAACAATTCTTGGAATTATTTTAAGGAAAACAGAAAACCACTGCACTCCGCATTCAGGATAAGAATTTTCGTTGTCATTGCTTATCACTTCACTTGCCACTAGCCACCTACCATGAACAGTTTGGTTCCGATCCAACCAAGCAGCCTCTTACCCCTTCCAGGGTAATCCAGAATTGCTAACTTGAAGATTTACCGCAAAGAAGTGAAGGAGGAAAATTTTGGTCCTTGGTGGATTCGAAACTACGCGATGATAAAATGGGGCTCTATCCAACACCTCCCTCCTCGACCCTTCTGTGGAGGGTATGAAGACGTCAAAATGCAAAATCGAGGAACAAAACGACCCAAGTAGCAAATCTTGTTTGCTTTATTGGCTGCGGTTCTCATAGAAACGACAGCTACACAAAGGCAAAGGAAAAACCTACAACCAAGTGAGTAAGTGACGTTTGGTGACAGAAGCAGCACTACTTAAAGCAACGAAAGCAAAAAGGGAAAGGGAACGACAGCACACGAGAGAAACGCCGTTTCGGAGTAACTCGGATGATCAAGTTATGCTGCCGACAACTCCGCGGTCGAATCTTAGAAAGGTATATCCCCTGGATGGAGCATCACATGATGCAAAGCGGGTTTCGTACATTCAATGGCGCGATATCAGACACAGCGGGAAGGCAAACGCGATAGCGCATTCATCCAAGAGATCCCACAAAGTGAATTTTTTAACCACTGAGAAACCCCACAGCCACCATCATTCAAATCCACCGGAGGCTACCATCATGCCTCCTGGCACCGACGTCGATCCTCCACTTGGCTTATTTGTAATCGAAGCTCCTAAAGTGGTCAAAAAGAAAAGACCCCCCTTCTCACCCTACTCAAACCAACTGATGTAGTGTCCTCGTGATGTCCGGACTGCTACAGCGCATGCTTGACCCACCAGTCGGTTCCGAACTTTCCCAGCCACAATAAATGCAATGCATGTGTTGTAGAGTCGTACTCAAATTTGTACAGGACAAAAAACGGCAGGTGATGATGGCAGCGCCCCTCACCGGTTACATAAAACGCCTCTGACGCGGGTGATAGTAGTGGTAGCTGTCGTGGTCGCGCCCCACGACCCTGCGAGGCGGTTGCTCGGCTTGGAAGGTGCCTGTCGTTGTAGCCGAGGTATTATCAATTGGCTCTGCATTCCGTCGCACCACTCGACGCTTACCGTTGCCGATGCCACCGCCGGTAGACGTTCGCTCCGTGGCTGGGGGTGTTACCGCCACGTCAACCATGTCGCCGATGCGGAAAGCACAGTCCTACATGGAGGTTGAGTAGGTAGTCAATGGAGAGCATCTCTTGTCAAAGTAACTCAAAGGGAGCCTTTTGGGCTTAAACGCGTAAGTAGTCTTATATCGGAGTGAAGGCAACACAACAGCATTGGTGGTATTATGAAGCCGTCTCTAATAATTGACGAAAACGTTTTGTGGACGTTTGGTCGCAAAACTGTCTCGCATGTGCAAGATGGAACCTTGTAGGGCGAAAACGAATGTATTGACGTCACTAGTCCCTAAAGTACCTCATATTAGGAGGGGCTGTGGAGTTCCAAACCTGTCAAGCATTTGTTATGAAACGAAGACCAAAATTGCTGTCGGCTAGTAGCAGTGCCTTTCGGGTGGACAAAAATAGGATCTCTTGATCTCTAAACTACCTCAAATAAAAGCAGTTCCAGGGATTAAAAGTGAACTCGCAGTAAAAGATGGGATAAAGGAGGACTATCGTGCTAGATATGAGTGCAGCGAATCGCCTCCAAGTGTAAGAAGACAAAGAAGTTTACGTGCCTTTAAGAGCGATTTTGCCAGCAGCTAATGAGGCGCACACCCTAAAAAAGCCTTGTAGTTTCAGAACTGTTGTAAAATTATAAGGAAAAACAACTCTTTGGTGTGAAGTGTGCACTAATGCAATCAAAGATGATTTGCGGAGAAAAAATAGCAGAACCACCTTTTGCCTTCAAAACACCTGCAGCTATATAGGTGCTGGTATAAAGGATGAAAGGAGGAAAAAAAGCATTGATACCACTTCTACAGCGATGACGAAGGGAGAAATCTACTACTCCTGGGCATGGCGTGGCATTACCTCCATCTGGAAAAGGAAATTTGACAGTTTCGGATGAAGAAAGCTACAGAATGAGTCACGCCGGAGAAGGCACCACCGGCAATAAGCTGGGCAGTGTAGACAGATGTATGTTGAAAGCAAAAGCTCGTCCTCATAATCACAGGGACTTGGTAAAATTGTATCGTAGGCATTAATATGAGTTGTAATTTTGAAGATAGACATATTGGTTGTACCAGTCATAAACCACCTTATAGAACGGACTCGGTAGATGCGAGAATTTTCCCGACACCACTATAGTCTTACAAAACGCTAAGAGATAACCGAGGATAAAACTGATGTAATTATTTAGGCTCAAAGGGCGCTAAAGGGTTTTATGAAAACCCAGAGAAGCGACTAGCAGCTACTCCACAGCACTTTACCGGTTGGACCAAAAAGATACCAGCCATGTTGCGTTCTCTCTTTTCGAAATACAGTCCTAGGAATGAGAAAAGTGGAATGAAGTACTTTGAGAGAATACGAGCTACTGGGAGAAGTGATAGAATTAATTAGGTGATAGGACTAGAATTAACTGCTTGATTAGGAACTAGGGATTTTGATGTGAGAATGCGCTAATTTGGGTTAAACACAATGAAAAAGGCAATTTTTTCAGATGTTAAGAACTGCATCCAATTCATTCCGTCAAAAATCAAACATCCACTTGTGTTTATCGAAACAAATATGCTACTTACTCATGATTTTATGCACGAGCATGTTAGCTAGATTTCGGAAAAAAATTAACGACTCAAAGACGGGAGTCTATTTGAAAACTCGTACTTTGGAAATAAAAGGTGATATCCCAAGAGGACCAAAAGGGGATGATACGAAAGGCACACTCCTGGGAGATACAGTAATGTAGCTATTGCAAATTCCCAGGGTGCTACTAAGGCGAATAAAAGTGGTGCATTCAAAACTCTCACCCTTACGCGTGCTCGTAAAGTCAAGCGAATCGAATGCTTGGTAAATGGGACAACTCACCCACTAAGGGCGAAAACTGAAGAACTTTGCCAAAAACTGCAAAAGATACTAGGCAGAGCATACATCAGCGGCCTCAAAGAACACGTAAGTTAAGCCAAGTTGCTAAAAAATAACTAAACAAGTCAGTGATTGATGCCAGAGTCTAACTTGGAAAAAGAAGCTACGGTCAATTCCTCACAATTCTTGTTATCTGATTCCCAGCGTGACTGTTTGTTGTAAAACTAATAGATCGTAAGGCAAAAAAGTGCATTTTTGGAAAAGAAACATACAAACACACACAAATAACGAAAACCATACGCAAAACTTATGCTCTTGCCTTCAACATTATTTTATCCGAATCCGAGGGAAAACCAGAGCAGACGCTTCCAATATCACGCATCTTGTAACCAGGAGACCGTGGGTCAGGAGAGACGATGGCAAAGTCAAAAATCGTTCCCCTTTTGCGTGCATCAGGATTAACTATTTTAACTAGGGAGGATAATTCCAGCAAAGTTGCATCCAACCTAGGCAAAACTGGTGATTACATTGGCCATAATATCATACCATGTATAGGCTTGTAGCTCATTGAGAGGGAACGACTTGCGTGAATATTCATAGATCTTGTTATGGGAGCAATGACCGCAAAAAAGCCTTAACAGAAGAGGACAGGTCTTCTCCCTGTCAATTCGACCATCACTCCTTTCGCCTAGCACCATTTGTAGCGAAAATTCGCACAATATATTCTGAAAAGAACCACACAAACGAATATATCAACATCAATCTAACCCACCCCAAACGCCACCGCCAAGGCTAACAAATGCACTCACAATACGACCGCAAAATTTGTCGATTAAAAGTGTGACGAATAATATATGCAAAAATGGCTAACTATAAAGTTGCGAAGTTTATTTTATATGGGTAAATTAAGATCTTCTGTTGTGTGGACAAACTTTGTTTTAGGTAGAAAATATAACGCTGTATTATGTGTTACATTAACCCTTTTTGCCTTATTTCACGAGTGATTATGAGTGGATTATAAGAAATACGTTGTGTACTAAATCGTTATCGAAAACGCTAGCATTTCTTAAGACCACTTTATTTTAGCGTTATGCTTGGTCCAAGTTTCCGCGACTACTTCAAACGCTGACTAGATGGCTGGTACACGCGAGGGTCGACAGGTTCGGTTGTATAGCATTTGTTATATTTAAAGGCTGGTGAAACAGGTGTTTCTAAGGCTCATGACGATCCTTACAAAGCCCTCTGTGCCGATGTTGAAGCCTTTATTAAGTCCTTCTACAAGCACGTTAAAAGTAATGATTTGGCCGAAATTGAGAATGACTACGTTGTTAAGTAAGTGTTCAGTTAATCTGAGACAATTTCCTAGGTTCCCAAAGCTTACTGAACAGTATTTTAAAACCACCCGCTGGCCTCCTGCTGAAGCGATTGCTCCCCTTGTTAACAAGGGTAAAAGCTTAGTTCCAAAATTGATGTCTTTTTTAGATTCAATCTTTATGATGCTCTACAACGAACTTTTCTACCGCCATTTGTACGCACACGTTACGTCTTTTCCCGAGTTGGAAGAGGCCCACCAGTCCTATCTCAACTATTGTGCTCTCTTTGACGCTCTTTTGAGTATGTCTATTCCCATTTTCGATCGCACTTCCCAGAGTATTTGAATTCACGTAAGCTTCTTTTTCTATTCGCTTTAGAACCAAAAAATCCAGTTCAACTGGAGTTGCCGAATCAGTGGCTGTGGGACATTATCGACGAGTTTATATACCAGTTCCAGAAGTTCTCTACTTATCGTAGTAAGCTCAAGCGCAAACCGGAGGATGATGCTTTTTTGGGCCTGAATCCTTCCACCTGGAGTATTCAAGGTGTCATCAGCATCCTATTTCAACTCGTGGAGAAGTCGAACATAAATCTACAGCTTAGTTACTATGCCATGCAACGTGAGCAACTTGTGACTACTTTTCTGGTTTTTTTGGCTTTACTAACACACGATCAGGATCTGTAAATGTTTGCAAAGGAATTATTACTAATTTCCACCCTTTTTCCACTACCAGGTGATCCCTACGAAGTGGCTGGGCCTTTTGGCCAATGTGACCTCTACAAGATGCTCGGTTTCTTCAGTCTCGTGGGTCTCTGTCGGGTGCACTGCCTGCTGGGTGACTACTTCACCGCGCTCAAAATGCTTGAGCATGTGCAGTTAAGTCGGCAGGAGATGTATCATGAAGTGCCAACATGTCACATCACTACGGGCTACTACGTCGGCTTCGCCTACCTCATGATGCGACGCTTTCAGGATGCAGTGCGCACCTTTACTCATACCCTGGCCTACATTGCCCGCGTCTCCGCTTGCGTTGCCCAGCGACCTGATCTCCGGGAGTACGTGGTGAAACAGGCCGACCAGATGACCAGTCTATTGGCTATCTGTATCACCATTAACCCAATGCCGATTGATCAGGCTGTGGAGCAGCATTTGAAGGAGAAGTTTGCAGAAAGCTTGAACCGACTGCAACAGACGTGAGTTTCCTGCTTTAATACTCTATCGGTAGTCTGAACTGCTCAGTGGCTGGCCAACTGCTGCAGCTCCCCAAATGCCTCTGAATTTTGAAATCCGCAGGTAACCTCATGTAGAAACCATAGTTCATGGTATTTTAATGCATTGGGTTGTAGGAACAAGGACGAGTTCACCATGTGCTTTGACATCGGCTGCCCGCGCTTCATAAATCCGGATTCGAAGGCGACGGAGCGTGTGAACTACGCCCTGGACGCGCAGCGCCACCAGGGCGTGGTATTTCGCAGCGAGCTCGACCAGTATTGGATCGAGCTGCCGCGACTGCGGTCCTTCCTCAAGCTCTACACTTCTCTTCCCGTGGAAAAGTTGGGCCACTTCCTGGAGGAGGTATGTCTTGCATGTGTGCGGTCCATTCGTGGACCCTTACAGACACCGTTCATACAGGTGGCAGCCAGCAGTGGTAACGCGTACACGGAATACCACATGATGATGAGGAGTGGAGTTTGTCTCTTGTTTTCTTTTCCTTCAAGGATGAGGAGAACGTACATTCCCTCCTGATGCGTTTCAAGCACCAATTGAAGAACGTTACCTGCACGGGAGAGACTTGTGGTAGCCTGGAGGGTACACTGCAACTCCTCTGTGACACTGACTTCTACGTGGATGGGGAGATGATCCACATCGCGGACATGAAGGTGGATCGTCGTTTCTCCGAGTTTTTCATGCTCCAGTTGGAGAAGCTGCGTGAGGTCTGTCCTTATTTAGCTGTTCTGTCTGCTTAAGTGTTATCAGTAGGCACTGTGAGTGTAGTGGATTTGCAGGCTCAAAATGAGCTCGAAGGCGACCTGAGCAGTGAGCAGAACGGAAGGTGTTGCCAGTACTGATGTTTTCTCTGTACAAGTGCTTCTGGAAGCCACCTCAGAAGGCATTATGTTACGCATCCGCGAACATGCTGGAAATCTTAGTGTAGAAGGGCTGAAACACTATCAGAAAAAGCAGTTATATAGTTGCACCTTATTTGATAATCTGTTAGAGTAAGCTGCCACCTAGCTCACTATTTGCCATAGCGTCTGAGCCGTCTCGGAAGGTATTATAATGCACTTGAGCGTTTATAAACGAGCCTAAAATGGGAGCTCGGAGAGTGTGGAATTGAAGTGGCGATTGCGATGGAATCAGAGCTACGCTGCTGTGTCTACGAAAAGGTTGTTAACTTGTTAACTGCTGGCCTACCTCCATTTTGTCTTTTTTTAGTTGAATGACCAGCTGGACGAGGTTGAAAAGAAACTGAGCACCGCACGTCTGCGCGCCTGAATCGTCGTTGACGGCTCAACCTCGCATTGCGGCTTCGTTGTTTGATAATTCAACAAGCATAAATATACACCTGTCTAAGGACTATGCCTGTCTTCTTTTGCCTGATGAGAGTTACTACCACAACCTACAACCGTTTCGCTCTCACTCTAGTAGGCTTCATCTGTTATTCGGGGTGCTGCTATTGATCATTTCGGGGTTGACCGCATCCCCTTAGGAATGTTCTCAAGCATGTTTTTGTGAATTAAATTATTCAGTTGTATAGGGGACGAGTTGGTGTGTTGATTTGGTGTTTGTCACCGTGTTCACAACCGTTCCCATTAGGATTTCTTGTTGTTTATTTTATCACCTTTAGCTGATGCCTACGCACTTTCTGCCCCTTTCTGAATTAATAGTGCATCAGTAGGGGGAAAAACGTGATGCTCACTGTCTTATGTAGAAGGTTGTTTTGTTGGGAAGAGTCGGTCTGATATCCATCATTCTTAGGTCAAGTATTTATCAACCGCGAAGTCAGTCAATCACCAGTAACTTGCTCTCTCTCACGTGTCGTTTTCAATGCCAAAACGGGAAGGTCGTTGGGGTTTAAAAGATGCCAAGTTGAGGGACGTGCTGTTGTTTCCATTAAACTCTAAAAAGCGTGTAGCCTCAGTGAGGGTTGCTGGTGACTCTGCGATTCATTTGTTTTTTCCGATAGGTTGAAAGCCTTCGCTAGCACTACGGCAGTAGCAAGTTCCCCAATTCCAAAATACGTGACGTCAAACAATTTTACATGTGCCGATTGATATGAGTCTAAATTCTATCCATTTCCTTTTCCAGATGGAATTTCTTCAAAACGCAGCACCGCGCCTCTACCCCGTCGACAAGAGTCGAATGGGTGTACAATTCAAGCCAATGTCCACATCTACCCGCGAACCAATCACAGCCGCCGAAATCTTCGGTAAGTCAATCGGGATGGAAAATTGACAAAAAGAAAATAATATGAATAAGTCGGAGTCTCTGCTTGAGACCCAACAGGCAACACTTTTCGCCTTCCCTGCAGAGCACATTCGCGACATTCGAGATCCGGAGCACCCCTACACTCTGGAGGCGCTTGGTGTGGTAAGGAGGGAGGAAATAGCCGTGGATGACGCCGCCTCCACTGTCAATCTCCAGTTCACACCCACTATTCCCCATTGCAGCATGGCTACCCTCATTGGTCTCTCAATCAAGGTCAAGTTGCTGCGGTCATTGCCACGCCGCTTCAAGGTGATTGGCTGGTCCCATTTGACTACTTTGGTGTACCTTTTGACCACATTTTTGGAAGATTTCAGGAGCTCACTTATTTTCTGAGCCAAAATGAAGCACGAATTTCACCTTTTAGTCCTTTCCCATAACCATTCAGCGTTGATTCTTTAGTGTAGGTCGTTGTTATCCTGATTGACTGGTCCTTCCCCCTTCATACCCAGCTTACGCTAGCCTTTTGAAATCGACCATTTTCCTAAACTATTGTATGGTATTTGCTGTGCCCGCGGAAGGATTCTGTCCTTTTTTGTGCTTTTGCGCCAGCAGGCTATGCGTCAGTAAGGTGAACAGGATCGTGCCTTTCATGCCCTGAATAGAGAGTAGCTGTCAAAGTCGTAAGTCCGTAACCGGCAAGGTCGGGATTGCCTGAACTACAGACGTATGGTCATTTTTGGATCATCTTGTAGCCGATTGTCTCATCGTCGTCTACGAAGAGCCGCGAATCCCAGTTTGACTTGACTCCCTCTCGTGTACTTCACTCCTGCGACCCCGATGGCATCATTCGTAGTACTACTTGCTTTACTTGCCACATTGACGGCAGTAGAAGGTGTGATTGCAACATTGTAATGGTAATGTTCTCCGTTGCAAGACCAACCCCTCAAAATACAGTGACCAATACAGATATTCGAGATTTTGCAGTGAAACTACTACTGATGATAGTGTTAGTAGACCGGCTTTTTCTGTTGCTAGATTCACGTGACGATAGCGTCAGGTATGCACGAAACCGAGGCGGACATTAACAAACAACTAGCTGACAAGGAGCGTGTCGCCGCCGCCATGGAGAATCCCGCACTTGCTCAGGCTGTCAATCAATGTCTTGCTCCCTGATTACTGATGATCAACTACTTTGACACACCTCTCTTTCGGGATTGTAGAAATTAGATGGAACTTGACTGATTTTCTAAAAAGGCTCTGACTCTGCCTTCCTTCATTTTTATCATTTGATAAGTGGAAAATAAAGTTTTGTGCATATGTTGGAAGTCGCTTGATCCCTGCTACTTCTTGCTTGAACTGAGGTACAAGTAAAATGGTTTTTGAAGCAACTTAGCGGTTTAGGTTTATCCAGTGGGTGTTTAGTTCATGTGAAAGTAAATACGTCAAACCTTGGGGTTGTTTTGGGTGTCAAAGATTCGGGTTTTCCCTGGAGGAAGCCTCAACTTGCTGAATGGTTAAATTTCATCGTTCATGCAGAATCATTGCTTTGAAGGTCATTGGAGGTCCGCTAGTGGAAGTGTGCGTTTACCAGTCAGTTGCTCGATCTGTTCGTTTATTTCCTAGAGTAAAAAATACCCTAGAGGAAAAAGTTTTTTTGCCTAAACCACGAATCACCACGGTTTCGGTGGCTATCCGCTCCATCCGTTCAATTTTTAAGCGACTGTATCAATCGTATTCGACGGAAACCTTTTAAATAGTAGGTAGAAATGGCTTTTTTTACGGATAGGGGCATATTTTTACCTCAATCCGGCGCATATCTGATCCCTTACATCCTGATGCTTCCGGTCACATAGACACGCGTTACCAAGCCGTTATCACTTGGGCGATCGCGACCTTGAACTAGGACGCCAGTCAAGCATGGGACACCTCCATTTTTTCCGGGTAGTTAGGAGCTCACCTGCTCCCTCCCCTTCCAGCCATTTGCAAGGGGATTTTGTGGTCGAGGTACTTCTAAGCTTCCCTGCTTTGAATAGAGGAGGTCTTGCTGGTTTAATACGGAGATAGTCAGTTGGTGGAAAAGACAGGTCTGACATTTCAAGGTAGTGCGGAGTTAGAAGGGTTATGCTGAAGTGTCCAATTCGCCTCGAAGGACCCCGAAAAAAGAATCACAAGATCTGGGTGACTACTGCCGCTTACATGGACTGAGAGTCCATTGGAGCGAAGGGAAGTGTAGGTGACATCTCGGAGCTAACTTTGCCTGCTGTAATGACTTGAAGAAGGCCGTAGATCCTTCTAAACTATGCGCGGTTGTTTATGTCCACGCAGTAAAGCGCCTAGATAGGCATCAGTTGGTCAATGTGATTATCTTTGCTCCGCTCCATGCCACCTGGGCAGTGTGATGGCAAAATGTCAGCTGAAACTGCTAAATTTGGGTCGACAAACGCCGTTGATTTTGGTTTGTCAACCTCGTTGTATGGCAGAAGGAGGAAGCGAGTTTGAGGTATGCACAACCAAACGATGTTCCATACAATTTGATCCTAGTAGTAAATCACTTGTTTTAGGGGGGAGGATCGTCTACTTGCTGGAGAACACAAATTACTTTCAGTAACAATCAGTGTGAATGATGAAGTGATTACCTTGCTTAAAGTCTTATAAGAGGCTTCCAGCAATCATCTGCCATCTGTTCCAGCCATCCAGTTCATTTCAGATGGTCACTTTTACCACACAAAGCATTTAAATGCCTTGTAGGGAGGCGATTGAAGTGAAGCTGTCATCTACATACCGGTTGAGTAGTCACATTTGTCGTTAAATTTCTGCCTTGACTACATTCTGGGTAAGTACAGTCTTCCAACTTATCCACAACGCTAAATTTTAATAAATGCAATTTTTTCCAAAATCTGATTTGAAATGCCTCGATTATCTTGGGTTGCGCTCACTGGAGTAAATTGTCTTGAGGCATCCCCACCTTCATCCGATCTAACAGTAACAAGCAAAATTGAAGAGACCGAGAAAGTTGATTTCAAAGATCTACAATAAAACTCCTGCAAGAAATCGGCCGCTTCTTGCAGGTCGCAAGAACGATGTACCGATGGCTGAATTTTATTCGGGTTGGTGGAGGAGAGTAGAGCCAAGTTGGATGAAGAGGTCACCACCACAAGCTATATTCAGCACTTAAGGGGCTTCCATTGACTTCGCTAGAACTTTGGTTCCCCAAAAGACCAATCTACCTTTCCAAGTATGACGTTATTCTTAAGTGATGCTTTTCGAGGCACCTATCCAGTAAGGCGGTCGACTCTACAATTACCTCGATGGGGTCGCATATCTATTCACCGTGTGTTTGTGTCACTCCGAGGAGACGAAAAGGTGGCGATCGTCACTTTAAACTCGGAAAAACACACAGGAGGAGAGTGAAGATGAGCCAGTATCCACTCTTCCTCCCTCCCATGTCATCTATAATGAAGATCCTCTAGCGGATCATTTCTGTCGTCAGCCAAAGAGCCTCCACAGCACCTGTGGAACCGACTCTCACGCCGCACGTAGTCCAGACAATATTCAAATCTACCCGATACGTTTGTTCAAATACCATTTCGTGATCTGAGTTCCCCAAATGCTAGACAATGCCAGATGATATTTGGCTTGGCAACTTCAAGGGGTACCATCCAACCCCGAATGGACTTCAAGACACAGAACTATCACCGGTCCCTTGTAAATTTGTCCTTTTAGAGAAAAATTGTCCATATAGTCACCGAGGGATAAGAAGAGAAGTAGCTGAAAGTAAAATGCCATTTGTTTTAATTCAGCCCAATAGTGGGGAACTCTGATCATTTGTTCGTAGTCGGCTGCCTGTTGTACTTGCTTTTCCAGTCCTTTGGTAAATTTTATGAATTTCTCCTAAGTGCTTCCAATTCTTCCATTTTACTGACCTCTTTCCTAATCTAGATGGAAAAATTGGATAAAAAAAGGTGAAAATACAGTCGAAATTCGCTACTAGTCTTCCCCATCCCTTTCTTGGATCTCCCAACAAATGGAGCTCTCAAAGCTGGTGGTTCCCCTTCCACTCGACTCAGTTTTCCCTGGAACTCACTTCTCAGAGGCTTTGCAACGTCTTTAGAATAGACTTAGATTCACCACAATACATCTTTGTCCTATGGACTTTGAGTTTTCGCATTTAAAAGATTTCGAACACAAAGGGAAAGAAGAAACCGGTCAGCACCACCTACATTAAAAAATTCTTTTGGAATATTCGCTCCAGTCTTAACTGTGGCAGGAGAGTGATAGCAGAGAGCTCTCAGTGGCCTGGAGCTTGAGTTGTCACTCCTGTCATCGATTTCCCAGGCGACAGCACCTCTCCCTCTCCGGACCAGACGAACGCGCCTTGCAGGGCCGCCGGAGGCAAATCGAACACTGCAATGCCCTCACGTGCGTTACCACGCAATCTTTATCCATGGATCGATCGGACGTCGGTCGGCGTATCGTTGGCTCGAAGTCTGCAGCATTGCGGTGACGTCCAGCATGGCCAAAGTGAGTAAATTGCCTCTCAATCTCCCCTCCCTACTTCTTTAAAATTTGTGAGTTTTACCCAGTCTTTTAGTCCAATAATGTCTAACTTATGAAGTTCTTTTCGACCAAATCCATCACCTGACGCCTTCTCTTAAGTCATGATCTAGTTTTATTTGTCCCCTTTAAACTCCTCCCCCTCAAAGAGAACTACTGTTTAGATCGAAAGATTGCTCTAGCAAAGGATCAAAAGTAGACTTACTGACTACAGAGAGTTAAACAAATAATTGTCAAGTTAGAATAGGGTAATTTAGGACCCCTAAGTTCCTCTTTGTCTGTGCTTGCTTCCATTTAGCATGGAAATTGTGGTCATGATCCAGTATATTTATGCGCCCTGGATCAGGTTAAAAATAAGGTGTCACATATATGTGACACCCGTGGCGAACTTATTGCATAGGGCCCAAAGTGCTATAGACTGCTTAGGTCAAAAATAAACCTAATTTCGTGTCATTTAAGTGATTGACGTGGATGATACATCTTTTAGAACGCAGTACGAGAGGTGATATGCATCCATATCGGACAGGCGGGAGTGCAGATCGGTAATGCCTGTTGGGAGCTCCTTGGACTGGAGCATGGCATTCGACCGGATGGCTTCTACTACGATGGTTACGAACCCAACGACAGCTCCTTCCTTACCTTTTACAATGATACCGCTCACGGCAAATTTGTGCCCCGCGCCATCTTCATTGATTTGGAACCTTCTGTGGTTGGTGAGTTGTGGAACTTGTAGCGTCTGACTAGATACGGAAGAGGTAATAAGGCATGCAAGTCTAAAGGACACTATCCTTGTTACTGACTGCATCATAAGGGGTCCAATTCCTTGGTATATGTCAAGGCTGCTCCCTGGTCTAAGGAGAGCGCATATTGTACGGCAGGAGCTAATCGAGACTAGGATTGTCAAATCTGTCATCTTTGGAAGGGATCCTTGATCTAGGAAGTACCTTCGAACCCTGAAAATTCCCTACTTCGTCTACCATTGTTTACCGGTGCTATAATCTTTTGCATTTACTACTATCTTAGATGAAATTCGCTCGGGCTACTACCGTCAACTCTTCCATTCAGACAGCTTGATCTCAGGAAAGGAGGACGCAGCAAACAACTTTGCGCGGGGCTACTACACCGTCGGCGAGTTGATGGTCAACAACGTGCTCAATCAGATCCGTAAGACTGCTGATACCTGTCACATGTTCCAGGGGTTCCTTGTCTTCCATTCTCTCGGTGGTGGGTCGGGCTCTGGGTTCTGCTCCCTCCTTATTCAACGCCTCTCAGATGACTACCGTAAACGCGCTAAAATTGAGCTGTGTGTTTACCCGGCTCCGCGTCTAGCCTCGGCCGTCGTGGAACCCTATAATACCGTACTTACTACCCACTCATGCATTGAACTCTCTGAGGTCTGCTTCCTCATGGATAATGAGGCGGTGTGGGACATCTGTCGTCGCAATCTTGATATTCGCCGTCCAACTTTCACCAACATCAATCGTATCCTAGCACAGATTATCTCCTCCCTCACCGCAGCGCTGAGATTTGAAGGTCAGCTGAATGGAGATCTGACCGAGTTCCAAACCAATTTGGTACCCTATCCCCGAATCCACTTTCCTCTCATTACCTTTGCGCCGATTGTGGCTGCAGAAAGAGCCTATCACGAAACTAATTCCATTGATCAAATCACTAAGGCCTGTTTCGAGCCGGCAAATTCCTTTGTCAAGATAGATCCGCGGATGGGTAAGTATATGGCGGTGTGTCTGCTCTACCGGGGTGATGTGGATCCAGCCAGTGTGAATTCGGCTACCTCAGGAATTAAGTCGGCCAACTCCATCCACTTTGTGGACTGGAGTCCAACCGGCTTCAAGGTGGACATCAACAGTCAACCGACGGCTACTGTGCCGGGTGGGGACCTAGCACGAGTCATGCGGACGTGTTGTATGCTTGCCAACAGTACGGCCATCGGTGAGGCATTTATTCGGATTGACAGGAAGTTTGATTTAATGTTCAAAAAGCACGCTTTTGTCCACTGGTACGTGGGAGAGGGCATGGAGGAGGAAAACTTTGTAACAGCGCGTCAGGATTTGGCCGCGCTAGAGCAGGACTACGAGGAGGTGGGCTACGACACCAAGGAGGAGTAGATGTGTGGAATTGTGGCCGTGAAGATGCCAATTCTAGCCGTTTTTTCCGTTAAACAGGCTTCTTTTTGTGTGTGGAGTTTTCGTTTCTTCCAACGAGTGGGTCCTAGAGAAAGGGAGGGGATTTTGTGTGGAGAAATTCCAAATACATTTCTTGTATTTATTTCCACATGAGAAAGTCTTCACAATCTCAAATGTGTGGGTTTCATTTTGGCTTGGTGGTTTGAATGGCACTTTGATTCTTTTTTTCTGATAGATTTTTTTTTTCACCTAGGGGTGACACGGAGGAAGTGACATTGTTGAAGGCGCCATTTGTGATTCCGTAGTTGTTATAAACGTTGATTCAGCATTGATTAGACGTGTGAACTTAGCAGTCGGTTGGAGGAGGTGTTAAACCTCGCGGGTATCTGACCAGTCGGTAACCTTTGCGGCGTCCAAGTCGCTTCCGACGGCACAATAATCTGGAGGGCGATTCGCATGTTAAAACGCTTTTTAGGATTCTCGGAACCAAATATATCTGGATTCGGTAGGTGAAAGAACCTGAATCAATACAGATTTTATAAATTAGGTGGTCGAAAGGGAGGAAAAGTGTCCAAGTAAGCGATTAGGGGCCTTGCTTGGATAGATCGAGGCCTGTCTATGTCTTCTACTGCACCCATATGGACAATTGCGGGCGTTTACGAGGTGCGTGCACCGAAAACCAGGCGCAATTTTCAAACCGCAAGACATTATAACTGGTAAAAGCGATTAGCGCAACATGGCTAGCCATCAAATCAAATCCCTTAATCAGTCTGCCTTTACTATCGCTTTGTAGCTGATTCATTCCTTTTTGTGTCCTGATAACAAAATTCGTGCTGGGAAGGCGTTTTGTCTGTTTTGTTTTTGTGGCTTTACTTTGACATCTAGCACCCTTGACAAATCACCGAACCGTAAAACTTGACTTTTGAGGCTTCGGTGGTGCCGCATTGTAGAGAAGACGTCACCGATCTCTTTAATAAAACCACATGATAACTTTGATTGGAGTTGTGGGCTAAATTAGTTGGAAGCATCAGTACCATACTTTTAACTTCATTGAATCTTCTTGATCTTTCATATAAAAGTGACGTCACTTCCTTAGTTGATATAAAAATGAATGTAAGATGACGAAATTCGCCCCTGAAGTAGGGTAGACATCATCTCTGGCGGTACAGCCATTACAGATCATGGTCTCAGGAGTGACTCGACCACCAAAGCCACTCGGGTGATATGCTGCACCGTATGTACTAGTTGTCATCGTTCATTTCTGTTTTTTTTTCTCTGACTAAATAGTTTAACTAGGTGTGCAGCGTAAAGTGTGGGACCACTTAAGGTTAGTGTGGGCGTCACATATGTGTGACACCGCGAGCTAACGTGTTAAATGTGCTATCGAATGCTTCGCACCTTAGCTGGTAGTCAAATTTTTTGCAAGCTATTAAAAATTTTAAAAATTGGCAAAAAACTGATCTGTTGGTAGTAAATCGGACGCGTTCACATATCCCGCGGTAGATTGGCTCGGAGGAATTAAGTTTGCAGCGTATGGAAATGAATCCCACGTTTGACAGTTCCCTCGCCTTCGTTGTCAATAAATTCTTTACCACACTCATGCTTCTTTGATGCTGTTTAATATTCTCTCTTGCAAATGGAACTAACCCTGGTTAGAGCTGCCCCGCCTGGATCTTCCTCCGTCAGAACTTCATGAATATCACGAATTGCAAATTTTGGGTTCAAAATGGGGTTTATTCGATACTACGCATCAATCAACGACTGCCTTCCTCCTCACTTTCTTTCTTCCTCCCTTTTAGGTAAAATCATCTAACTACTGCTCCGCAGACTATCACTGATTGGTAGGGGCAGCAAATTTTGCTCTTCGCTTTATTCACTCGCTTCATGAATAATCGGCGTCCACGCTGGATTTTCTGCGGTCCGACCGACTGGCTGAGTGACCGACCGAGTGATTGACTGGCTGACCTAACTATCGACTTGTGGTAAGAAACGGCTCTTGTAGTAGTCCGACGTCTATTAAGGGAGAATTTTATTGGTTGTCTCCGCCTAAACAATCCATTTTCTCACTGTCTACCACACTCTCCTGCAACACACCACCTCCACAAGACTGGGTTAAAAGCAATTTACGTACTGAAAACATAACAATTACAGAAGGAGTCTCTCCATTCGATCCCGCCCAATACAAGTGGGGGGTTTGCTGCAAAGGCACTTCCCTGCCTTCCGATTCCCCTTCCTTCTCTCAAAAAACCATCAGTGGTCAGGACTAATTAAGTGGCAAACGAAAAGTTTTATTAATATTATTCCATCCAGCCAATGCAACACAGAACAACGCAGCACCTCAAACTTCATACCCCACGACGTAAGGCTAACTCTTCAGAAGAGAAGGTGGATACTTCAATAAAGGAGAGACTACCTTGATATCTTCCACACACTGAGATTTCGCCTAGTAATATTTTTAAGCTCCAAGTAAAGGCCATCGCCTCTACCTTCCATCATCAATTTTGAGTGACCTCGCGCCAAATGGACGTGCGAGGCAGCATTGACGGTTGGAAAGTGGAATTGAAGTGGGAATAGGGGTGGCTAGAGTTTCTGTTTTGTTGAGAGCAGATCAGATCACAGACTGGTAGGGTCTTTTGGGAGACTTTTTAAAGTTGTTTATTTTCTGTTAAGTTCAACCACTCGACTCTGGACTCCACCAAGAAAGTTAAGGCGTCACATATTTGCAACGCAGGGACGTACAAAGAAAGTAAAGGCGTAACACTTCAGTGATGCCGGTATCCACCAGGAAAGTAAAAGCGTTGCACATCTGTTCAACTGCAGATCTACCTAGATTGCAGACTTCATGTATTTGTGAGGCTGAAATCCACCAAGTAAGGGCGTCACATATCTGTGACACTGATGCCTAATGCGGAAAATTCAAAGCTAAAGCACTTTGCCAAGGTAAGACTAATAAGACCACTTTCTTTTTGCATTGATTTTGCTTTTTAAAGAAATTAAGATAATAATTGGCCACTTTATGATCAATGCACTTGGAAGTCTCCCTTCCGCTGCACTTTAAATCGCCAACAGTTCCTTAACCTGGTAAGTGAAACACAAATCATATGATTTCAAAATCAGGAACCACTTTAAGTTTTTTAACTTTTCAAAAACTGAACAGAGTTACTCTACAAATTAATTGGTTTTACAAATAAGAAACTCAAGACAGTTGAATTCGCCATTGTATGGGATCACCACGGAGATCGCTTAAATCAAGTGCCTCCACCCCCTCCCATCTCGAGGCCAAGCAAATAATATTAGCAGCTGTTTCTTCCTCTTTAAAAAATTTATCAAAAATCCTTTTCCGTATTATAAGCTTCAAACATTTACTTAAAATAGAGTCTTATTTTTAGATTTTTTAAGTGGAAAGCAGGTACTACTGAGGTGGGGAAATCTTTTGATACGCAATTTCTATAAAGTGGGGTTAAAAAGGTATTATGGCCCCAAGGAACCTTCTAATGGACTTGACATGGCGGAATAGTGACATTTTTAAGCTGTGATGTAGTTATTCTTTAAAGTGACACATGATCGCTGGCTACGACCGTCTTTGCTCCTCCCCCACTCACACCTCCCGATGGTCTGTCCTGCTTCGTGTCCCCATTCAGCGCGTGGTTTAGCAAAATGCTAATGGGGGGAAAAGGTAGCAAGCATCGCTTGGAGCTTGGAGAATGAGGCATTGTCTCTCCCTCTCCCTCCTTTCCTTCCTACCAAAAGCGCACATCTCATGGGCTGGTTTTGGGGGTGGGAGTTGTTTCCCGATGTAAGAAATTCGTTCTTCTACATATTGCAGTCGTGTGACTGCATTGAGAAGTTGAAGCTTAGGCACACTTCACTAATCATGATGAAAAATTGCATCTGCTGCCTACCACACACAAAGCAAGCGCCTTCTTTAGGCAAGAAATGGGGTTGAGCCCTGGAGGCATAGCAGCTTGGCTTTGTGCTGTGATAGGAAAGCCACTTATCTCCAAAAATTTAGCTAGGTGGCGCTCTAGAAAGAGAAATGAAAAGCAAACTAGCGGTTTGAAGATTAAAGGCTTGAGATCCACCCATCTGGTATCCTCCACAACTGTCTCTTAATGCAGGAGTCAAGGAATTATTTCATCACAAAGTGACACGTAATTAGAAGGCCCTTCCAAATACAGTGCATTTCCATCGCCACGAGAGGTGATGAAGCTTTTGAAAGCCTTCCTGAATGGTACCTCCATCAAAAACACCTCTTCAAATGCATCTAGAAGCGTATAACGGACAAGCTTGGACTACATTCAGCAGGGGCAACCAACAGCTCCGCAGCGGAAGTTCCGCAACGAGGGACTGACGCCCATCTTTACTCCTTATACACCGACAAATGTAACACTACGTCGTGGAAGCTAGCTGCAAAGAACATCTCAAGGGATTTTTTCCCACTGTAGCTTGCATTACCTGTTGAACCGGTGTGGAAGCATAGACCTGGAACACGTCTTAGGTACAATACCAGCTTCAAAATCTGGCGATTCAACGGCTACATCTTAAGCCCAATACCCAAAGCTACAGCTTTCCTTCCATTCAAAAGTTAAATTTAATCAACTGATTGGGGGGCCTACAACCTATTCAGGTGGAGCTTTCACTCACTGGTATTTTATGCAACGCAGTGACTTTTAGCCCTATAAAATTTGGGAAAGTGGCGCTTTCATCCGCTTGATGAAGCCCAAATTGTTAGCCAAACGGGATTCTTCGTTTAATCAACGACTATTCAATCGCTCCAGTGAATGCTGAACTCATAGATGGCTCACAAAATCAAACTGCCTTAACGGTTCGGGAGGGCGGAGGTAGCGTGATCAACGCAGGTCACAGGTAGTTCAGTTGTTTGTCCTTATTTGACATGTATCATCCTTAAAGCACTTCACTTACCTATCCAGTTGAGTCCGCCTCTCTTCAATGGTCGCATCGTGTCCTCACGCCCCTGTGGCTCTATGTACAGGGTCGAAAAGAGTAGAAAACTCGTTGCTTTTGGACTTGGCAGCAAGGCAAATTCAACAACTAGAGGTACCTTCAAAATTGCATTTTATAAACGTTAAACGACCTCACTTGACTAACGGATGCCAAATTGAAGTGATAAAATCTTTTACTGCATATTGATGATCAAGGAGAAGTAAGTGAGGTGCTTGTAAAGGCAACTCCTAGTTAGGTTTTTCCAATAGGTGATGCATGGGAATAAATGGAAGAGTCTCTTCCACATTCTTCAAGTTATCAAATTAAATAGCACCTTCTTTGATCCTCCAAACACTGGTCGCAACTGTTTCGCCTATCCACTTTGCTCTCGCCCGTTCGTCCGTCCTCTGTCCGAAAAAGGGGTAGTGAATGCCACCTCGACCCCCTATTTGCCCTAGTCCCCACTCATTAGGGCACGTATTGCGGTAGAAGGCCCTGAAAGGGCACCAAACAGCCAAACTAAGGGAGATGCAAATAGGGCTGTGACTGTAGGAACACCTTAAAGTAAGATTTTAGTATCTCCCCGTGATAAATAGCAAGGGCTTGTTGGGATGCGTTCTGTGTGGAAGGTGCAACCCAGGCCTCTATAGCTAATAGCTAACATCAAGGACAAATTTAGTCAGCCACCGCAGGAGGTGCGAGAAATCTCACCTAATTCACCAAGAAATCGGAACTAAAATTTGCAAAGAATTTCACCTTTAGTGCAGTATTCTTCGAGGACAGAGTCACTGCTGTGGATAAAACAATGTCTGGAAGTCCCCCTTCACTCCGCAAAATGACAACTGTAGTCCGCTAAATTTGTATTGCCAGAATCTTTACCATAATTCCTCCTAAGACGAATTTGTGTCTCAAAGATATGTACACCTCTCCTCCTCTCCCGATGCTCCTTCCTCCATGGTGCCATTGACCTGGTAGGAATTCTGCAACTTACTTCATTCTAGGGTGGTGACTCTTATAATGAATTGTAGGCACAAGTAGGCCAATTACCACGACTCTTTCTCCAGATAGTTCCACTGGTTGCGTTGATAATGTTAGTAAGGATCATCAGTTTTACCTTCCATGAGGGACTGGACTTAAGCGATTATGATTCCCTAGAGCTCTTAAGTTCTTGCAGTCATGGATGGCCACGGCTTTTATTGACGATTTAATCAGATTGCCCCAGGTAAAATTAAACAAAGACGCAGTAAACGATTCATTTAGGGCACAACAGTAGTCAAAAGTCAAACCCGCACGTACGGAAACACACAGAGACACATATGCACAGACCGCGCGCCATTCGGACCGCAAAACATCATAAATCTCCCTTGAACCATTTAAATGACCCTAGTCAGCTGTTTTTTGTCATTTTTAAGGCAGATTTGCCATACCCCATCCCCCACCTCTCACCCTCCAATACCTCCGTCTTCGGTGCTTTCGCCGCGGGCTTTCTTGGCCTGTGACCAACTGTGCTGGAATCGATGTGATGCGACGCACACTCGCTGGCACCAACCCACACACACACACAGGCCGTCTCCAAGGTGCATTTGACCAGACATGCGTCATATTTTTTACCCTCCCAACTTTTCCGTCTTATAGATTACCTGCAAAAAGCATTGTTCACCACCTTCGTGGAGGTAAGGCTCTCCTTTGGATGAACGCTTCGTTAAGCCCAACTATCGATGCCTAAGCTTGAAAGTCGGCCTTCAAGAAATCTCTTTAATAGGATTTTTCATTCCTACTCTTCTGATTGGTTTTTCTTTCCTGTGAAAGTAAAGTATTTCTTGGCTTGGAGGCATTTTGAACCTCCTTGATTCAATAAAATTACATTTTCGGCATTTCAAGGGATAAGAATAAATTTAGAAGATACTTCAGGAATGCATCCTTTCACCTTCATATCAAGATTGAAGTCAAAAAGGTATAGAATCCTAGAGCTCTATGCCCCGGAGAATAATCTCCTACTTTTCCGTGATATGAAGAAGTCGCCATCAACAAACTTGCCACTGATGAGTGATTTAACAATTTGGAAGGTCTTGTGGCTGAGACCTCTGGACAAGTTCCAAAATCGAGGCTGGATTATTCCCGTTCCAGCTAGACACCCACACTGGAAACTTCTGCCTCAAGGAGTGCAGGGTTGGCTGCTTATTATTTTTTTCACCGACCTGACCTTCTTCAAAAACCGTGTGGAAAAATACCTCTCCCCGAGTGTGACCTTCGTGGTCGGTTTAGCATTGGCCACTGAAACTGGGCGATGGTCCAATGTCACCGTCAAAGCGGAGGACTTAGGAATTCCTCCGGCAGGGGATTCTACACTGACGATTATCCACAAGCGTTGTTAGACATGAGGACCCTCTAGCCACGAAAAATATACGACTGAATGTTTGTAAAAGCAGGAAGCAATAATCCTGATTTAGATGGACCCACAGATCCTCCAGGCTAAGCACACCAACCCGAAAGCTTCCGAAAGTGCATGCTTACCATTGCTTCACTTTGTTTTCCAATTATACCAGTTGAATCCACCACCTCCATATTTGCGTGGATGGAATCAGGTTTTGTGCGAATTCAGTTTTCAGCCGACCGAATTGGCCAATAATGATTTTATGTGGATTGACGATAAATTGCATCAAAATACTTCCGGACTCCGCCTTTGATCTGACAGGTGTTGCGTAGTTCTTTACCGTAAGGTCAAAAAATTGGCAGCTTTAAATGTTTTGGGTAATTTTTTATCTAGCTGGTCAGAAAAAGTTATCCCCTCATCAGCGGTTTCAATGTCACACCTTCAACTTCCCCAGGTCATAGAGAGTGCAGTAATCTCAGAAGTCCAATAAGGAATCTGAATCCATGACCTGGTGGTTGGATCCTCTCAGTGATGCGTAGTAGACCTCTGCATTCAAATCTGATTTCGATCCAAATGGAGGTCAGGACTTCATAAAAACAATCCCATCTAATGTGTCAACTTCCTCCTCAAACCATTCAAGGAAACTCCCGACAAAACAGCTGTTTCACATTGTGCTTATGAATTCGAGTTTCAAAGTCTTGAACGTATTTAAAAGCTCACGAGCTGATCTGTGGCTAGTAAAGGCAAAACTACAAAACCCTTCCTTTTAACTACAGAGATGTCTATTGAGATCATTAAAGCCACTTTCCAGACCGCTTCTAGACCGCAAATAACTGACAGGAGGTAAGAAAGTGAGAGGGATGGACTGTAGTGAGGAAGAAGGGGCTGTAAATCATTAGTGGTCGAGACGAGACAGGCCCTAGCCTCGATAGCCATAACTTTGTGCCTCGGACTTAATGCCCTCGCCCTCAGTCCTTCCCCCCCCCCCCGCTCCTTTATTGCCTTAGGCACACACCGACGGCAACGGTTGAATTATGATGCCTATAAAGGCTTGACACTTTTGGACTTGCATTGACTCTTATCCCAGCTACTACCGCTACTGCCTCCGTCTCTGCCACTGCTACCGTCGCCAATAAAGAAGTGCCACTGAAGCTGCGAATGTATCTGCTGCTGCAGAAAGGATTAGAAAAAGAAGGAGGGAGCAGAGGAGGCCGGGTTTGATAAATACCCGATTAGATTTTCATCGGTTGATCAAATTAATCAAACAGCCATAGCCTGACAAGGTTTGCTAAGAGCGCCCTTCTCCCGTGCCTTAAGGGGTGGGTTTGATTTTGATTTTATGTGCGCACCACTTCTTGATACCGGTGTAGGCAAGCGGTGTTACAGAAGGAAGGGAAGGGAAAGGAAGAAAAGAGGAAGAAACACGCTGATATATATTTTTGGGGGGGTTAAAAGAGACAAAAATAAAATTGCACATGTCGGACCCTTTCATGGTATTCCGCGCTGGAATGCAGAAGCTCTCAGACCTTCTGTACTCCTTAGAATTGAGCTGTCTTCCAGACTGTCAAGTCATAGGAGGTAATTTGAGCACCTGTTAGCCTGGGATTCAAGGAGGATTAACTTCCAAGTGGAATGGGTGGTTACCGTTAAAGAAGGGCATCTTTTGTGAAGACTCGGTTGTGTCCTATGGTAAGCAACGATTTGACAACAGTCGTGAAATTCGAGCAAAACCGGCATTTCTGGCTAGTGAATCACTTAACAAAAAGTCAGTAGGTTGGGTTGACCAGAGGAGTTCAGCGCAAGCTGATGACCTGGCGGAAAACAAGCAAGCGGTCACAGCCAAACACCATCCTGTTACCACGATCACCATGTCTGTCTGCTTGCAGAGCGATAATTTTCATTATTTTTATGCACTCACTATTTACCTTTCGGTTTTATTGATGGTGTCGTTAGTTCCGTATTACACTGTGGTCGTCCTAGTCTCTTGCATTGCTGTAATATGCCATACAGTGTGGAAGTAGGTTCGTTATCGACACACAGAGCGAGTAAGATGGCGTAGAGGATAGCACGAGCTATGGAAGGTGAGGCAAAAGCATCCGCGTTCTCCGTTTTCACGCTTTAGCACAGATCCTCACAGCGTAGTCGGTATTTGACGAGCCTCCATGAGGGGGAAACAGTGGTTACAAAATGTTTAGAGATGCGCCTCGTTGATGCCATCGTATCCGAAGTTGCATAAATGAAGTGGACAACTCCACAGTAAATGTTATCAACTTGTTCCAGCCTTGTTGCGCCAAAATTACCACCAGTCTTTACGCTGAAGGCAGGACTAGGGTCAGTGGGGAAAAGTTGACGTGATTTTTACGGTTCTCCTGTTTTTACTTGTGGCAGAAGCCTTCCTTCTTCGATGTTAAGACTTGGTTTTGAGTCAGAATGTTTCACTTCATGGGTCGAGTCCACTTTTCGGTGTTGCCAAATTTGACGTCTGGTGGCTACTATGAAGTCGTAATAAGCTACAGCGGTATGAATGAAGACATATTGTTGAACTTTAGAAGGGCCGCTTGGCCAAGATGGAGATACGATCTGAGGGGAATGAAAAGATGGATGGTATTTATAAAAACAAAAGGAACTTACAGCTTTTCCAGTTTCACTTGTTGAATGTGGTTCCTTCCTGGATGGAATCGCTGAAACTCCTAAATCTACGACTAAGTAGAGGGTAGATCAGATAAGATCACAGCACCTCCGGTCTTCCAATGTGAGCATTGTGTTCAGGGTTACAAGTCACCCCCGAGAGACAGAGGGCCGAAGTGGCTATAGGTGTGGAGCCGGGGCAGCTTGATAACAAGATGATGGCCGAAATCCACGAAGATTGAAGAGATAGTTAAAAATGGAAATCTAAGCATCATATTTACTATCTCGCTAGCCCTCCGGTCTCTGCCCTTCATTATTAGTCGCAAGTAAGTGCAGAGTTCAACAATCTACCTACAGGCCGACGCAACATGTCGGAACGCATTGGCACACTAAAACGTCCGCACTTGCCTATGTTAGTGGAATAAAAAGCATAAACATTTCCTGGTCTATCCATGCGGGGGCTCCTTATCGTCGCCTCCACCACCACTCTTCTTTTGACATCTAGGATCATAAAATTTCGTTTAATTCAACTTTTTCGCCCTTTTGGATTCAGTTAAACTCGCATTTTAAAGCACTGAATAGGGCAACGCTTGGAAGAGAGGCATTTTAAGGTGGCAAATCGCACTGCTTAAAATCTAACCGTCGAGCCACCATCTTGATTGTGGTGTAAAATCACCCAACAATGAGGAATGCAACAATGCATTTATATTCACCCCAGCCTGGAAGGGAAAGCCATGAAAGCTGAGTTAATGGCCGCCATATGCATTAAAGATGACAATAACTTCCTCCCAGGCCGTAATACTGCTAAGTTTTGGACCGGTTGCTGACTGACTGACAGACTTACATGAGCTGAGAAATTCCAACGTTCATCGGGCAAACGAATGCATAACTGGCTATTATTCGACAATCCCTTTCTGAGGCAGACTACAGACGAAAGTGCTCACTTGCTGACTACCACACAGGTACGTTTGGGATGTATCTACTCTCTAGAAACCGTCAGAACAGGTGATGCAGTCCTAAACGATCTTGGCACCGCAAGGCTTCACCCACGAGACCATTTCATATCCCACCTCGGGACCGATTTGGATGACAATCAGCTTCTCCTGATATTTGACATCTGCTTGCAACAATGCCGGCTTTAAAATGGTGATGGTGGGTTGGGCGAGGATTTTTCTTACGTTCTTGAGATAGCCTGTTCTAAAAAAGGTGAAACCTGCAGTAGCTCTGTGTCAGTCAATCATCAATCACTGGCTAAGTTCTTCACTTTGGAGTTTGACTTGTCTACTGGACATGTAGACACGCAAAATCCGCCAGAGAGACAGTGGATCTCCTTATCAGTGGGCTTCGGGTTTAAAAAAAAGTTGGTTTGATTGATAAGAGAAACAAGCTAAGTCAGGTGCATCACTGATTGAGTGACTGAGAGAGAAAGAGTAAAATCAGGCCTGTCTATCTGGCTACCTGGCCAACTGCACAGCTAGCTGGGTTGCAGTAAAATTAATCAACTTGGTCAAACTTTGCCAATATCTGGTCCCGTGCCTTCTCGTTGGCTTACCCACTTTGGCTCCGCTTTTTTGTTTGCTCCCTCTTCTCGCCTTTGCTCCACTTCCTCATCCCCCCTCCTCCACCTTACCTCACCCTACAACGCCTCTACTTCCCATGCAAAGTGAATTTATCCTTCACCTTCTTCTCCGTCTCCCTCCTCTTCCACCTCCACTCACAAGCGTCAGCTGTTTGCGGCAGAAATTTTTGCTTGCTGTCGTCCTCGTCGTCGTTATTTCCCTCCCCTAATGCGCTTCGCTGTGAGAGAGAGGGGGCAAGGGAGGCGGGAAGGGAGGAAGGAGCAGAAAGTAACTAAGTGTAGGGGCTGGAGTGGCTTCCTGTCATCCTTGCACCAGTTGCGCTTTCACTTTATCACAGACGCACGTGCACACATACACACACACAAGAACGCACGAAGGCAGGCGTGGAGGAGGAAAATCGGAGGAAAGAAAAAACGGCTAAGAGAGCGGAGAGTGAAGGCGGAACAGTTGCACAGAGACTTCAGCGTTGCCTCATTCCCCTTTCCCCCCGTGCCTAGCACCCTGCGCATTCCCTGCCACCCCTTTGATATGGAAACAGACTGCCATCCAGCCAGCCAGTCAACCACCTGTCCAGCTCGTGAGAGCGAGAGAGAGAGCTGGAGAAAGGGAAAGTGGAAGAGGAGCGAGGCGGTATCCACTCCGCCACAGTCAAAATTTGCACCTTTGGGGCACCATTGTGTGCAAATGGCGTACCTTAATCTGCTGGTAGGAGGGAACGCAATACGTCGATTCTCTTGAGTTTCTCGGCAATTTTATAGAGCACCATAGGCGTGAGGGACTGCCTAAAATTATTTTCGTCTTCTCGTTCGTATAGAGAGTGATTTTATAACTGAAGGCTTAGACCTTCCACGCTGATAATCATCCGTTCCACTACTAGAGTGTCAAAAACCACTTTTTAGTCTGAATCAGTCCAAAGTGTACTCTGGTGATATAGAGGTCCAGTTGTCCGCTTGTCCGCTAGTTTGGCTTTACTACTCCTTCAAGGGTAGCCTCGGTGCTACCAGATGTTTTGAACGTTTAGCCTGGGTGGTCATGAGAAGTATCGAGGAGGTGGCTGAATTCCATTGTAACGGCGGATTGTGGAGTGACTCCCTGGGAGAAACCGACTCAATCATTTTCACCAAAAATTTCTGTAAATCACAGAGAATGACGAATATAATTTTCTTCTCGTGTCCCAGTTCGACCACGTGATGTTAGCTAAAGCTCTATTTTGAATACAGCATGTCGATATCTATGGTTTGTATGTCTTTGAATTGGCCGGGGAGTTCAGAAGACTTCATCGTGCCACCAGCCCATTAGTCTCTGCCGCTAGACTTGTTGATTTATTGAAGCTGTAGAGCATTTGGAAGCATTTCCAAACGTTGAGTGACGTGATTTGGGGAAACTAGAAGGGTCAGCCGTTGAGATGTCCGACGAGCGATACGTACCAGGTGGGTGGACTTTGAAAGGCAATGGAAGCGAAAACAAGTTCCAATTTCTCCGATTTTCTTTTTGAGGACTGGCAATCACGATTTTCTTGCTAGGGATTAGCAATCCTGAGCTCAGGAAGCAAATATGATCCAAGATGTCAAAAAAAGTCTTTAATTGTACCCTTGACTTTCCACCAAATGTTGATACTGCTTATAGGAAAACTGCTGAGTTAGTAGACACGTCAATTCTCGTTTTTTGGTCATTTCCATCTTTAAGCTCCTCTATCAAAATCCAACTTCTATGACGGTGGCATGGTGTTCTGCTCATCCTACTCAAGCTGCCAGGTCTCCTCCTCACCACCTCCAGTCCATCATTGCCTCCATAATGCAGCTGCCGTTCCATTCACTGCCTCCTGCCATCCTTAGGGCTAGCCATGGAAGGAGTAATACAAAATCAGAAGTAGCTGAAACGTTGCAATTGGTCTTTTTAGTTAAATGGATAAAAATAACAAAACTATTTCAGTGTCGGGGTTACACACTGGAATGACCTTTCTTGAACAAGCACACATCAAGTTCACTGGAGAACAGTTAGTTAAATAAGTGACATTACGGGGTGAATTTACACCACCTAGCTTAAATGGCTATCTAGTAAAGGGTGCAAACTATTTCGGAAGAAAAAATTTTCAAAATAATTTGAAGCTGAGCTATTTAAAGCCACCTTGTCAAGTCCTTTGATTGACGATTGATTTTAAACTGTCACTAATTGTCAAAATCAATTTTTGTCTGTGTCACTCAGATTTTGCGTTAACTTATGGGTCACAATGAAATACTTTAACCCTGAGAAAACTGTTAGGACAGAGGAATTTAAGCAGCAAGGGGGAAAAAGCGCGCAGCTAAAATCTCCTCGAAGGTTTTATGTGTCAAAAAGTTTTCCTTGAAAAATTTTTTGAGAGCAAAACAGTTGCTCTGTTGGAATGAAATACCTCGTGGCGCTGGATGTTTAACCTGTGGCTTCGATAGCATTCTGAAAGGGTTGAAACCATTTCCGACTTCTTTCTGTGACACTTGTACAGAAGGGCTCTCTTACCAAGGGTGAGAGAGGGATAAAACGAGCGGTTACCATAGCAATAATGATTTTGACGTCCTGTGGAAATATGTTTCTAGATTCTTGGTGAAATAAATGATATCTGGACAACTGCAACTTGCAGTCACCCCCTCACCTGTCATGTGACCTCTAAGCGATCCCAGTAGATACGCCAGAGGGCGAGTAAGATCAGACGTCAAGGTCGGGTCAGATTGAAGTAAATTGCAAAATTCCGTACACTGGATAGACGAAACGTGTACCAGGACACCTCCCTTCGCATTGGCTGCGTTCCCACGTCCAATTCCACCGATCTTCCACCAAATCTTTCATCCATCCCTTCATCTATTCTGCATTCATTTATCAAACCATCCTGCCTTCCACTCATGCCATCATCTATTGAAGTCTAAGTGAATTTGAAGTGTTACGCCCATTCAACTAGACCCGGAAAATGGAGAAGACAATGTAACATACGAACTTTTGCATTAGCTACTGCAACACACAACTGAACAAACAATCACCGCGGACACGCGAGAGTGGAACGTGAACGCAGAAGCAGAAGGAAAGACTTCAAAGCACATCAGATGGAGTTCAAGTGACTACGCTGACTACTGTCATTTTCGCTTTTGGTAAAGTAATTTTGCGTTTGGCAGAAATCTGCACCATTGTCACTGTTGTTGTTGGTGTAGGCAGTATGGTCTACCTCCAGACGTGGTGGGGTCTGACACGAAAAAGCGGACGGCAACAGAGGCATTGGCGGAGGCTGCTGGTATGACTGTCGAAACGGTGACATCCCAGCAGTGAAAGTGATGGAATAAGTCTCCTCCGAGATAAATATGTCTCCTAGCTGGTTTCTGCCCTGTGCATCACATTCAGCGACCTCTTCCAAGCGGCTGGAAGAATGTCCATCGCTGTGCTCATCACTGTCAGCCCGCACTAACTCCGGAACTCGTGGACGTGATTCTGTTGCGCCTGTCCTCGGAGACCATGTCATCCTGTTCTCCTTTTTCAGACGTCGACGGGCATTCGCAAACCAGGTGGATATCTAGAAATAACCTTTCCCGTGAGAGGTCCGAAGTCTATAGTCATTCAAACGGACTAGGAACTCTACCAACCTGGTTGAATGTCATGCCTGTCCTGGTGGCTAGAGCCATCTTTTCATTTTTCGTGGGATATGGGTTAGTGTTGTGCTCATTTAACCATGTCTTCAAGTAATTTGTTGCTTGTCGCGTCGCAGGCCTCGTTCTCGTTGTATCCGGTTGTTCTTTGGCTCTAAAAATTACACAATTGTAAGGCAACATTTCCCTCAAGCCTGCACATGCTTCTACCGCTATCGCATTTTTCCTCCAAACCACATGCATTTGTTCATTAAATTATCTAATTTGACTGTCATGGTTTTTTACCCGCGCTGTGCTGTAGCTCTGTGTGTGTGCACACGATTTTTTGGCCATCTTCTCCCCTCCTTCCTTCGTGGGGATATACAAAAAATTTTCTTCCTCCACAATGCTAATGTCCCTCCTGCGTTCGTGCGCGCACATGCACAACTGTTGTCACACACAATGACATTCACTTACGTCTGAGTGTCCACGACATGCGTCTCCTGAAAACTGGAACTTCCTTCCACTCCACCACTCCCATTGCAAAAACTCTGTTGCGAATAGTATGACGAAATGGGTATGATAGCTTGACGCGATTGAATAAATTCAATCGTGTGTGGAGAAATAACTTGATGCTGTTGTAATGGTGGCGGCGGTGGTGGCGGCGGAGGTGGTGGTGGCCGAGGAATTGGGATATGTGGAGCATCCATTGGTGGCGGAAACACCGGTTCACCAATACCGTTTGAAACATGCATCTGTGGAGGTATTCGACTGTAGAATCCTGGATGAACTCCCCCCGTCGGTCCTTGTGGGATGAACTGTCCATTGTTAGGAATGTTGCAATGAGCTCCTGCCGTCGACCGTAAAGCATATTCTATGGAATTTCTTCTCGGGAGGGCGGGCGAATGATTCCTGGGATTGTATGTCGGATTATAGGCTGCGAATGGCCTCGTGTGGCGTCGCATCTCCTCAATATATGGGTCCACTCGCGATGGTTGAAGGTTTGTGTAAATCTTTCTATCCCACGTGAAGTAAGATTCCCGCAAAATCTGCGAGTGGCTCAATTCATTGTGGTAAGAAGATGGTTGCAGTGGTAATCTCTGCTGCTGTGGAAGGGAATGATTTGGCGGATATGGGGTAGGTTGATTCATGACTCGTTGATCGTACGGTATCTGAAAAGGGCAGTGGACAGGTGAGACGACTGAGCCCCATTTTCCGCAATTACCTTGGAATTCTTTTACTATGTCTGCACATGTGGTTAGACAGCAACTGTTGTTGGGAGCGGTTGGATGCTTTTACTTCCGCACAAAATCAGCTATTTTGGGGAGGATATAAAAATATCAAACTCCAAATTTGAAAAAAGCTACAGCCTCTTTTATCCCTTCTCCACATTTTCTCCCTAAGAGAGTAAATGTTTCACCTGGGTTAATGCAAAATCAGTTTCGCTACATCAGTACCCCATCGCCTACCCCCTTATCCATTTCCCACGTTTCTGTATTTGGAAGGATTGAATGCCCCAGCTTGGCGTGATAGAGTTATGTCCACTTAGCTCAATCATTGTCGGTTTGTCACGTGCGGTCTTGCGCGCACGGCAGCTATCGTGCGGGTGATTTGACGACGGGTCGTCAGGACTTAGTAACAACCGCCGTCACCATAACTGCAGATCTATCTGCAAAAGCCTTTGCAAATCAGTTTTGGGATGTTATCTCGGAAAACTATCTAGCTTTTTCCCTAACCCAAATGCCTTAGTGCCAGCCTGCGCGTGTGCTACTTAAATACGAAGAGTAGTATTTGGGTCTTAAAGGAGGTCCACGTCGAATGCCATCTTTTTCGATCTCCCGCGATTCGATTTCGCTGTTGGCAACTGTTATTAGCCAATCAGAACTACATTGTCAACATCGGCGAATGGGATGATTTGGAAACAACGAACGCTCCAGTAAAAGGTTTAAAAAAAAATCCTATTTCCTTGCCACCATAAAAAAGTGTTTCCTGTGTAAATAGCTGAGTCTGCGAGGATCTACAACAAAAGTTCACTCTAGATTTGTTTACTTTATGCCCTTTGCTGAACTATCTCATCTGTAACACCCCTAGGTCTCTGTTTTAATTCCATAAATAGCTAAGAGCAAGTTTTTTTAATTGATGGAAAGATTATGCACGAACCAGGGCTAAAAAATTGTAGAAGTGATCAAAAATGTCAAGATTTACAAGTACCAGAAGTAAAGGAAACATTGCAATCTATTTATTGTGATTTGGCCACAGAGCGTAGCAACGACGCACGAGACCCCGCTAGATCATCATGAGACGATTTAAAGAGCAAAACCTGACGTCAATACAGCTAGGCAAAAAGTGGCTTCGAAGCCTAAAATGTTGTTAGGCTTCCACCCTAGGACGTTAGCCTTATTAACTCCCCCCATGATGCCACAAGTAGACTTGGACTGGTCCACCTAGATGTCGGCACATTTCTGTATCGCAGCAGTATCCAAGGCGGGAATACCGTCCCCTTTCTAGCGCCTCAAGCGCAGTAGAGGAAGGCGAGAAGAAGGCGAAGAGGAAGAAGACGACTACGACGACAGCTGTCTGCAATTTCACTAGTTGGGTGGTCTCTGTCGTTTTCGGCTTCAAGACCGCGACTGCCACTGGGTGCCTGACCAATCGACTGTGGGTGGGGGGCGGAGAGGGTTGGGCGCGGGTGAAAGTAATCGCGGTGTGTGGTCCCCTCATTTGAGGTTTCTTCTTCAGCCTTGTGGAGGCATACTTTTAACTTCTTCTCTTCCCCATCTCCTCGTCCTCAGCAAAAAGCCACACACACCGCAACGGCAACAACAACAACTGCCGCTTCTGCTACTGCTCTTGGTGGTATTATCGACTTCAAATCACGCTTGCCTTCGGGTGTTGGAAATTCCATATCCTTTTTCCTTCGAAAAATGCGCGCGCCTATCTATTTCAACACTTACCTGCGTATCTACCTTTTATTGCCGGTGAGGGATTGTACGTTCCTTACTTAACGGCTCTCTTGTGGGTGCCCATATCATCATTATCGCCTAGTACAACCCCAATTTTTTTTATCATAAAGTCGGTAGGTGCAATAATCAGGTAAAAAGATGAAGTAATGTTGATTGAAGCATTGAATGAGAAGTTCTCCTTTCTGATAAGCGATTTTACTATTGGAAATGAGGGACCTGAATTGAGACAATTGTGAATAAAGTAGATCAACTATAATCGGGTCTTTTGAATGTGATGGAAAAGTCCCTCTTAAGCAATACGAAAACCATCAGCGGTAGATTCTTGTGAGGTCAATGTTTCGGCACCTAGACTTATTTGAAGGAGTTATTTGTTATCAAGAGATTATTATCAGACTTCGGTTGAAGTCCACGGAGGAGGACCACGGCAAGATCTAACCGTCTTTTCAATCACAAGAGAGTTTACTGGAGAAGGACGATTCTGATTCTTTGAATTAGAAGCGGATGGGTGGAAGGTCGGGTGGATGGATGAAAAGATGGTGGTTGAGTGGTGTCAGATTGGAATAAGAACTGGACTCCAATGAATGATTTGGATGAATAAGCGTCGAAAAAGAGGAAGATAATTTGAATAACTCTAGAATTTCATCGAATCAACAAGTGAACTCTCTTCCAAAATCCTTCATTTTATAAACTAGCCCCTTCAATCTAGGGCTACAACATCTACTTTTATGGTCGGTGACAGACCTAAAAGAGGTCACTTTTCAGGTAATCTTTCGCTCAAACAAAATCCCCAAGTTCTCATTTTGCTTTGAAAATTTACGTAATAAATCACAGTGTTTTAGCTTTCAAGGCTTTAACGAGAACGGGGTGTTGAATAAAGGACAGTTCTACGACCCTTATCTTGCATCTGAGAAGCAAGAGAAGCGACTAAAAACACACACATTCTCTTGGAAAATAGTACTGACTACTTAAGGCAAAAAAATTACAGATTAAGCTATGGTAACCGCTCTAGTCGGTAAATGTTCAAATGTGGAGGTGTGAGAAAAGTGTGACAAATCACATTTGGGTATAAATCAGCAGGCTTTGGCATGGAATGACAAACGATGGTAAAATAAAACCAACGATCAATTTTCACCACCACCTTCTAGCCAGAGGTGTGTGGGTGGAGAAAAGTTGAAAGGAATCGGAAGAAAAGGGTAACGTGTCGAAGATATCAAGAAGAATATAATTATCCCTTCGCGTCCAATCAAAAACCGCCCACAGGTTAAATTGAAGATAATATTTTCTATCAAAACATGTGAGTTGCTAATTCGAGTATTTACTGCTGAGACGACAAAAGATTTTCATTTCCTCAGTCTGTCAGAAAATTTCGCCTAGGTATGAAGCTTCCTTCAAGTGCCAGAAAAGGCGCTTCTTACTGACCCAGGAAGTTTAAATCAACTGCCAACTGTCAAGTCATCTATTTTTTAGCCACCTAATAGTCGCACGAAGTTCGGTCAAATTTTGTGCTCAAAAAAGTTTGACAAATATGCCATCCAGTCGATAGGACCTGGATGTCATTCACGATGTGCAGTTCACTCTCCAACCTCCTGATTCAGCTGATTGTGCTTCAGCTGATGGTTGGGGTTAACCAGGTTCACGTGCGGGTAACTCGATTTCATTTTTATTTAAATAAAAATTTTATATAAGTAGTATGAGCTTTTTTAGCCAGTAGTATTTCACACCACCCTGCGTACATGTGCTATGGTTGAATTAAATTCCCATCGGCTTAAAAATGAAGACTAAAGGAGAGTGTAATGCGTGGGATTCCACCATGCGGCAAAATGACCTTCAGATAGTTTAAAATCACCAGAAAATATGTAACATACCATCCTTCTTTCAAGTGCCAAATTTTGAGTCCCTCCAAAGTCATGTCAGAGCCTTAAAACAGGACTCAAACAAATAGGAAGTATGATACCACAAACCCATACTATATCTAAGCCAATTGTTTTGAAAACCCCACTTTGGCTATTCGCTACCCCCTCATATAAATCAAAAAATCGTCTCGTTTAAAAATACTATAATCCGCTACAGCAACTGCTACGTCGTGACCTTGGTAATTATTTCATTACCGTTTCTGACACGTAATACGTGTCACTTGACATTCCATTGCCAAGCTCGAGTGGTGATGGCAAAAGATTTCAGCTTCCTCATGGATCGGCTGTATTGAGGTAGCGTCGTACCCAAACGTGCGTATAGGTTATTCCCCTCCTCGCAACTAAGGGTACATTTCTAAGCTTGGAGAGGAATTCTCCCATGGTCATGAATGTGAAAATCTGTGCTGGGTGGCAGAGTTTGTACTGTACCTCTATCACTTAAAATTACAGATAGTCACGTAAGAGAATTGGTCTGCTGCAAATCTTCATTTGTTACGCAAAGTAAATTCCTCTCCGCCCCCCCCCCCTTCCAACCGTCCAGAAACCGTTACATTTTAATGGCGCTTCCGCACTTATCTCAATTCAGGCAAAACATTTAATTGGATCACAGAGGCGTTTTGAGTTCCTAAAATTGCTTGTAACACCCAATTGACTAAATATCTATATGAAAAATTAAAAATGAAGCATTTTACTTATTCTACGAAATCAGGCAGATCGGTTTGAAGCGAAATGATCTCAAGCGAATGACAAAGCATTGCATATCGCCGAAACTTTGCATAACTGCTAGTATTTTAAAGTCAAAAAATGATTAAACAATAGAAAGGGAAGAGGGAATACAAACGAAAAGGAAACCAGCACTTACCCGGTCCTGGGTTGATGCTACCTCTTCGCTACATCCATTACTCCAAACTCGGAGCTCTGGATTGCTCAAATTTTCCTCGCAAACCTCGTATTCTGTTGGCATCACTAAATACTGCTCTGCTTCGTTGTAAAAACACAAACCCTGCGTAGCGCATTTATTTGTTTTCGCGTCAGCGAGGGGGTCAGTCACCCAGCCAATTAGTGACGTTCGCGACTGTTTCAGCCCTCCCTTTGGCCAATTGCTTGTGCGTGCATGTATGCGCGCAGATGTGATTGGTGAGGAATGAGTAAGTGAAGATTCGTCTAAATTTTTGACCCCCAATGAAAAGAAGCGCCAAAAACGAATCAAAATTATGAAATCCGGAAGTTAAACATGTAAAAATTACATTTTAGCTCGTTTAAAGTCGTTATAAGGTCCAAAATTAAATATTTTTCCGATCGGTGCTTATAAACAATTCAGTAAATTTGTATAGTGCATTCATGATAATAAATGGGCTTAAAAAGAGAATTACTGGCATTTTTAAAAGATATTTGATCGTTTTACCATCCTATTAGCGCCAGCAGTAGGAATTAACGCCAGTGAGGAGTAAAGACAGCAAGTGTGGTCTTATTAAAACTATATTTCACGTTTTGGACCTCTGTTTACATCACAAAATAGAATGAGTCAGCAAATGTGCCATTAACAGTTTTGAAACTCCTAAAATCTTAAGTAATCTAAATAGACCACTCTCATTGCGATGGCATCAATTCATTTTTTGCCTTAAAAATCTCGATCCCCCGGAAATGGATGTACAAATCTTGAAGCCACTAGGCATGCGAAGAAAGAAAGATAAGGAAAGGAGAATAGAGAGGTAGTTCATCCAGTGCAGTTATCAGCAAGACGTAAATATGGGCTAAACCAAGTTCGGTCATTAGATACCCACCCCCTTACCCGAAAGCCTTATCAGCTACTGCGATCGCTCAGTTGGGGATACAGAATCGTGGGTTAAGCTGTCACCCTGCCTATTTCCAGAAAAATTTAACCTACTTAATCAAAAGAACCAAGTCGTTATAAATTCTACTGAGGTAGTTATTAATAGCACTTTTCATTCTCTGTGATGCTCGGATCTAATCTGTTGCCAGATTTTTTGGCATTTGCCTCATCTTCACGCGGAGCCATATGTCACGACACCTAGCAACAATAAGTTATTTAAAAACTCTGGTAATGCACATCAAAACGGAGCACGATCGGATTTTTATGGTTGCAACAACGGACTTTTGCGAGTTTTTATTAGGATTGACGTGTCAGTTTCTAAATCTAGGTGGTTTTCAAGTCCCAGTTTAAAAGAGTTACTCAGACGAGGTCCTGGGTGTCTAAGAAAGACTCTCTCTCTCTGTCTGTAAAATTTTGGAGTAAAAAAATAAGGAATTTTATGATCTTGGTGTCCCCAGCTCTCGCAATTTGTGGCCCTTGAACGGGCCACTGCGTTTATAGTGCCAACGAGAGGAAACTGTCAACACTGTCACCTGGACTATGAGACTATCAACATCGTCTCCACCATTTGTCGATAAATACGGCAAATAGCTTGCACAATGCCTCAAATAAGTGGTGAAGAAATTGCTGATTCGCACGGAAAGCGTTGAACCGGTTGTTAGGCCGCATAGCGGATGGAATTACCGCCATGCATTTCACCGTTCTTTGAAATATCAGCCCGCTTCTTCTCTTTGTTTACAAAAAGCACCTTTTTGAGAGCTAAAATGGCGTATAAATGACTCATTATATCCTGTCACATGGTGACCGTCGCTTGGGCTCATCTAGCGGTCTAGTGACGTGCCGGCGATTAGTAATCCCGATGACATGATCGCGGTGATCATGGAATGACCAAAATTCCGAGACAAGTTAACCTCGTTATAAAACTCGAGTTTTACAGTTTTCAGTATAGTATAGCGTTACTCCGCACCACTATCGCATTAGTGACCAAATTTGGCTTTAAAAAGGAGGAAAAAGTAAGAAAAGTTAAAAATTTGGCATTTTCTGGAAATTAGGTGGTTTAGGCAAGAAAATTTATCACGTCAGAGGCTTCAAATTAGGCAAAAAGGTGTCAATTCCTGATAGGCTAAAAAATGACTGCTGGTGTGATGAAACTTGCTAAAATTTGCCGATTTTTCACCTCCAGTTCGAAGGTCGGCAAAATGCCGCCTCACAGGTACCCTAGGAGGCGATATTTTACCCGAAATCATATTTACTCAGCGTGACACTAAAATGGTTCTTTGGATCGTTTCCCTTAAAAATTTAACTTCAAAAAGCCTCTTGAAACGTCACCGCTACAGTCCGCCATTCTGTACCAGTAAGATGCAAGCCTGCTGAGAATTCTACTGAAGGGAAGCGACCATCGTTTTCAGCCATTGCTGGGGGTTCTTATAGCCTTAATGGAAGGGCCACTTTGTAAACCTACCTTCTTTTCAAAACAAGCATGAAAACTTGCGACCAGCCATGTCGGCGAGGTAGTCACCAATGTTGGATCCCCAGCGGATCCCGGGTGGGCATCCACATCAGCCTAAAGGTGGTCGAAAAAGCCTTGCACTTTTTCCTTGTTACCTCTTCACACATCAAGAGGCGCATGAATTGATGAGTGACTAAAAGAACCCGCGTTAACTAGTTTTGCGGGGTTGGCAAATCACTTCTTTACGCGCTCGATTTAGGGGAAAGATGACAACCACGAAAAGTTAAGCTCTTCAGAAATCGATAAAGAAATAAATATCCTTAGATTAAGGAAGCCCGGCAACGCCCTTGTCATTTAAAGCCTCATCTGTTGGCAACACATATGCTCACAGTTATCAAAAGCTGGTAAGGGATACACGTCACATATTTGTGACGGCTGATAGGGAACGTCTTGATGATGAGAAGTAAACGATCCCTCTTAACCAAGGTGACAAGGCTTCACTTATAAGAAGATGAGAGCAAATGAACCTGACTAATTGAGGAAAGATGGAAACCTTTTTCCCCTGATTTTAAAAGATGTGATCACAGGGGATAGCACTCTTTTATTTTCTACCTGAATACCTAGGGTAATCATCAGAGGATCCTCTTTCCCTTTTCCCTTGGCCCTGTCCCCCACCCGCACCCTCTACAACCCAGAGCGCATGTATGCGCATACCTGGAGCGGAGTAACAAGACTGCATTAATAATGCGAGATCACTTATTCACCTCTCCAACCTGATCCACCCCACTCAGAGATCCTTTTTTACTGCCTTCTCCCCTTCTCCTTTCTTCCGCTCATGTGATTCAATGAAGATTAATGACTGCAGTTAAGACAGCGGCGGTGTGCAATGTTACATTCGCCGTGATGGTGGTGGTGGTGGTGGTATACGCAGTTATCATTACCCTCTCCCCTCCCCTCTACTTTCCCTATCGCCGGCCTCCTTCCTCCCATACCTGCAATAATACAAGATGAGATGATAGGTCACAACTCACTTGGGCCTGTTGTGTTCCCCGTCCTTGACAGGCTACTTTACCTATGCTTGCCTGTTAGTTGGTGTGGGATAAGGATAAAAATGTGGCACTCAGCTATATTTGTCGCCTCGTGGCGAAAAAAGCAGGAGAGAGGGAGTGAAGGAGATTAGGTATTTTAACCATCCATTTACTAAATCCTCGATTAAGTGGAGAAGACTAGATCTCCCTTAGTTGAGGACTTCAAGTCTAGATAAGGAATTTTTCGGGATCGTACAGGTACTTCACTAGAAAAATATTTGATTGAGGTATTTCGGTCCCCCAAAAAATTTTTGGTTACACCGCCCTCCATGTCACTGATCGCTCTAATCTTTTGCTCTAGGATGATAAAGCTACCTTCCGACTTCTCGGAAAGTCTTCACGCTGTACAATGATGGCGGTTTCTCCACCATCATCTCCAGTCAGGAGACGCTGATGGGTTGAGGGAACTGCAGAGACGCATGATGCCGGAATGGCCCTGACTATCGAGGGAGATCACACCTGAACTTTTAGACAAAGCTAATCTCACCTCTTCCGAAATGCCTTAAGCGACATTTTGGCGATACCGAATGACAAGGCCTTCTTTGGTAATCCACTAGATGTTGACTTCTGCGAACTGGAACAAGACCATGGTTTTACGAATCGAAGTCACGATCCAAGGAAAGGACGCCTCTCACTATGACATCTCTCCGGAGGCTGTTGGCATTCGGTCCGTGTTATATGTCGGACATTGTCTAATCCTTGAAATTCACCTTTGAAGCAGTTCCCCCACAGGAGGCGCGTTATTCAGGTATTCTACGCTCCATGTACCATCACTGATGGAATGGGGTGCAAACTCATTATGCCATCTTCGTTTCTATTTCTCGGCAGATTACACTCCTCCAAGAGGGACAATCACAGGTAGCAGAGGAGGTGGCTTTACTCGTGCGCCTAACCACACAAAACTGGCTAATCATCCATTCTTAGGTTGTCACCTTGGTGTCCTGTGACCACCTTGGTCTCTCAGGCCTTCTGTACTTTGGTAAAATCTATAGGGACTCCTTGAAAACATTCAGAAGTGCCTTGAAGCGTAATTGCCGTATCAGTTAGCCTTCAAGGTCTTTTGCCACCTGTCACGGCTATACTGGGGTAAAGATTTCCATAAACTCGGTCATGGTCATGATCACTCATGAGACAGTCGCTTGACAACGGATAGATATGGTTCTCTTTCTCAGAGGTGTACTGGCGGTAAAGTCAGGTTTCCGTCTGTAAATCACCGACTTCTGCTTTAAAGCTCTTCGAGGCTTTGGGTGGTCGAACGCGTCAGCTATTGAAAGGACCAGAACCATTCCTGCCTTAGAGGCATGGTTACTATAGATGTACAGAAGGCCTGGAGGACAAGTGGAAGATCTCCAATGCTTGGAGGTTGAGTCACGAGAGATCTGAAAAGCCCTCCTAGAAAACCAACAACTTTCCGGTACCTAACTTCCCTCCTTTTTTAAGCTTTTTCCTCAGGAGCTTTCTGTGGTTGATCTTCTACCTTAATCATCAAAAATGACTTTTAGAGAATTGAATTTGAAGTCGATGTTGTTCTGTGACAGCAAGAAGACGCTTTTTCAAACCTCAAAGGCAGTGATCTCCCTCGCAGATTTCAGAGGGTCCTCCATTCACGCAATGTAGGCATCAGGTTTGGCTTAGTACCATACAGTGTCCCTCTGCCGGATCCTTCAATCTATTCGTCCCTGAATCTTCTTCCTCAACCTCTGTCGGACGAACCATCCGGAGGAATCTATCCGAAGGTTGAGCAGATTTCCCATGCTGATCGCATTGCAGGCCTAAAATCAAGCCTCTATTTCCTACTTCCTGGGCACCACATCACCTCAGTCCTTAAAGTCCCCAAATTTTGGCAAACACACACGTTCTCCAAAATTCCGCTGAAAAAGTCTGGGGTGGCGGCGGGGGCGGGGGCGGGGGATCTAGGCGGGAGGGAAGGCATAAGGGAGAGGAGAAGAGGGGGGGGTTGAAACATGCCCTGATTTTCCAGCCGGTTAGCCCTCTCTGTCTGTCTGGCTGGCCTGTGGGCTGTTTGACTGATGGTCAGAGGTGAGGGGAATAAGAGCGTCCACCCTCAATACACTGCAGGTGCGAAAATTCCACTCCACTAGCCGCGTCGCATCATAAAAACTACAGACGTGCCCGCGTCTGGAACTCCCATAACGGTCGCGGGACCTGGTAAAGTCACATGATGACGAACGCCCCGCACGCTTCCTCCTCATGAAATTCTAATTAAGCATTCACCGAACGGAATAAATGAACTGATTGGTGATATTCCGAGTTCTGAACTCTCTGACCTATCGAATTGCTCATCTTAGATCGGAGTCTCAAATATACGACCCCTGCGTGGTTTTGTGTGAAGTCGCCCGGACGCCATGGTATCAGGAAAGATGTTGGTCGACTTTAGCGGTAGGAGGACAATTTGATAACTCCACCCGTTTCACGTTTTTGTGCCCTATCGATGGCAAACGATGCGTCATGTCCGGATGAAAAATATCTGGTGGGGGACCGGAATAGTGGGTGGGGGGAGCGGTTGTTTGGGTGACCGCTCAGCCAATCTGGTAATGAATGCAATGAGGTCATAAACATTTTTAGCGCAAAATGGATGCCTTAGCTCGGAGCTTCACTTTTATCCTGTAGAGAGGTTTATCCGCCTGCTTAATGAGGGGTTGACGAGCGCTTTTCCGCCAACTTAGCGGATAGTAGATAGACGACGCTGTTCGTGATGCCTTAATCTTACCTCCAGTCCAAGCAGCCTAGGATTCAACTACCCTGGCGAGCGATTTAAATAGACCGGAATAGAAGGATGTCATTTCCCTCCTCAGTAAAAGCGGTTTAGATCAGGTTAAGTTAGATGATTAAAAACTTGGCAGACGGTGGAGACATACTACTGAATACCATCAAGAAGCGACCACTTCCCTCTATCGCAGTTGATTTCAGACCTTTCTCAAAGGTAGTTCAGCTTGTCTGTCGGCGTGACACTTCTCTAGCCAGGCTGCGTGAATTGTGCTGCGCCTTTGCATCGTCTTTTCGTGCCTTGAGCCGATGGCCGAGCTGACCTTGAAAAAACCAACCGCGGACGACTGCAAACGCCTCCATCTCTTGGCTAGTAGATGACCGGAAAGTCTCAGGTAGTTTTGGATTTGCCCATATCTTTGAAGAGAGATATACGTCACTCTACCTGCAATGTTGCTCATCATGGTGCTTTGTTCCACTTTTTCGCTCATTTTAACCCTCCTATCATGGACTATCTTTTAAATGGACCGGCCTCACGTAGTGCGAGCTTGTCCATCCCATGAATGGGGTTAAAAGCGTTCGCCGAGGGAGGAGAAGACTCGCATACAAGTAATTTTGCGATATGGTTACTCAACTCTGATGGTGGGTCACCCAAAGATGAATGCAGCGCATCCAAGTGGACCCCCTAAGCTTGATCTGGAATAACTCGTTTGCATCCACATTAGCTTAGTGAAAGCCGTTAATGCTTGTGGTAAGAGGTGGCTTTCATATTTCCACATTTGTTAGACGAATGGACTTCTCACTCCCCACCTCACTGTCAGAAAATGCCACTTATCCAATTCCCTCGCAATTTCTCACCATTGACTAAAAATGGCCGCTGGGATGTGGATGAAATTATTCTTCTACTTCGTAAACCACCACTGCTGGTAAATCAGTCGTCGTAAAGTCCCATCCTCACGAGGCAACGCAAGACCCCATATCTCATAAAGCACAACTGCTTCGTGAGAAATTTAGCATCGTTTAGGGTGGGAGAAAGGGAGGCGTCCTCTCATTTGTCTTCTCTCTTGGCAATATTTTTCTTCAAGGTCCAAGCTATTTTCGCATCGGCGTTACACCAACACACACACACACACCGAATAGACCAGCAGAATAGAGCGAATGTTTAGAAGTTGAAGATGCGAAAAAAGTGAAGGTGACTGGAGCTAGGCTTAATAAATGCGGTATTCGCAAATATGTTGTGTCTCGTTGGGGAGAGAGTAGCTTCTGCGTTGCAGCGACGACTGCGCCATGAGAATGCCGCTTATTTTAGTGTAGACTGGAATATTCCCATCAAAACAAAATACCACAAAGGGAAACAAAAGGTGAGTAGGTTGATCAGAGCGTATATTACAAGTACAAAAGTAAGAAGGAAGAATTACAATATCAAGAAAAAGGAGCGAGGAAAGCGACTTGCATCAAGCATATGGAGGGCTTACGAATTTTGATTCTTTCCTCCCTCTCCACCCTCTCACTCCCACTCTACTTTGGTCCCTTCCTCACAAAAAATCAAAGAACATACAGAGGTGGCACGGTGGGTCTAATGCATGTCCAGACTTTCGCTTTTTGTTACATTAAAAATAAATATGACTGCGATGATGAGTGTGAAAGATACTCGGCGAATCTGTGGTAGAGAGCGGTTGAAGATATCATCTATGATACCTAAAAAGGTAGTAAACAATTAAGATTAAATGCAACCCCATCAAATGGACAAACCCTGAACTTGGTTAAAACAACTACTGAATACATAATAGTAGGCGTAAAATTGTAGCAGCAAAGAATAGCGAACCTTGTGTACTGACGACTGTCCTCATGAACTTTCATTTCGTTTGACTTGTACAGATTCAACTCTTCCCGAATCGAAGCCTGAAAAGATCAGCCCAAAAAAAATAAACCAGACTCAAACCTTTTTAATTCGTCACCCAACATAATTATACTAGAGACGAATAAGAAAAGAAAACAGATTTTCTCGCTTGTACGCTTGCCTTTTCGGAGGGAGTGAGTTTGGCCCACGTCTTCTCCGACCGTCGATCGTAGTCGTCGGCTTCAAGTACCTCTAAACTGGTGTTGAAACGTGTTCGCGAACCAGCGCGCGTATGCACATAACCGTTTTCTTCACCCTAAAGTGCGAATTATTTCGTTGATTAAGTAGTTACTACCGAGTAAGCATTAGGAAAACATTTGAATTAGAGAAATGCCTCACTTTCTTGTCTTTGCGAGCGAAACTCTTGACGCTGACTGAAAAAGATAAAGAGAGGGGTATTATCTACAATTTCTTGGTTTCATCATCTAGAAGGCTAGTTAAATGGATGAATAGCTGAGCCACGTCATGCTCACCCTTTGCACCCGGTGAAACGAATCCATTTGTCCGATGCATGAGTCCACTGGATGACTGTCCAGACGCCGGGTGCGAGGAATGTCGTAGCACCTTCTCAATGCTCATCCCATTTACTGTACTGGGAGAAAGAGGCGACTGCTGCGGTGACGCTGGCTGCATCTCTAATACCGATCTCGACCGTGTCGGGTGCCCACGAGCATTCGCGGCACGACGGCGAGGAGGTGTGGGCGCATCGCAAAGCTCTATCCCGTTGAGGCCACCGGTATTGCTGCCAACCCCAATGCTGACGCCGTTGCTGTGATGGTGATGGTGGTGTGGATGATAAGGCTGTCCTGAGGTAGTGGGCTGGGAAGCAAAAGCGACAGTAGGCGATCATTGCTAACGTCAAATTGAGGCAGTGCCCTCATTCTCTTGCAAAGGCTGAGTACCAAAATGGCATCCATAAACTACGCATGGGTCTCCACAGGTCTATAAGGTACACCGCCATTCAGCCGCTACTATGATAACATTTTACGCTATTTACAGACCTGCATACCCTACAACATCATCGGGAGTAATGCAAATGGCAAATGTAAGCATCTACTTACCCGAGACTTCGAGCTGTTGCTCATGGGAGAGGTGGGGACGACCACGGCTCGCGATTTTCGGGATTCCTGTCGATGCGGGGAAGAGACGCTGGTAGGTGAGGTAGTGTTGTAGGACCCAGTGGTATGGAAGACCACGCCGTCGGGATAGACGTAACGCTTACAGTAGGCATTGCCACCATCTTGACCGTCATTTAGATGACGCTTTGCTAAATAAAAAGGAAAGGGAAGAGGAGGTGGAGGAGAAGGAGGCATTAGCCGTGTGATTGAAGTAGGGGCACTGTAGAACAAAATTTTGGCTGTCTTTCTGCCGGCAAATGTCATTCTGTTCATCCATCCATTTAGCAATTCACTCAGTAAGGCGTCTAGCCCCACCTTTGTTCCACTGTATGTCTCGCCTCTGTTCACTCACTTCTTTGTTTATAATATCTACCCACAATAGACCTATCATATCCATTGCTTATCCACCTGTCAGGTTAGGCAATAGCTCATACCTCCACTCATCGTTCATCACTACATCCACCCACGCCTCAACCCAGTTCACCTCTGAGTCTCATTGGACTGTGAGAGCACTCCGTTAACTCAGCGCCAAACGATGTGGCAATACCGACGCAATCGGAACGTCGAAAAAGCTCCTTTTACCATGGCTTTGTCAGCACGCTACTCGGTACTTTTCAAAAGTAAATAGGTGAAGAATGCCCGAGTGGAATTTAAATGTTGCATTAATCAGTGCTAATATCAAATGACTCCTTTCTTGGAGCTTTACATCAGAAATCCAGTAGAGGTAACGCCTTCCCCCACATGAAACACCTAATCTGGCTGGATGTGCAAACCACTAAACCATGCTCGGACATCATGGAAGTTCAAGTCATGCCCGAGGGACCGGTTCACAGGGAGAACCATCTCACCTGACGATGAAGTGATATAGGCCGGTTTGTTGGCAGGCGATGGCAGCGTCGAAGACTGAGGCGTCAGAGCTTCACCTAAACGCATCTCATGGTGTCTTCGGTGTTGCGGCTCATGGGAGGATTTCGTTGGGAGTGTGAGATCTTTTGGTCGAGGAATGGTGACACTGGAAGCAGTTGGTGTGTTTGCGTGCCGATCTTCCTCCTTCGTTGACATACCGATTATCGTTGGCTGAAATGAGTACAAGGGGAAGAAGACAAAAAAATTTGAATTGGCTAAAGCAGAACAAGACTTGGCAACTAAAGATCGTAGGCAGCAGTGGTGGCGCATAAGCGATCCCTTCCGTAGGGCTCAAAAGCACCCCATTCATTGAGGTCTACATTTTTACCTGCTTGGGTAGAGCCTCCGCTGGTGTCCTCGGTACAATGTATCGATTTGCAGTATTCGAAGAAGGCGAAGATTCTGGAGAAACAACAGCTCGGTGGAATTCGGCTGATACCTTATTTGGCGAGACAAGATCCAGCCGTACAATTGAAGTAAATTTTGTCGGTCTTTTCATTGTCACCGTCGAATTCTCCTTCGCCTGAACTGTCTCTTTCTGCACCTCCTCACCCTTCCTATGCTTCGACGAAGCCCTCGGTTTCAGTGGTGAGATGACATGTGGACGTGACTTGATCTCGGGCATTTCGTTATCTCCCACCGACGCTGCCACCACGGGGTGAGTCGTCAAGATCTTCATCGGCGAGTTTTGGAGAGGTGATAGAGGGTAAGGATCCAGAGCGTTGAATTTGATGCTGGTCAGCACCTTCCATACTTCTGGAATGATGTCGTGACATTTTTCGGAGGTGAGTTGACGATGAGCTTTGTTTTTCCTTGGGCTTGGATTTTGATGCCTCAATACCTGTCTTTACATCTTTAGGAGTCTTAGGGGGCTGTTTGCTTTGGTCCGACGACTTAGATTCTTGACTGCATAAAAAATAACCACTTTTCAAAATGCTTCTAAAATGGAAAAATAAATGCGCTCATTTTTCACTCACCTCTTTGTGACCGTCTTCACGGGAATCGCATCATCGATAGTCACGCCGCTCTCCTCCGCACCGATATCAGTGAAGGGATCTCGTTCTCCAAGGGATTTGCGACTCTTTACAGCTGCCACATGCCTGGATTCCTCACTTTCACTGCTGGTACTACTACTACTACTGGTACTGCTGCTAGTGCTACTGCTGATGCTACCACTGCTACTATTACTGCTGCTACTACTGCTATCATCATCCTCTTCCTCCTCATCAAAGGACAGCGAGAGGGAGATAGAGGTATCTGAATCATCTTCTTCTGGTTTGTCTTCTTCTACCTTCACTTCCGCTTTTTCGTCTCCACCACCACTGCTACTTTTAACTTCCGAGTCGGAATTGGATTGCGCTCTGCCTTTGGGAGCGTATTCGGAGAGCTCGACGGAGCTGTCTCGACGTTCTAGGTTCAACAGTGGTTTGTCAGAGGAGTCATAGCTTGTAACAAGGGTAGCAGCAACGGTAGTGATGGTGATGGTGGTGATGGTCTCGGCCGTCCGCATGTCGGAGATGTTGCTACCTGAAAAAGAAAATTAGCACAAGCTATAACCCTCCCTGTGGATAATCTAGTGAGGGAGACCAGGAGTGTGTACCCGTTTTGGGTAACTGGCAGCCCAAGTAGCTTATTTATCAAAATATTCATCAACACGCCTAACCATTCATTCACTCATCCATCCGCCTATCTCACCCATCCCACCGAAATAATTATCCCACAATTTACCACCTTTAACTCAGAAGTGGCTATTAGGAGGGTAAATGACGTCTGCCACGCGACAGATATCTCATTTTCCGTGGTGAAATTATTCACCAAAAGCAAATTTTCATCTCCATTGAGAAGAGCTTTTCCTTGCCCTAAAGAAATTATCCGAGATATTCCAGTACCATAATGGAATACGCCGTCATTTGAAGGTACGATGCAACCCTAGGCCTCTACCCGACCCCGTTAGTCAAGACTTCCATAAGGGCTGTTCAAAAACGATCCAGTGAGTAGAGAAAAGACAAGTGACATGAAGAAGGTTGGTAGAAATCGCATAAAATCAACGCCTCCCCTTATGCAGGATGCCAAATTGGCACAAGAGTTGCTCGCGACCTCATCACAGCGCTGGAGAAGTGTGCACAGGTCAAGGATGATATCACCGGAACGCACAAGTAAAAACCCACAGCGGTAAAGTGATGAATAATTGACGACCTAAAGATGGCGACAAGGAGGCACTCTTATTGGGGGATGTGTTTTAGATTTTACGACTTTCACTTTGAAAGTGTAATGGATGGATGTCAGACTTCTTTCGTCTCAATCGGTAAACAGGAACCAGGGCACATTCCAGCTTCTCTCAATGATGAAGTTTCCGTCTCTTCCACAAGGCAGCACACTGTTCTTCAACCTCTGTGAGATTAGACTAATCTTAATCCAATGGTCCACCTTCAACTCGTGGCACAATAAGTAGCAATAATCCACTTTTGTAGTGATTGTAAATGCGAGTGTGGATGTGTGTGAATGCGAATGCTACCTTGAGCAGTAAAGGGAGTGCGACATCTTAAGTGACTAGCGCATGCGGAAGCCATAGAGTAAAGCAATGCCTCTCATTGGAGGGAGACTGACGCACTACATTGGAAAGCAAAACCATGGACTGACCAAATGCTTCAAGGCGGAGCCTTAGTTTTTCGAGTGAGCCAAAAATTCGGGTCAAAACCATCAATTCCCGTGTCACGTACCTCCAGATAAGCACACTCCACAAGTTTTCCACCGCTTGGTTCACTGGACGCAAATGTTGTGTGTATCAGTATTTTATTCAGTCCATCTGCGTCGCATATTACTTGTAGTCAAGACCGCTGAAAAAATCCTCTTTTATCGTGAGATATCCTTTTTTCGATAGCATTCTGCACAAGTAGTTCGGCTGAATTTTCGAGGTCCTTCACCTAGCTGGTCATACAATGCTGGGTTCAGCTGATGGCATACTGAATCCTGACCTTACTAACCTATCAAATGGCTCGTCGATGGACATGTCAATACTGCAATCTTATCAATGTTTAGTGAGATATCTAAACAGGGACTCACCCGTCTCCGAGACCTCATCTTCCGCCTTTTTTGAGTCCATTCGTCGCAATCGAGGAGGTGGAGTCGGTGGTGATGTATCCATTGTCAACCCAGTGGATTCCTCAGTCACAGTCTTCTCGCCATTGTCCAATTGGACCGTCGGATTAGCTGTTGGCGACTCCGCGGGTGATGTGAAAGAAAACGGGGGTGTTGTTGAAGAAACCGACCATGAAGACGTCGTGCTCATTGTAGTGCTGGAAGACGACGAGGAACTCGATGAGGAGGAGGATGAGAAGGGAGAAGGGAAGGTGGTGGACGAGGTGGCGGAGAGGATAGATGATGTGGTTGATGAGACTGAAGGGGATCCACTAGCCTTTTCTTTCGGCGCGTAATCGTCTGCATCGATACCTTGATCAGTTTCACTGTCTACTTTCGTTGCTGGAAAAAAAATCAAAAATTGGCAAGAACCTGATGTTCTACGAATTTCCATTCCTTGGATTAATACTTCATTTTCTATTAGAACATAAATGCTTCTGGGCAAATGTTCTCATGCGAATCTATCGAAATTTCTATTTTTGAAAATTGAGCAGTATTGACCAATATTTCGGAGAGCAGGGGCTGAGGCATGTAGAAATCTCATTGTCAGCCACGAGATGCATCTTCACTAGCAAAATAAGGAGCCCTCCCCTTTTGTTAAGTCTTATCATTTCAATTTAATCCCTCACTTGTAGTTGAATTCAACTCATTCTGAAGGCATTGTAGTCACTGCGAGAAGGCGCACATATTTTTAATGCCTCATAATTCAACCTTCGTCTTCAATATATGCTACAAACATTCCAACTGTTCTCTGTGCTCATAAAACCACTTACAGATTTGAATGCCTTGCAAATTCGTCTTGATAGTGAAATGCCGTCATTGCACTTACCTCACAAATTAAACCAGGAGAGACACCAAACACCGTACCATGCTCCTTTTTCAGTCTGTGTTTATAGAGCTTAGCAAGTTATAGATGCTCACTATTTCTTTATTAAGTGAAGCATTGCAATAGAGGTTAGGTTTGATGTAAAGAAAATACTAGGAATCACCCATGACCTTCAGTGACAGTTTCCTTCAAAAGCGAGATGGATGTGGATCTCAAACATTCTATTCATGAAAAAGAAGAAGACAAACAGTCTAGAGAGACGTTGCGCAAAAGATGGAAGCCGGGACACCAACCCATGACCTTGAAATTTGAAGTTGTTACATTTGCATGTGGACATAGTGAACGGATAAGCAAAACAGATCAGAAAATTTCCTTGACGAGTTGAAGTTAAAGGTAAACAGGAATAGAATGAGCTGAAGAGAGAGAACTGCTTGGTGGATGAATAAAAACCTGTCCCGATGCACAACCAACTCAAACAAATCTTTTGCTCACCCTCTGATAATGGAGATTAAAGCTTTGTGTAAAAGGTGAACATCGAATTAAGAAAGCAATCAAAAGTAGCTGCACAACTATGTAAGCGTTCCTGCATTGCCTTGAGTTAGAGTGGTGGTTAATGATGGCAAGATCTGATTAAAGATTCCTCGATTTGATAAAAGTTAGTGTGCAAAGTAAATTGATTTCTGAATTTAAAATTTGGAGCACTTTACTTAACACGTATTACAGAGTGTTAGACGATGACCTAGGTGGAATTCTAATTCGACTATTTAGTGCTTCCGGGATCAGCATGAAGGTTAAATGAACTCGCGAGGATTTTGAAGTTGAAATTTTAAATGTCAATTTGTCACTTTCATGAGTTTTCAATTAATTTTGTAGCTGATCAAACGTGCTTTATGATGATAATAAATTTTTTCAGAACGAGAACTGTGGTCTCATCTAGACTGTTTCTGATTTTTAATAAAAAATGAATTCGATGATTATGAAACCGGCTTTGTCCATTCATACACGAAAGAGTTCATTCAACACTTATCACAATTTGAGATAATGGTGAGCAGATTGTCGGCATTTGTTGGTGTAAATGTTTTGGACCCCCATCAAAAAGTAGGTCAAGGATGTGATGAAATAAGCCAAAATTTGCGTCTGGTAACTAACCTTGAACAAATTTGGTTATTAATTGAGGTTTAACACCTAAGAAAGGAGCCAACAGGAAACGCTCAGCTCCGTCCCTCAAAAGGAAATAAAACGAGGCTTTTCAACAGCATACAAGACAAACGTACTCTCTGTAGAATCGTCAGTCTTGGTAATGATGCGAATTTCTAAAATGATACAAAGGGAGAAGGTGAACTGCATGAAGTCGGTTCTTCTGGTCATTATCTTCTCTCATAAACGTAGGCATAGTAACCGGGGCTATAGAGAAATATTGGTGTAAGTTGCAATTTTATTTGTCTGATTAAACTTCTAGAATCTTACCGATTGCTTAAAAAAATAAGGCCTTCTTTATTGTCTATCTTCATTTCGATGCTGATAATCGACACATTTATCACCTAGTGTCACATATGTGCGACATGCTAATTTTCTTACCTACTCTTGTGTTGGCGACCATGTTTTTATCGCGGCTGTGTGCATATTGCGTGCTATGCCCAAATTACTCCAATTTTACACCCTTGAAATGATGAACCATGTCTTTATCAGTGGATTGGCCAACACACTACGGAGCCACGAGTGATCACCACAACCTGGTGAATTCAATCAAAAATGCACCTTCCTGACAGAAATGTACATAGTACTGATGACATCATGTGCAGCGATGTTTAATAGGTCCAAAAGTCGGTTTAGCTGGTAGAAATAAACAAATTTGGCAATTATATAGGGGATGAAAAACTAAGATAGATGAAGAAACAAGGCTGGTGATACTATCTGGGCTCCATTAAATTGTAAAAAAGTCCCAACTAATGTAAAGATAACTGGAAAGATGAAGTGGTGGGATTCCTTAGGTGCTAAAAAACTTACCTTCACTTGCACAAAAAATTGGAGTGACTGTGGTAGCCACAACTGGGGCTCCAAATGCAATAGGCGTAGTCGTCTGACGGGAGTGGCATGAATAATACTGTCATGGATACTATGACCTGTCTTTAAGTCAGCAAAGCCGTCTAGTGATTGCATAAAAAATTGTGACTTTTGGTTTGTAATATGTGAATATGAGTAAGTCGACGAGCCTCCCTCAGTCGGCTTAAACCTGGACTCCTATCAATTTTTCGTTAAATGCCAAAAACTATGAGAAGATATTCTTACTGCGAAAACTTAAAGCCTTAAAGAACTTTTCGAGCTAGTGTGAAGTGCTATCGCTAACTTTGACAATTTCATAATATTTGGAATCCAATGCTGATCATTGTGAGTATTTTAAGGTGACTACATAGATTAGTAATTATGTGCCCATTGGTGCCACTTAGGAAATCAAATCAGAAAATCTAGAAACAGAGTCTAGAAGTGTTTTAATCCACCACATACTTTGTTGATGTCGTTGACCTGCGTGAAGCTACGAGTATGCTCCCAAGAGAAGACCATTAAAAAATAGGATGTAGTAATAGAAAAAAATAAACGGCTCATAGTCCAGCAACTTAACAAAATTGTCAAGTTTTTATCATACAGTAAGGCGTTTGTGTTATTTACGAATGGAGGTGTTGGGTAAGTGGACTCTGTCAACAGTAGCTAGGTCCTTTCTACCATTTCCTTGCCCCGTTAGTAAAGAACCCTCTTCAATACCATAAAACAACTCAAAAATGTTGTTGCTGTGGATCGTTTCTTTAAATATTTAACACGCATCTGCACTACCCTTATTTTGGTACATCTAACAAAGAAATTTCCTTCTATTTTTCAAATGTATTAGCACCTTAGAAAGCAAAAGTTGGGTCAAAATATGGGTTATATATGTTTAAGCATAAATTATGAGTTAAAAAGAGAGACTTGTAGCTACTTTGGATGAAAGAATGCTTTTATCAGTACAGGTTAGTTCGCCACAGAAAGGGAAATGAACAGCCGTTTTAGCGAAGGCAGGAATAGTAAACCAAACATGCATCATAATGTACGTGATGACTTTCTTCAATACAATTTTGATCGGGTGCAGTAACAAACTGGATAGATATAATTTTTCCGTGAGAGGCCATTGTCAGCAATTAATTATTGAGGGCAGTCTGAGTGAAGCTAAATAAAGTATGCGTGTGTACTTGTAGATTGCCACCGGGGTAGAAATAGCACACAATAAAAGATAGATTGGGTAAATGGATAGAATGAGTATTGAAACACGCACCAGCTCTTGTGTTGATCTGGCGATACTTGTAATGAAGATCAGTAAGTTTGACTCAATCCTTTGACCTCTCGTAGTTACTCGGTCAACCAATCGTTTTGCTATTCCTAGTGGAGAGTTAACCTCCCACCAATGGAAGGCATTGCTTTACTCTGTGGCTCCTGCACGCGTTAGTCACTCAAGATATCATTGCCTTTATGGCTCAAGGTCGTGTTTGCATTCACGCCCGCACTTGCATTCACAACCACCACAATAGTGGATTGTTACTACTTATTGTGCAACAAATTGGAAGTGGACCATTAGACCGAGCACATTCTAATCTCAGAGATTGGAGAACAGTGTGCTATCTTGTGGAAGAGGCGGGGACTCCATGATTGAGATGCAGATGGGAGAAGCGGAGTGGGGCAGAACGTGTAAAATCTGCTCTACTTTCTCCTTCGATTCACAGATATGTGTTTCGGAGTGTATGTGAATGATGACAAGTGCTTTGTTGGAGGTGTAGATGTCTGTTGGGTTTCCTTTACACAAGCTGGCACTACAATGGCATCTACTACCTGCTGGAAGAATCAGCCAGATGTCTTTCACCTCATCTTATTGACCCACTGGATTTACTGGTCACCTGGGTAACCACTGATCATGTTTACCCTCTCCCCCACAACAATAAACTAAACAAAGTTCAGCATTCTGCTGAATGTCGCAATTAGTCGTATTGTTTGGTGTTCACTCTGCTGAGGTATTGACAACAGGAGTAGTTAGCGGAGGTGAGGGGGTGGGTGGAAGTGGAATCGACTAAGGCTAGAAGGATCGCCTGGAAGCAAATCCCCCTTGAAATATACATCTCGAGTTTCCTACTTCCTGCTTTCCAATTAAGGCGAAATAATTCTGACATCCATTCTAACCCCACCATCTCTCTCAAATTCGGCTTTGTACTGCTTTTATGAAAAGTCCTACTGGAAAAGCGACCTCAAATTACAACGTGAATATACTTTTTGGTCTATTCCTGTTTACTTACCCTCATCAGCAACACATTCTTGTGGTTTCTGCGATTCCACAAGCTGCTCGGTGGGAGAGTAGGTCTCATTGTTCCTGTCATCTTCAGCTCCAGTGAGATCAATCTTGCTATTCCTGCCTTCCGGAAGCAAGTTATTCGAAGATTCTAGAGGCTTCCTCGAGTCTGATTCCAATACTTCTGTGCTCAAAGTGGACTGCTGGGAGGATGTGCCCTTATTCACTAAAATCGACAAATATGCAAGATCTCAAGGTATTGAATGAAGCCTCATTCTGTGTTTTTATGCATTAAAAATAGATATTTATGCCCTTAAATTATGCCTCGTTTACAGGGGCAATATGGCATCGAAAACCTACTTTGACTGCTCCTATCTAGTGAGGCTGCTTGAGCTTTGTGCTTATCATTCTAATTGACATTTTTTCCAAGCAAATCGTGTTACTCTCCTGGATTTACAAATCCGAAGCAATAATAAAGGTGAATAGACAGGCAGAGGTTTTGATTGATGTATAGAGGTCAAGAATGAGTTGGGTAAACTAGGCTCCGACGGGTGATTACAAGTGAGTCAGCCACGTGCTACAGGTAGAGTTGATACAAGCTGAAGCCGAGGGGAGAGAAGGTCATGAGATGAAGTGAAAGCCAGCTACACTGGAAAGGCGTGGTGGGAAAACTCACCTCGCACTTGAGCAACAAACGGATAAAGCAAATTTGACAACTTTATGTGTGACTTACAGATGGGGGAGAAGTGACTCCTGGCAGTCCATGGCATACCAGTAGAGCATTTAAAATGTGAAGTAGGACATCATGGCAATCTGTGTGTATCTCTCCCTCTCACCTTTCCCCTATGGGCATAGAATAGGGTCACGTGATCAACCGTTTACACACCAGATCAACAGACCCCATCATTTGCTCCCACCATTTGTGAAATCAACAGTTCACTACTTGTGGTGTTGCTGAATCACACGCTCATCGATTGACAAGCGGAACGTATTTGAAGAACTATGGCACTTTGCCATTTGCCGTGGGGCGCTGGAGGCCGTTTTATGTGTCTTGCAGCGCGTAATCAACTAAGTGAAAAGAAACTTTACATTTTGCAATCATCTGTCTTTGAAATTTTGATCTGTTTTCGTCATCAAAACCACTCCTTGCATCCTCGGCATCGCAAGGCATAACTCCATATAAGTACGCTTACATATTGTTATCTTAGTGCTCGAATGGAGGTTTGCGTTTTTCACAAAGGTGAAGAACTAGGGGAAAAAGAGGAAGCAAGTATAGGAGGAGTGAGTTACCGATTATGGAATTGAGTTTCCTGTGGAAGTTTAAGAACATGCTTGGTGTGTCGAGAAATAGAAGAAGCCCACACACTTCCTCAGGGTCGAATTCCTTAAAAACAAATTTTTAATTTTACAGTGATTTTTCCATTAACTTTTAAGATGAAGAAAAAAAACGCTTGTTGTGATAGTATGCAAAAAGTAACCTCTAGTCCCGCTATCAAAGAAAGTAATCTTTTATTTTCTCAGATAGAGGAGTCAAATGGACGCACAAAGGGGCCGAATCGCAAGACCAAGAGATTGGGAAAAATCCCAAAAACGGGGACAAATATTGCCACACAAGCAGCCTTAAAAAAATAGGACGGTCCCAGTGCAATGGACGACAAAGCATCATTAAAACGAATGGAAGGATGGAGCGTTGTTTTGTAATCAGGTAAAAAGAAAAAAAATTATTTGGCACTTAAAAAGGATTTCGGACTTTAACAAGAGACATTCGCCCTTTTGTTTTGTAAAGTGCCTCCGCCTCTCATTGCAACTTCATTGGATGAAGTAGGTTGATAAAACATGCTTGATAGGCTCATTTAATTTAACCACATCGCCATGACCATAAAGCTGCGGAAACGCTAAACTCGGTTTCGCGTTCCATAATTTTCATTGTCTTTTCATTCTAATTAGAAAATAAATTTTAACATCATTTGGGACTGTTTTTACGAGAAAATTCTTACCTCATTTTGTTTTAACAAATTAAGCTATTTTTAAGAGTCAAGTTTTGTTAGAGTTTTAATGAAAAGGAAGAAAAAAGAAGCACAATGATAGATTTTCACTAGAATATTTCGCGAAAGTTCCGGTTAAATTCGGGGCCAACAAAATAAGCTAGGTTTAACTATGCTTCTATAAAAGTTCAACAAAGTTGTTCATCAGGTAGTGGTAATTGTTACAACAATTTTTGCTCAAAATCCGCCTGTTAGTTCTTCAAATCCCACGATTGTAACCTAGTGAACAGGAAAGTAAAGGCGGAAAGAGCCTCAGACATTTAACTTAAAAATTCTCATTGCTCTCTGATCACAGCAACAAAACTGTAAACCATTAGCTAAAGATATTTTTTACTTCAAGAAAAGAGTTTCTGCTGGGCTACAAATATTCCTGAAAATAGGAAAACTGAGGTGATTGCAAAGGAGTCCCACAAATTGGTGTCAAACATAATTTAGAGACTAATAAATAACTAAAACCCCGCCTACACTTCAAACGAAAAGCTAGAGCAGGCTGCAAAAAGAAGGGAACAATAAAAGTCCTTATTTGCGACACAGGATAACCACACATTCTATCTTCCACGAAGAGCCTACCCCTGAGAGGAACACGGTGAAGCGCATGCCTTAAGGAAGGTGATCTAACAACCATCATTCCCATTCATCTCATAAGGGCGGCAAGCAGACTCCTCCAGTGTCACAAGCATTAATTCTCCGAAAAAGAGAGAACATGCCTTAGTGCGTGTGCACATGCCTATGCCGTCAGGTAGAGGCGTCAACGAATACGCAGTGACATGTGACGTGAAACTTCACTTTTCCCAGAAACGCGTAGAAAATGACGAAGTTGGAGCTGCACCTTTGTTACGGAGGGAAGGCAGGTGGATATTGGGCAGGTGCCAACGAATTATCACAGCCTGAGCTTAAATTCCAGCCAAAAGCCGCAATTTTCTCAGAACCCACTCCTCTCCTCGTACGTCATTGCATCGTCCTCCCTATTATATTTCAGTTTAATTCAGTAGGCGTTTTCCATGATCTCGTGATCCGCTTTTACTTTTCACAGACAGGTGGGGATAAAATTTCTGATGACTTAGAATAAATTTATCGTTGATGGGCAACTCTAAAGTGAAACTAGGTGATAATCAGCATCTATCCCAGTCGTCGAACCTTCTGTTTTGACTTAATTTTCCATTCGCAATGAGGTCAACTTGTGAAAATGGGTTTTGTTTTTGTTTAAAGAGGTTGAGTATAACGTGTCCCCAATGTAGACTTAAAGACAGCCACTTATTGCAGACTGAGCGAGGAAAAAGGCACTGAGGAGGAGAGTGACCTTGTTTATCTCTTTTTATGAAGAAATCATGTCAGACAATCGCGAACCAACTTTCAAACCAGATGTTTTGTCAAATACACTCCTCCCGACGCAGCTTTCAGCCAAAATGTAAAAGCAGGCTTTAGTAGAGGAATACTTTGTCTAACTGCGTACCTAACTGCGTGGGCGCTTTAGGATCTACAGGTTTATCGTAATAATTGGCTCTTGACTCTGCTGAACACTAGTAGTGTATCGTTCCACCATACTACCTTGGGATAATTGCAACTTCAGTGTGGGCTGGGGGGTACGGGCTGTTCACGGATTCGCTCTAATTTATGCTTCTAAAGTGGAGCGATGCAAAATGGTTTCCTTCGACCGCGAAAACGTTGTGCGCCTCGGAAGTTGGACGCCATGTGCTAAATTAAACTGCAGATTTGGGGTCACAGGGTAAAAGGCCTTACAAATGTCCGGACATATTACCGTGTTCTGCTTTTTGTATGCGGTGTAACAATGCTTTGACATGCGTTCTCAAAGACCTGACACAGGTGACACAACGAAAATGCTGAACTCAAAAACTGTTTTGTTTCGAGAAACAGTTAAATCAAAAATACGGTGGACGTTCATTCAACGTTTACGATGAATCTTACCGCGTCCTCAACTTCGAGCAGGCACAAAGTTATCGAATAATGAAATTGAATAAGAAAAAAAATGACCAAAAAGAGGCCTATAAATCATATTCATCCTGTATTTTATTATACTCTTCAAACAAATTCACCCCACATGAGGTTCCGAAATACGGAAGCAATCAGCGTTAAAACCGCAACAATTATAAAAAATCTGGGAGATGGACCTAAAGAACCACATTTTAGGGGCTTATTTACAAAGATCAGTTGTTCTAAAGTGTTGAACACATTTGATATAAGAGTAAAAGTTTAGTGATTTTCTCGGCCAATGGGAGAATCGAGAAACATATTTTAAATAAATACACTAATAGGGCAGGGTTGTAAAAACAAAATAACACTGACGACAACTTAGAAGTGCCATGAACGTAAATCTTAGATCGGAAGCAGCCATGAGATAGGGAGAGGGGGGATCAGCGAAAAGACCTTGACAAACTAGAGGGAATTTGAAGTTACTTGCACACCTCAAGGTGCTTCAACTATTAAGTGTCCGGATGCAAAAAAGGAAATAGGCAAAACAACATTCAGCTAAGTGAAACAGAATGCGAGAATAAAGAGGAAGAGAAAAGGGCCCACAGATCTACAACTTCGGTCACATCTGCTCTCAGACGGTAGCTCCCTTTTTTGGGCAGCTCGAGGGAGACAGAAGGAGCGGAAACAGAAAGAAATCTGCAAAAACATTCACTGCACCGTGCACACTGCTTATCTGGAGCAATCACTCAAAATAGGGTCTAGAGAGGGCCAAACCTGCCAGTAATCTGTCTGTTTCACTTCACAGAGACATTAACCGCTTAAGAGGCGGTGACAAGTACAAAAATCCACTTACATTTGAATCGTTCACGCAATCGTTGTTGAAAACGCAGCATTACAGTGCGACGAGGGTGAAATGGGGGAGCGAAGAGAGGAAATGAATGGATAGATCCAGACAGGCTATCGGACGGTCGGACGGATAGAGAGGCGGACGAAGGTGGCTTAGATCAATCAAAAGAAGGACCCAGTGGAAATTTAAGCGAGTACAGTGGAAGAGAGTGTGTGAGTGAGTGAATACAATGGTGTTTCTTTCTTCGGATGCTCTGCTTTTATGTGCGCGTCGGTGTGCGTGCATTGCGATTGGCTCGATCATGGCAACACCGCTACCGCAATAATCGATTGTTGAGATAGTGAAGGAAGGAAAAGAAGTGAATATACTAGGCAGCATGGAGGCTTCATTCAATTAACCATCGCCTTTCATCTCTAGACCAGTTGTTGGAAGGATCATGCTTTCCATAGTCAATTAAAAACCCCTGCACACATGACAACCAAATAAGCTCTATTTGAAGAGCAATTAGGGCCCAGACAAGTATTAGAGAAATACCGTCCCAAAATTCACCACAAATGGGCTGCAAGGCGTAGGCAAGCATACGAAAGCACTGAAGGATGGATCACGTGTTATTGCGCATAATTTCAGCGAAAATAAGGAAGGAAGGAATAAAAGAAGAAGGATTTTTAGGCGATTAAATGCCAGTTGCTGCATCAAATGATGGAAGAAGAGGGCCAGACGGCAGTTTGCTTATACTAGTGATTTATGTTTTATTTCCTAATTTATTTCTTCGTTGGCTTTTTAGCCACCATGACGACGAATACAGTGATTTGTGGTGCTTGCACTCCCCTAGCAGGAGTTATGATGCCATGCACTGGAGATCCACTCCACTTTAGTCGCAAATTTAGAGTTTAAAAAAGAGGAAGAAAATAACTTTTTTAGAAAGCGAAGAGTTGACTTTTTTGCTGACCTGGTCGGCTGCGATATGCACTTGAAAAGCTTTGGCATGATAAATTCCATCATGACAGCTGGACTGATCATGTCAGCCTGTTTGTGGGGTGCGCTGACCCATTCCACCTCTCCTGATGTCCGTCTCCACAACTTCACTACTATTGGCATGCCCATCAGATGCTCTACACGATGCTTCTTCACAGGAGTGATACGGTTGCCACCACAGACGGCATCGCCACTTACTTGCAGATGTCCCGTCGCTTTGCCAACAAACACACCTCACCATAAAACAGACAATAAATGTCAAACAAACTGTTAAACGATCTAAGTGGATTTGCGATGCATTCTCTGACTACTGACATGACGTTTCATTTATCACCACGCGCTGTTGCATGCACTAGCTGCCAGCATTGTCTCTCGCCTTAATCAACCGTGACTGAAGTGGTCCATGAAACGAGAGGAGGGCTTTTTCACTACGACATGCATGTCACCTGATGCAGCGTGTAGTACCAACTATTCCACCTTGATATACAACTACATCCAAAAGTTCCGCCTTGGCTTGAATGCTACTTGCGAGCTAGATGGAATTGCTTCTCCCGCACTTTCGTGAATCAGTTTCAGGTCTATGTCCTCATGACCTGTGATTGCTGATGCGACTGGCCAGATATCTGAGGGGATCTATCTCTACTCACCACACTGGCATGACTCCTCCACGACCTTCCGCCTAACTTCGAGGCAGCTTCACACCCAATGGCAGAAAATCCTTTCCCTACAACAATAAAAATAAATTGTGTTGCTGGCACAGACAGCTTTAGCCTATAAAGCAGTCCACTTCAGGAAGCAATAACATTTGAACCCTAATAGACCACAAAAGAGCCTGTTTTTACCAGACATAAGGAGTAGTGTGACACATTTAGACACAGTGTTTACTTCGAGGAAAGACAGAGAAGTTGGGATACTCAAAAGTGGAGAAGCAGATTATAGAAGCCCATCGGTGAATTCCTCTACCGAGTCCAAGGGACGTCTTGAAATAACGCCTCCTCATAAAATCAACTTTGCGTTTTATAAAAATTCCCTTTACTGACGCTGGGAGGGAGAATACAGAAATATGACGGACGAGACACCAGGGGCAATGCTCCAAATACTGTCAGACCTGGTGTCAGACTTTGGTGCTCCAGGCCCTCTGTAGTTCGACCAAATCTGTTATTCATTTATGCCTGCATTTTCTTGCATCCACCCAGGTTGTGCATGATTCATACGGCAAATGTTGACAAAGGTTACTTCTTAAATGCGGGTTCCACCGTGACACCACGACCTGATAGTGTAGACAATATAAATTGGTAGCATTACTGCAGGTTTGGCACACTTTATTGATGCCACGTGAAAAAAAAGCCGAACTGAGACGGAAGTTAATGTATAGGAATCCTTTATATTGCTAAATTTAGCTGAATACTTCACGAAACGGGGGTGAAGGTCACACTTGATCGCCTCACTACCCAATGTGCTTAAACGAACGGAGGCACGCGGAGCATACACTTAACATACATCAAATGGTTTTCATCGCATGAAGTGCCTTTAAGTGAATATTCTAGGCATCATCTTCAGCATTAATTAGGTGGAGCATTATTTAGCGAGTCGAAAAAGATGAAGGAATAAATGACAATAAGGCGAAAGTGTCAAACCCTACTCAATAACACCGTGTCTACTCATTACACCCAAAAGTAGTATGTAATTTGGCGAATCAGGAAATTTGCCAAATCTTCAAATTAGCAAGCTATTTTGCGTGACATGCAGTATATTTGGTGTAGGTACCACTGTTTCTATCGTACAAAAGTCTTGCTAGCCGTCTAGCCCAAAACAGACTTGTCAAGGCCAGATAAGGCTTGCAGAAACCCCAATGTTTCAGCGAATCACCGATTTTGGCGATTTCGGGCATAAGCGGAGGGTCTAGTTGATGCAAATTCGGTATAAAGTATGCCACTTCTCTTGGAAGAAAAATTAACCGGAAAAAAGTGAGGTTGGGATGGAGTTCACCTCCCTGGCCTCTGGTGGCTAGCAGTGGTATCGCTGACAGTGGCCTATTTGTAATGGACCGTTATCTGAAGCAGTGGATGTATTTCAAGGCATTGGATTGAAGGCTAAACTCTAGAGAAGGATAATAAGCCTAAAGATTGATTTGTATTTGCTACCTTAGTATCACCAAATTATTCTCATGAGGGACGAAAAATCCTGACTGTTGCTGGCATCCCTATAACTGGAAGGCGATTCTAGACTATTCTAATTGCCTGGAAATTTGTCTCCAAAGTTGGAAAATCTTTGCAGCCTTGATTGGGAATTGTTTATCGAAAGTTATGGGTTCATTTCATTACTTCAAAGTGTAGAGTAAATGAAGCGGCCTACTTAAAACTCCAAGAAGTGAGTGCAATGACGTCTGTCAAGCCTCCCCTTTTTGCATCGTCTCTTTATGTTGTAAACATCCCCATGAAGGGTCATGTCATTTGGCCTTGCCAGCTCCCTTGGCAAAACGGCGCATTTAGTTAGTCCCCTTTAAATGTATTTCCTTGGTAAATCCGGGTGAACCCAGGTTTTTTCCTCCCCTCCCCTCTTCCACTCACCCCTCACCCATTCTCATCGATTAACACTGGAAACCGCGTCAAGAGTATCTACCTTCAAGTGAAAATGAAGTATACTTACCCGGATTCACCGATCCAACATCATCTGTTGTAAGGACAGTCGAGTCACCAACTGGGAAGATAGTTTCAGGTAAAGCTGATGGGCTCGGTCCACTGGACAACGACGGAATCTCCAAAGTTCGATCAGACAAAGCCCGCGGCTTTTCAGGCTCCAGATCCATCGTTATAGTGGAGTCTGGAGGTCGCGCCAACAGGGGTACTTCCTGTTTTGAAATCACCTCTTCAGCACCCCACGACACAGATCTGTCCAACGGTGAGACTGTGGAGTTCACGGAGGGACAGTAGGTTTCCTGTCCTGGCGAAGTCTGCAACATTTCAAGCTTTTGTAAGCTCTTTGAACGAGGTCGTCGGACCATCGTGATAGTGGAGCCTAAAGTTCGCGCCAATAAGGGTACTTCCTGCCTTGAAATCACCTCTTCAGCATCCTGCAACACAAATCTGTCCAACGGTGAGACTGTAGAGTTCACGGCGGAACAGTGGGTTTCTTGCACATCACTATAATAATTAGTTTTGCTCTGTGTCTTCACCACCGCCGCCACGTCACTTTTCTCTCTGTGATTCCAATTCAGTGCAGGGAATTCTGGGAACCTTGGATAAATCAGAGAAGGCTTTGATACTGCCGAATTTTTAGTTCCATTTTGCTGCGGTGAAGCAATGAAAGTTTCCACGATTATGGGATGGCACGAGGGGAGAGGAATGATTTCCCCCGCAGACATATAACGACGTTCCGAAGTTGGTCCTTTTATGGATCCACCTCCAACATCTGGATCGTAAAGGCTTTGTGATTGCATCTGAGAGTGCTTCACTTCTGGACTGTTTTTTCCTTGCTGTGGTACTAAAAGCTGATTAAGAATGCTGCCAGACTGTGTTGGGGCTTGGGATTGAGGCATCTGCACGGATTCCTCCAGTAGTCGTTCTCCTTCAATTTCAACAAGTGGAAAAGTTACGCTATCTAGATCTGGTAGGGTTGAAAGATCTGGAGTAGGAGGTGAAGAATCGTTGTGACAGGTGGTGTCGTCAGTTATGTGACTAGGAAGGCTGTGATGGAATACGAGCGGATCATCGTATTTGCCTCCATTGGTTGATGTAGCCTGGAAAGTGGAGGAGAGTGTGGAAACTGACGACGATGTCCGTAGTCGAGGCCTCTCCTGCGTGTTCAAAGGCAACCACGCGTAAGTGTCATCGTAGTCGGGGAGGCTTAGCAATCGAGCGAATCGAAAGGTTGTGTGCTCTTCCATTGGTGGTACCTATCTGGAATACAATAGAATTGGAAATAGGTGAAAGTTCATGTAACTCAGTTGATCATGCAAGAGGCTTACTGTTAGCGGAGTAAACCCTAGTCAATGAAAACAACAACTTTAACACAAAAGATTGTCTTTGGCATGCTGTCACAGAGTATCAGACGCTTCAACTTCTGATCTCATGAGTAGTTAGATGGGAGACAACGAAACTTTGATGACAGGACTGTTCTGCCAACATTAAAGGAATAAAAGGCAGCAGAAGGCCTCCACTGCGGTTGGTATGACGATGTGACACTCGGCCATTTGGCAGTAAGTTGGAGGTTTGTCTCTCGTTTTATGGTGTGGCATATGCACCGGGAAAGTGGAGATGCCAACTGTGGTGACATCTTTGCCAGAGGGCACAACAGCCACCCCTGTGCAGAGGCTTTACGCGAAACACCTGATGAGGGCAAAAGTGATCGCGGGGTCATGACGATGAGTCAGGAGTGGTATGGGGGGGGGGGGCCTGAAGAGGTCAGCACATCCATTGATTGGGGATAGTAATGCAGCAGTCTATCCAAGCATGGTCCAGATCGTAAAGGGCTGGAATAAGTGTATGTTGAGGGTCAAGTAAAAGTACATTTTTTAGCACTCTAATGGATGTACTTAGTCATTTTACAACCACTGAAGTGTCAGTTTAACTTGACTGCCCCTCATGTGACGGTGACAACAGTAGTTACGCGGGTACGTCAGCTACTTCTTGAAATTTTATCTAGTGTAGCTAGAATTTGCCTCATAAACCAGTTCAGAGATGGATAAGTCCGAATTCACTATCTTAGAATGGCCTTGACTTAATTAGAAAGGTATAACGGAGGTCATTCAATCCGTAAAAGCAAATAAAGCCTCTACAACTAGTTTTTTTTTTGTAATCTTTCAGTAGCTTTGATCTTCCCTGCCCTTTGGTATACCGAATGAGAATGACAAATGTGAGGAGACTCAATGCCAGCATCATGGGGTATTATTAGGGGCTTGATGCAACCCCACCCCTCCCTCTAATCAGGCAGTTTTTAAGGCCCTACGGTGACGTCTACCTTAAGGGTGAGGCAGAGCCATGGTAATGGCTTACAGCTAGCATAAAAAATGAGGAAAATATGAGTTTTTTCTCCTCTCGGATTCCTCATTCCACGGCGGAACATTTGGAATGGCCCGATGCTCCACCTACTTGCAAATCGATTTGGGGTGACAGTTTAAAGAACGGATAGTTCGACTGCTGATTAGGAATTCTTCTTATTTTTAAGACGTTGGAAAAGATAAATGCTTTGTCAAATGCTTGAAGTTTTAAGATGAAGGTTATAATTTGAGAGAAATCTTGTCCTGGTTAGAACCACAGATGAGGCCGCGGCGGAGCTGAATGAAGGGGGTACAGGGCAGCGGTCCCCAACTCCGCCACTGTCAAGTGCTCTTCGGATAAATGTAGGCAATCTTTTGAAGAAAATCTCTCCTTTTTTTCAATTAGACCTACTAGAAGGGTTGTATAGTGCTTCTGGGACCAGCAGCCCTTATTGAGGGGGTCGGGTCCAACTGATGTCACCGTCCAGAGAAGAGAGGAGAAGAAGAGGCGAAATTTTTACTAACCTGGTTTACCTATGGTGAATAATTCAACCACTTTAACTGGAAATTCAGTAACGGGCATTTGCACGCCAGAAGTCTCATTTTTGTTCCTGTGAAACGCAAAAGATGTGGACACACAAAATTGCGAGGTTAGTTTGACCTAAGACGAAAAAGAAGGAAGAAAAAATCGACTTGCTCGATGAGAGAGACCTGCAAATTGACCTAACAAGAAATGGGCGGAATTACACACAAATGTGAATCAATGGCATACGTATTCTACAATTTGCGTATATCGTTTAAAGTTCTGCAGGACTTCGCTAATTTACTTGAAGGCACCGCGTGTGGTTGACTTACCTAGGTCGCCTCGTGAACCCTTCTCCGAAAGTTAACAGATAATAGTATGGAATCATAGATGGATTGACGGAGGGTTTAATGTATAGATGAATGGCTGGATGAATAGATGGCTGGGTGGATACAGGATGGATGGATGGATGGGTGAATGGATGGATGGATATAGGACGGATGGATGGGGGGATGGACGGATAAATGGATACAGAATGGATGGATGGATCCGGGATGGATGGATACAGGATGAATGGATCCGGGATAGATGGATGGACGGACACAGGATGGATGGATGCGGAATAAATAAGGGATGGATGGATGAATGAATTGACCGACAAATAAATAGGGGATAGATGGATGGATGTATTCCGATTTCTTTATCTGCAATGCTTCACCTTTAACAATCTTCCTGTAGGTAATCCGCAAAGCAAGTCTGCACAGGGGCAGACATCCACACTTCATACATGCACCTTCAATGGAGGTGCGCGGGTTCTGACTGAAAATTTCCAAACCTAGTAACTTTTTCCCAAGAGATAAACCAAAAACCAGTATTTGTCACCCCAGGTTCATCAGGCTTCTGTCAGGTAGTGACCACCTCAGAGTCTCGACCAGGCATTCTATTGCGCCCTACTAATTCAGTCTACCTTTCTACGCCTTTTCAAATTCTTTGAACCGACGTCGTTGGAAAAAGTGGCGAATATATGGATGTTCAAATGGCATTCCAGCCATTTCATCAGGCAGTAAAAGGCACCAAAAGTGAAATGTCAACGTCTCTAGACGACTGGACAGAGCTTTATTGTTCCTTTCACCGATGTTAAGATCAGGGCGATCTTTCCCTGATTTCCATCCACAATTAACTCTGCAGAGTTGACTTCCTTGTGACTTTTCGCGCCCTCTTCAACAAGGATGCCTGACTGCTAACAATGTGTCCTTTAATCCACTTCGAGGGGACTTGCATCAGGGTGCTGAAGGGATTTGAAAAGTACAACTCTTATATTTGAATTTTCTCCAACATCTACATCCTCTTTTGCATTCAGGAAGTAATTCAGCCCTCATTATTCCTCTTCTAAGCACATGTACTAATCTAAAACCGAGAGAACCTAAATTGATCGGATCAATGGGACACAAAAACACCTTCCAACGTCTCCCCTATCTGGCTACAAAGGCTGGCAAGAATGCCGTAGGCTAATCAAATTTTGAAGGAAAAAATTTTGCACTTTTGTTGCATTCCCACTGAGGCAAGGGAATTGTCTTGTCAAGTAAAGAAAAAAAACGTTTTCCCCAACAGAACTAATCCAAGTCAATTAGTGTCGAAGTTGGTTGCAACTTAAAGGAGGGTGAAACTTGGCATCAATCATTGGGGAGGGAAAGAGGCGGAGATGTTGCACTAAGTCAAATTTTGACTTTGTGTATAAAAAACTCGGAAGTGGGGAAGGAAAGGGAGCAGGAGGGTTGCTGCACTTCTCCCCATTCACCCATCCTTCCCAAACTCCGTTTTCCTCCCCAGTTCGCTTGGACAAAAAAGCGGCAGCAGCATGAAGACGACACACATCACAACGGGATAAAAATAGGCGCGGGCTTTCCTGCTTTCATTATAATACCACTTCACTGACCTTTAAACCAATATCCACATCACCAAACCCCAATCCTACATGGGGTGATCCCTGGTTATGAACTGAAGATCGGTCATGGGGTCAGTTTAATGCAGTCAGGGTTGTTCGAGACTGCTACCAATCAATGCGTAGGCAGTATCAACATTCTTGTACTTCCAGGAGTCTTTACCGCTTCTACGGCTGGAGCGCTCCTTATAAACCACCTGTGAGCCCAACCGCCGATGGAGACGACACGTACGCTCTCCCTCAACAATCAGGGTGAGAGCATTTACAGCAAGCAATTTGTAGACACAAGTAGTCGGATGACGTGCTTACCGTAGCCCCTCTTGTCCCCTACCTACTTAGCGAGACAGTTTGACGCCCTATTTTGACTCTATTGTTAGCACTTGGAATTTCATTTGCTAGGCTGTCTCGAAACTAGACAAAATTGGCGAAATGTCACTGTTCACGAGGTGAACGAAAGTACGTCGTGTAAGTTAGTCACCCATTTCCCTTTCATCTTGGTAGTGAGAGTGTCTCATGAATGATCATGTTGGATGACTTAAAAACTATAGCTTTCCTTGGAGAGAGGAGTCTTCAAGATCTACCCGTGCTAAGAGGCAGGCATGACAAGGTCAGTTTTGATGTGCTATGCTCACAGCAGAATCGAGTCATAAGGAAGGTGAGATGGCACAATACTACTGGCTAGAGGCACGATAACAGACAGCCTTGATGTTCTGAGTGTATGTGAGCTGTCAAAGTGACTGAGTGAGCTGCGAATAAGGCATTTTGCCAGAGAAAGGGTGTGTTGTGATGATTAATTGTTGCACAAGCACCTTCGTCTATGGCTGCAGAACGGGGGCTTTTAAATTAGACCGTGGAGTTGTCATTCCTGCCAGCCGATAGTTCAAGAAGCTACTCATTTAGCGCCTTCTAGTCCGCTAGAGGTCCTCCACAATGCTCCAATTGCTCTTAAGCCATAGGTTTGTTGGAAATGAAGAAAGTTCAAAAAAAAGTTGCGTGCAGAGGGATCGAAGTGGAGTTTTTTGACGGAAAAAAGGGGAAAAGTCAGGAAGTAACAAAGAAAATGCGTGCGTGTGGAGATTGAATCAAGAAGACTGGGAGTAGGATCCTTTGGGCACGAATAAACACTGCCTCCGAAAAATTAAACTTAGAGTTATTTTGGTAGTAAACTCCAGCAGAACAGCCGCCTAATCATTGCCAATCATTCATTCTTGCCATCAAGTGCTCCCACCTTCCGGCAATAGGTATGTCCTTCAAGCTATAATCTGGTTAATTGTCAACTTGTCTATCATTTCTGTTAGCTCCGCCCGTCAGTGAAGTGGCTACAGTGAGAAGCTTAGGCTATCCACATATGGTGTGGCACCAGTAGCAAGGAGATTACGGAAAGGGGCGGTGTTGATGTGAGTACCCTTCCATCCCATTGACTAACAACACAACCTTGAACAT